CTATGGGATTAAGGTCTGGAAACTGGCTAGGCCACTCCAAGACCTTAATTTGCTTCTTCCTGAGCCACTCCTTTGTTGCCTTGGCCGTGTGTTTTGGGTCATTGTCAAGCTGGAATACCCATCCACGACCCATTTTCAATGCCCTGGCTGAGGGAAGGAGGTTCTCACCCAAGATTTGACGGTACATGGCCCCGTCCATCGTCCCTTTGATGCTGTGAAGTTGTCCTGTCCCCTTAGCAGAAAAACACCCCCCAAAGCATGTTTCCACCTCCATGTTTGACGGTGGGGATGGTGTTCTTGGGGTCATAGGCAGCATTCCTCCTCCTCCTCCAAACACAGCGAGTTGAGTTGATGCCAAAGAGCTCCATTTTTGTCTCATCTGACCACAACACTTTCACCCAGTTGTCCTCTGAATCATTCAGATGTTCATTGGCAAACTTCAGACGGGCATGTATATGTGCTTTCTTGAGCAGGGGGACCTTGCGGGCGCTGCAGGATTTCAGTCCTTCACGGCGTAGTGTGTTACCAATTGTTTTCTTGGTGACTATGGTCCCAGCTGCCTTGAGATCATTGACAAGATCCTCCCGTGTCGTTCTGGGCTGATTCCTCACCGTTCTCATGATCATTGCAACTCCACGAGGTGAGATCTTGCATGGAGCCCCAGGCCGAAGGAGATTGACAGTTCTTTTGTGTTTCTTCCATTTGCGAATAATCGCACCAACTGTTGTCACCTTCTCACCAAGCTGCTTGGCAATGGTCTTGTAGCCCATTCCAGCCATGTGTAGGTCTACAATCTTGTCCCTGACATCCTTGGAGAGCTCTTTGGTCTTGGCCATGGTGGAGAGTTTGGAAGCTGATTGATTTATTGCTTCTGTGGACTGGTGTCTTTTATACAGGTAACAAGCTGAGATTAAGAGCACTCCCTTTAAGAGTGTGCTCCTAATCTCAGCTCGTTACCTGTATAAAAGACACCTGGGAGCCAGAAATCTTTCTGATGGATAGGGGGTCAAATTATTATTTCCCTCATTAAAATGCAAATCAATTTATAACATTTTTTACATGCGTTTTTCTGGATTTTTTGTTGTTATTCTCAATGTTCAAATAAACCTACCATTAAAATTATAGACTGATCATTTCTTTGTCAGTAGGCAAACGTACAAAATCAGCAGGAGATCAAATACTTTTTTTCCCTCACTGTAGCAGAGTGTAAAGTAATAGGAGAGGCGAGCAGAGCGTACAGTGGGAAGCTATCAGAGTGTGGAGTGGTAGACCAGCAGCGGAAAGAGCGAAGCGAGCGGAGTGTGGCAGGCAGACTAGCAGTAGAGAGGCTAGGAGAGTGAGAGAGAGAACAGGCTAGCAGTAGAGAGGCTAGGAGAGTGAAAGAAAGAGCAGGCTAGTAGTAGAGAGGCTAGGAGAGTGAGAGTGAGAGAGCAGGCTAGTAGTAGAGAGACTAGGAGAGTGAGAGAGAGAACAGGCTAGCAGTGGAGAGGCTAGGAGAGTGAGAGTGAGAGAGCAGGCTAGCAGTAGAGAGACTAGGAAAGTGAGAGAGAGAACAGGCTAGCAGTGGAGAGGCTAGGAGAGTGAGAGAGAGCAGGCTAGCAGTAGAGAGGCTAGGAGAGTGAGAGAGCAGGCTAGCAGTGGAGAGGCTAGGAGAGTGAAAGAAAGAGCAGGCTATCAGTAGAGAGGCTAGGAGAGTGAGAGTGAGAGAGCAGGCTAGCAGTGGAGAGACTAGGAGAGTGAAAGAAAGAGCAGGCTAGCGGTGGAGAGGCTGAGAGAGTGAGAACAGGCTAGCAGTGGAGAGGCTAAGAGAGTGAGAGTGAGAGCAGGCTAGCAGTGGAGAGACTAGGAAAGTGAGAGAGAGAACAGGCTAGCAGTGGAGAGGCTAGGAGAGTGAGAGTGAGAGAGCAGGCTAGCAGTGGAGAGACTAGGAGAGTGAAAGAAAGAGCAGGCTAGCAGTGGAGAGGCTGAGAGAGTGAAAGAAAGAGCAGGCTAGCAGTGGAGAGACTAGGAGAGTGAAAGAAAGAGCAGGCTAGCGGTGGAGAGGCTGAGAGAGAGAGAACAGGCTAGCAGTGGAGAGGCTAAGAGAGTGAGAGTGAGAGCAGGCTAGCAGTGGAGAGACTAGGAGAGTGAGAGAGAACAGGCTAGCAGTGGAGAGACTAGGAGAGTGAGAGAGAGAACAGGCTAGCAGTGGAGAGGCTAAGAGAGTGAGAGTGAGAGCAGGCTAGCAGTGGAGAGGCTAGGAGAGTGAGAGAGAGAACAGGCTAGCAGTGGAGAGACTAGGAGAGTGAGAGAGAGAGAACAGGCTAGCAGTGGAGAGGCTAGCAGAGTGAGAGAGAGAGAGAACAGGCTAGCAGTGGAGAGGCTAGGAGTGTGAGAGAGAACAGGCTAGCAGTGGAGAGGCTAGGAGAGTGAGAGAGAACAGGCTAGCAGTGGAGAGGCTAGGAGAGTGAGAGAGAGAACAGGCTAGCAGTGGAGAGACTAGGAGAGTGAGAGAGAACAGGCTGGCAGTGGAGAGACTAGGAGAGTGAGATAGAGAACAGGCTAGCAGTGGAGAGACTAGGAGAGTGAGAGAGAGAACAGGCTAGCAGTGGAGAGACTAGGAGAGTGAGAGAGAGAACAGGCTAGCAGTGGAAAGGCTAGGAGAGAGTGAGAGAGAGCAGGCTAGCAGTGGAGAGGCTAGGAGAGTGAGAGAGAGAACAGGCTAGCAGTAGAGAGGCTAGGAGAGAGTGAGAGAGAGCAGGCTAGCAGTGGAGAGGCTAGGAGAGAGTGAGAGAGAGAACAGGCTAGCAATGGAGAGACTAGGAGAGTGAGAGAGAGCAGGCTAGCAGTGGAGAGACTAGGAGAGTGAGAGAACAGGCTAGCAGTGGAGAGACTGGGAGAGTGAGAGAGCAGGCTAGCAGTAGAGAGGCTAGGAGAGTGAGAGAGAGAACAGGCTAGCAGTGGAGAGACTAGGAGAGTGAGAGAGCAGGCTAGCAGTAGAGAGGCTAGGAGAGTGAGAGAGAGAACAGGCTAGCAGTGGAGAGGCTAGGAGAGAGAGCAGGCTAGCAGTGGAGAGACTAGGAGAGTGAGAGAACAGGCTAGCAGTGGAGAGACTAGGAGAGTGAGAGAGCAGGCTAGCAGTAGACAAGCTAGGAGAGTGAGAGAGAGAACAGGCTAGCAGTGGAGAGACTAGGAAAGTGAGAGAAAGAACAGGCTAGCAGTAGAGAGACTAGGAGAGTGAGAGAGAGAGCAGGCTAGCAGTGGAGAGGCTAGGAGCGTGAGAGAGAGAACAGGCTAGCAGTGGAAAGACTAGGAGAGTGAGAGAGAGAACAGGCTAGCAGTGGAGAGACTAGGAGAGTGAGAGAGAGAGAGAACAGGCTAGCAGTGGAGAGGCAAGGAGAGTGAGAGAGAGCAGGCTAGCAGTGGAGAGGCTGTGAGAGAGAGAGAACAGGCTAGCAGTGGAGAGGCTGTGAGAGAGAGCAGGCTAGCAGTGGAGAGGCTGTGAGAGTGAGAGAGAACAGGCTAGCAGTGGAGAGAGAGAACAGGCTAGCAGTGGAGAGGCTAGGAGAGTGAGAGAGAACAGGCTAGCAGTGGAGAGACTAGGAGAGTGAGAGAGAACAGGCTAGCAGTGGAGAGACTAGGAGAGAGCAGGCTAGCAGTGGAGAGGCTGTGAGAGAGAGCGGAGTGAGCGACGCGAGTGGAGAGAAGCAGACAAGCAGCGCAAGCGGAGAAGAGTTGCGACAGAGTCACGTGGTGGTGTTGAACGCGAGGAGTTCTTTTCGAATAAAAGTGACAAGTTGTCCGCGTGAAAGCAGATTCTCCTGCGGAGGGAGCTGGTAGGAACGTTGGGTTGCTCGGTCAATGGCCAGGGTCAACGGCGGCACCACGTGGTGTATTCCGCACAATATGCCCGACTGTGAGGGCGGGCACAAGCCGGCGTGAGTATGTTAAACGTTGAGTTTTATAAGGGCACCACGGGGTGACCAGCCCCTCCCCCCCCGCCCACCCAGCCCCACCCAGCCCCTCCCCTCCCATTTTTGGATGCACGACGGACGGACGGACACAATAGTTCCCCGCATTCGACTTCGCTATGACTTTGACTGCACCGAAACCTCCGGAAGTGCATGCACACAGCAGCACAATAACCACCGAACCTGTCGACGTCAACTCGACTGTGCGTTTTGGACGTGCCGCCTACGTCACACGGCACAGCGCTGCGTTTACTCGGGAGGACGCTTGGCCCGAATTCTCAATAGCCGGGCGACGTTCACGAAACGCGCCGTCCGCGTAGCCCGGCCGTGGGGCTCTCTCGAGGCGGTCGAACGCAAGCTGGTGGGTTCGTGTCTGGCCGGCGGGGTGGAGGTCGCACGCCCCTGGCGGAGAGGGGCGTGCGACCTCTAGCCCAGCGTTCGTCTCTGCTTGTCACTTTGCACCGACACCTCCACAAATACAAAGCGCGGCACGGCGACCACTTCACCCCGTAGACGTCAACGACATTTTTTTTATCATTTTGGCGTGCCATCTATGTAGTGATATCGTTCATTTATCCCAGAAAGACCTCAGTCTCGAGACGCTTTATAAGAGGTCCTTGTATTGGTATGCGTTGACCAATCGCTACTTAATCATCATCATCAGCCTTCGTCGATCCACTGCTGGATGAAGGCCGTCGCCATCCCTTACGATCGCGCTATGCAATGATCCACCGAGCACCTGCACTTGAGCGGATTCACTCGCTATCGTGAGCGTAATGATCGATTTCGATCGACGTGCCGACGCATCCTTCCGTTCTTAAAATCGAGCGTCTCCGTTGAGAGCAGTAAACGGGGGTCGTGTGCGTGGCCAAGAGTGCCCGCATGGAGGGAGTTATTGTCTCGTTTTGGAGAGAGTGCACGAGTGGCGAGCGACATCAGCTGACTTGAGAGCTTCTAAATTTACCCGGGACGCGGGACCCCTCTGGGCAAGGGGGCGAGGCGGGGAGGAACAGCCACTCACTCCACTCCCCTTCTCCCACCGTCACCCAACGGGAGGAATCAAAACTCGCCGAAACCAAGAACGCCGCCTCGGCGCGGCGATTAAAATAACAGTGACGGGGACCCTGGCACCACAGTGACTCAGATGAACAGCAGCAGCAGGAGCAGCTGCAGGAGCCGGTCCCGAAGAAGTGATGTGGACAACAGGAAGAACAGAGCAAGGATGATATCTGGAATCATGAAATAGAACTTAAACCGACTTCGTTCATCGATATTTGTTTTCTTCTGGAACACGTGTATATGTTAACTGACAAAGAACTGCTCATATATCAAGTAAAAAAAACCCGTTCAAATGTCAACTTCGCAGAAGGGTCTTCGTCCGAAACGTTCGATCGCTATAGTGTCCTGCTAAAAAGTCGGTGTCGATCACGAACGCTGCGGGGTGTTTTGTTTTTTAAAGGGGATTTATAAAGACGTCACAAAGTGAAGGCAGAATTCATCGCAGTCCGGGCTCCTGGAGGGAGGGCCGAGGAGGAGAGCAGAGGGCGGACGGTGAGGAAGAGGAGAAACAATCCGTGGAACGGCTTCCCGGAGGGTCATGGCGAGCGGCCCTTCCTTTCCCTTCACATCATCCGCGCTCCGGGCCTTCAGGTCGCAGGAGCTCGAGGAGCAGCGCTGGGCCCTGAGGCAGCGGCGCGTCCCCTCCGTTAGCAGCCGGGTTCAGCAACAGCAGCAACAGCAGCAGAAGCAGCAACAGCAGCAAAACGAGCAAAGGCAGCAGGCGGCGACGGGCAGCACTCCGTGGCGCGCCTCACAAGAGGAGCGGCTGGTGTGCCGCGACGTCGTCGTTCATCACGCGCTGTTTGCCGGGGACTTGGCCCTCGTTCGCCGCATCTTCAGGGAGCCCCTGGCGGCCAACGTGATCGTGCAGTGTCCGGGCGACACGCAGGTCCCCACGGGTCCGCGAGCCTCGTGTAAATGGTCCCCCCCGCCCCCCCCCATCGCATCGCACAGAGACAAGACGCACGCGCGCCGCATGGGAGCGCTTAGAACGCGAGTTCTATTCGGGAATCTCTTGGCAGCTGCGCCAAAGCCGACGCGGCCGAGTTATTCGCCGAAGCTTTTCGCACAACGCGACCCGGTCAAAACCTCCCCCCCCCCCCCATGTATGTCGGGTCGTTCCGGCCCGCGGGAGTGGAGGTTCCACACTCGTGGCGGAGGAGGTAACGCACTTGCCTTGTACGGGCTGGGGAATGCACAGGATGACCCTGGCTTAATTAGCAGGGTGATCCACGAGAGCGGGGATGCGTAGTTGCATCGATTCGAAACCAATTCTAAATAGACGTCGAACCTGGAGTAAACTGTATAATATGAATGTAAAGTATATGTAAATAATATGATAATTAATCGGCTAACCTATGAAATGGCAGTATTAAAGCGACTGTATACCAGCGTCCGTCATCGGATGACGGACGCTTGTGTTGCGCCCGAAACGTCTTGGATTATTTTATTTTATACCTACGTGACTTTACCGAAAGAATCAAAGAGTATGGATTCCTGCAGTCACGAAAGCTTCAAATCAAGATTGTATATGAACCGATCTGTAAAACGAGGCCACATGATTTGATATTTTCATCGAATCGAGAGCATGCATAACCCGTTGGGGGGGGGGGGGGGGGTGGGATTGGTTTTAAACCTACAATTATTCATCAGATTTGCATCAATTTGGGATCACAATTTTTTGTTAAGTCTTTATTGCCCGTCTAGTTCGTATTTGACAAAAGCCATTCAAGGAGTGTTATTCGTGTGGCATAAACCACGAGTACGAGGGGATAACATTAAGGTAATCAGACTGGTTCACTAACCTACTTGCTGTACAGCTATCGCTTTGTTTCTTCGCAGGCCAGCGGAATTGGGAGCGAATTTCAAATATCTCTACGTGGTCCACCAACCTTATAGCTTCCAAAGCGATGGTTGGCCACCACGCTCGGCTCACACACCACCACCATCACCATTCCATCCGTGCTTTAGACTCCATGTCCCCGTTGAAGTCCAGACTCAATTTCCTCTCGTCTTTTGCCTCCGACTGCTATCCATCGACTACTCTTACCGTTTACATGGCGAAGCACGCGCGTCACTATTTTCGTGCAGCGTCTTGTATTTAGACGCCACATTGATTAAACCATGTTTTTGCCTTTGTTACTTGTGTAACCCAGGTCGCTCATGCAAATGAGAGGATCCTGGTCACTTGAGTTCTCACCTGGATAAAACCAATACACGCGACTCGAAATCAAATTGTGGCCGACCCTACCCGACCCTTTCCGCGCCCGCCCACCGCGTCGCGTGCAGGGATGTTGCCGTGCCCCTCGCAGCTGGTCCTCACCACCCCGGCGCGCATCGCCGCCAGCCGCGGTTACACCGACTGCCTGGAGCACCTGCTGCAGAGGGGCGCGAACCCGGACGCGAACCCGGGAGGAGACGCGGCGCTGCACGCCGCGTGCGAGACGGCGCAGGACGCGTGCGCGCGGCTCCTGCTGGAGTTCGGGGCCAACCCGAGCGCGTGCTCCGAGCGCGGACTCACGCCGCTGCACCACTGCACGTCGCCAGGGTCACTCGCGTACGTGCACCGCGGAGGAGGGCCGGGGGTGGGGGGCTGGGAGGGCACTCATCCGGTCCTCATCACTCCTGACCCGTCACTCGCCTTGTAACATGGAATTGCCCAAACCCTCGAAATGAAGGATTCTCCCGAACAAAAACAGTCGAGACTCCGCGAGCCATTCATTGGTAACGGGCGGCCTGAGGGCGTGGGTATGGAAGTTGCGTTTATATGCGTGTGTCTTGTACATGTGAGCGCATACATTTCCCCAGTAATCTTAATCAGTTAACCGAAAACACGTGTGTTTGTCTCCGAACCCTTTAACCACTCGGTCAACGTCGCCACCACCACCACCACCACCACGCGCGTTCCACTATTCCTCCCCCCTCCATCTCCAACTCCGCACAGATGCGCGCGGTTGCTGTTGCAATTCTCCGCCGACGTGAACGCGCAGTCGGAGGACGACGAGGAGGGAGACACGCCACTGCACGTGGCCGCGCGCCACGCGCTGCTCGAACACGCGCGCCTCTACCTGGCGCGGGGCGCGCACCCGGACGACGTGAACGCGCGCGGCCTCACGCCGCTCATGCTCGTGTGCGCGCACCCGGGGGTCCCGGGAGACCCCGGCGCGCGCGTGCTCGCCGAGCTGGCGCGCGCGCTCGTTGCGGCGGGCGCGCGCGTGGACGCGCGCGACCCCGACTTGCTGACGCCGCTGCACGGCGCGTGCCGGGGCGCGCACGCCGCGCTCGCGCGCGTGCTCATGGAGTGCGGCGCGCGCGTCAACGCGCTCGACTACAACGGCGTGGCGCCCCTGCAGAAGGTGCTACAGGTGAGGACACGGAGAGAAGCGCCCCCTGTGGGTGTGCGCGGGAGAAGGGTGTGGATTACGTGACGGTCGATGTGTGTGTGTGTGTACGGGTTTGTAGGGGCGGTGGCGCGGTGTTTTACGCACTGCGCTACGAATCCATGCCACTCACGGCTGAAGTTAGTAGCGAGTGATATGTGCAACCGTCCTGGGCCTCCCCCGTGTCGACTGAACCTTAAATAAGTACCTGGTGCAGTTGGGATAGGCGGCCCGGAGAAGTGGTGGCCATACCACCCCATTCGTGTGGCGTCCTTTGCTTCACGGAAGCCAAATCAGTCGAAAGCAACAAGGCGAACACTATATTCTTAGCTCTTTCGGTAAAGTCACGTTGAAGGGAAACAATAAAATAATAAAATATACATTAAACAGTAAAAATTCTCACGACGTTTCGACCATAACACAAACGGTCGTCATCAGGTGACGACCGTTTGTGTTCTCACGACGTTTCGACCATAACACAAACGGTCGTCATCAGGTGACGACAGTTTGTGTTATGGTCGAAACGTCGTGAGAATTTTTATTGTTATATATATATTTTATTGTTTCCCTTCAACGTGACTTTACCGAAAGAGCTAAGAATATGAATTACTGCAGTCACGAAAGCTTTCAATCAAAATTTAAGGCGAACACTGTTGACAACTCGACACTGGAGGCGGTGTCTTGAGTCACAGGCGGCGCAATTACGAGCGACAGGAGATCCATATTTGTGCAGAAATAACAACACCGCGGGGATTAAACACGATCTTCAGACGTCCGCGTGTTTTAAGCCTCTTAAGCAAAGACGCTATTGATGGCAGGGGTTTGGCAGGGCATGGGCGATGAAAGCACAGAGCGTCGCTAAACTTCCACGGCGTCTCCTGAAATCCGAGCCCCGCCGTGTCTGGTACAAGGGCTCTTCTGTCATTCTCAGAAACAGCGGCAACCGCTGCCTAATAAAATATGATGCAGCCTAAAAAAAAACCTTACTTCACTCGTTTTGAGTTAAGTTTATTTGATTTTTTTTTCTTAGCTCTTTCGGTAAAGTCACGTTGAAGTGAAATAATAAAATAATAAAATACATATAAAATAATAAAAATTCTCACGACGTTTCGACCATAACACAAACGGTCATCATCATGAGAATTTTTATTGTTTTATTATTTTATTGTTTCCCTTCAACGTGACTTTACCGAAAGAGCTAAGAATATGAATTACTGCAGTCACGAAAGCTTTAAATCAAAATTTATTTGATTTGTAACACGAGTGATCCCGCTTGGCCAATTGCCCGGCTATTTTACAAGGGAGATCCGTGGAGCGCGAGCACAGAGGCAACAAAATGACATACAAAAAACATCACTATTGCAGATAATGAGTACATGGTCCTTAATGAATATTGCACAACAAACGATGTATTTGACGGTCGTAAACGAAACACGAAAATATACCTGTTAACTCATACGGTTTACCCGTATTCTCTTGTGCAGGGAAATTCAGTTGAGGTCCATACGGCGTACAGCCGTTTCAATACGGGCAAATAAAAGTGTTGTCTATTTCTTTGCGTTTCTCCCTCGTGATGGAACTTTGTAGGATGAACGCATGAGATGTATAAGGGGCACGGGGTGACCAATAAGGTCTGAATTGGTCTATAATAAGGTAAGGGGTTGACAGGTGTGCGAATAAGAAAGAAAGTGTAAATATCAGAGCACGAGGCGCCATGAAATAATTAGGTACAGACGCAAGTGTGCTCTGTGTTTTGGTCTCACCGGGAAATAAAGAGGGGGAGTGAAGGGAGGGAACCATGATGAGCCACAAGGGTATTCCAGAAGCACGTAGCAGCAACGCGGACATATTTTTTTACCACCTGCACGTGAAGCTACGTAAATGAGAGAACAAATATATATATAAAAACAATTATTGCTGGGTTGTCACACCTGATGATGATTGCTTGCGTTGCAATCGAAACGTCGTGATTTATTTATTACAAAATTTTATTACTATTATTTATCAGTATTATTTATTTATTTTCACCTACGTGACTTTACCGAAAGAACCAAAGAGTATGGATCCTTGCAGTCACGAAAACTTCAAATCAAGATTAAACAAATACTTGCAAGAGCACAAATGGTTCCGTCTGCGTTGTGTCCAGCAGAAGACAATGCAGCGATATCCAACTCTGTTCCGTGCTACCCTTGCTCATCAACCCGCACTGACAAACGTAGTGAAGTATGGTTTAAATATCTGTTACGCCCCGCAAGGCGTGAGTGGAGGGGGAATCGGCGAAGGACTGATAACGCGGACTGTGCATGTACAGCTTAGGGTTTAAAGCGTCGCTTCTTCGCAGGTGGCCGCTTACCGACAGCAGCACATTCCCGAGGTCGTGGTGCAGGACCTCCTCAACCGAGGCTCCGTCAAGGTGTGGCCGGGCGCATTCCACCGGGTGAGTGTCTCGCCTTCTAGCAGTAGGAGCAGCAGCATCAACAGGAGCAGGTCCCGGGGTTGGGTAGAGTTCACGAGTCACAACCGCTTGAAGCCGAGAATGTCCCGTGAGATTTATAACGTTCATGTCACGCGGTGGCACCAGTGGCCTCAGGGAGGTTCATGGTGGCTGTGTTTGAGATATATCGCTCGGCCGGCCAGTCTGGGTTTCGCCCACCTGCGATTAAACCGGATTCTCGAGTGCAGCACGCCGATGGTTTCGGCGCGGTCACCAGTGACTGCACTTACTGCGACTCGCCTAGATGGGTTAGGGGTGAAATTCTGATGACTTCTGCCCATCCGGTTTTTGGAAAGAAAAGAACCAACCGAAGCTTAGGGCAAATGTGGCCCAGTGGCCCAGGCATTACGCTACGAACCTGAACCAATCCAGCACCCCTCACCAAACCCACATTAATCAGCATGATGTATTATGGTTAAATTAACCCTATGACTTCATAGCGTGAGGAGGCCCTTCACCCAGCGGTGGGTTGAAGCAAATGCTATTTGTACGTTGCCTACTGAAGCGACCCTTTGAGTCGTCCAGTGGCGTCGCCTTCTGGGGCCGTTCCCCGTGACGCCGCGAGGCCCCAGCCGGCCGTGGCGACCTCTGGACGAGCTTCTTGCTGTGCAGGTGCTGGAGTCGTGCTCCGAGGCTGTGAACACCGTGGAGGTGCTGCTGAACGTCTACGGCAGAATCAAGATCACGCACGCGTGGAGGCAGGCCATCCCAGACGACACCTACCAGGTGCGGCTACCGCGGAGACGATACCCATAGACGTGCGCATGTGCGTACGTACGAATGTTGAACGTCCTTCGCATCGTGCGTAGGCAGCCGTGCTAATCGGAGGTGCTTGGAAAGGACGAACTTAACACAAAAAGCAGTTCTCAATAAATTAGTTTTCAATCTGGATGATTTAAAAGCGCATATCCCCAGTGGCTTCCTAATAGCGGAAGGAAGAGCGTTCCAGATGGCCGCGAAAGTGCATCTGAAAGTTCGATGCCTAACCAAAACAAAACCACGTGCGAGTGTATGCGCCGCGTTTCCACTGCAACTGGGGAAGGATGCTGGCTCGGTTCGCGAACCGTGATTTGCGGGGCACGGGCCGGGTTCCGACGGCAGCTGTACCGAGTCGATTCGGAATCAGGACTACAGCACATGCGAGTAACATTGTACGAAGCCATGGCCGTGAACTCGATTCGCCTCGTCGTGGTGGTAGGAGGGTCATTTACTACTTGGAGTCTCCACGATGGAAGTCTGGTGTTGAAGGGATGCTCGTTTAGTATGACGCTCTACCGATTCACAGATTTTCTTAAACTCACGCATCTTCACCTTGACGTGACTCCGCAATGGAAGGTATAATAAACACACACACGACGAGCAACCATGTGGGATCGAATGTCATACAAGCTGCCAGCTTTAGCTTCCTGTCAAAACACGTGTTTCACAAGAATGTCGCATTGGCAAAGTGAATGAATCCGCGCAGTAAATCACACGTCCTGGCACGAGCGCCGATCCTAATTTAGTCTGCGCCTAAAACCACATCTGCCTTTCTCGCTCTTCTGAGAAACGTCCCATCGACAGAGAACGAGCGCTGCCTCCTTCACAACATGTTTACACAACACGGAAATAGATCGCAAAATCTGTAAACACCAGCGGAGGCTGTGTCATCAACATCAGCTAAATCGCCATCTCTCCGTGATGTAAAGCGCCTACCCCTACACCGCAGGAGAAAGGGTTCATACTCTTTGGTTCCCCACACTGCGGCCACGACCGCCTGCGCCTCCTGTACCCCCGCGGCAAGGGCACTGCGCTATCTCCGTCCACACTCTCCTCTAAGCATCTGCGCTCGCTGAAATGGGAAGGGGAGGCGGCGCTATTCTTACCCGAGGCTCGCGGACCCACCAGGGGCTCCGTGAATAGAGGCCTTAATCTGGCAGCTCACTGACAAAAGGGCCGTACATGTTCCCGGTATCACCCTGCCGGTCTCCCCCTCCGTCTCTCGCCCGCAGAGACACGCCGCCTTCTACGACTCCGTGTTCGCGCTGCAGGGGACACCGCGCGCCCTTCAGCACCTGGCTCGCTGCGCCCTGCGCTCACACCTGGACGCGCGCTGCGCCGAAGTCGTCCCTCGGCTCCCGCTGCCCCCAAGGTTGCAGAGTTACTTACTGCTGGAGCCCAGGGGTTACGTACACTAGACGGGGTGGTTGGTGGTGATGGAGACCTCGTGAGTGTGGAAAAGCAGCAGCAGCAACAACACGGGGATCCGTCACGGCAAGAGCGCCGTCTCGTGTTGGGTGACGAGACCCAGGGCTTCATTTCCCCGACTCGGAAAATAATTCCGATCACGCCGCACCACGTCCACTTTGGCTGGGGACGATAGTCACGTGCCACCAACCGCTGTCTGCCAGCGATCCCACTGGGATTTTTGTGCACACAGCGTCGGTGGTGTACGATGCTTTTTTCAGGAATATTTTGCTGTTTTTTTTTCATGGATTTTCTGTTTGCACAGTCACATAGTCACTTTAAGGTGTTTTTCTTGTTCGTGTTTTTTTGTTTGTTGTGGTTGCACCCGATTCAAGAGCCGAATGGCTCACAGGGCTATACAAAAATAAATAAATATAAACATTTAGTGAGACTCCAGGGCTGAAACGACTCCGCAGGTCACTAGTAGCTCCACAGCGACATATTCCATGGCCGTTCCATGACACGAGGCTCTGCTCACTGAAAGGGTTTAAAATGATGTCTCGTCATCTCTCGATTAACTACAAGAGCACAATGTGAATTATATAGTCATTCGAGTGTAAATAGGCGATAAGCTGTGTGCACTGGCGGAGCCAGTGGGGGGGGGGGGGGGGGGGGGGGTGGCACGTGCCCCCCCCCCCCCCCAATGATCCGATTGAAATTCCTAATTTCGATCGGATCATTGGGGTTTATTAGTAACAAATCGGTATTTTGCGACCCCCACTGCCACTGTGTAGCATATCATTCCGTGTCAGGGACTCTATGAGATGATAGGACAATAGTCTGAGTCCATAATTGGCAATAAGTAACGGCAAAGCAGTTATAAGTGACTCACAGAATTGTACGCGTATACAGTCCACGACTTCCCTAAAGGCATCGACACCTTCAGCGAGCGCGATGCCGATCACACAACGCGGTTCGAATTCGACCCTCGATCGATGGCTGTGCCATCGCCGCACACGCGTCGGATAAAAAGCAAAGGACAAGTCCTTACTTACTAACAACTCCTTACTTACTAACAACTCCTCGATCATTTTCATTGCTGGAGAGGTTTCCCCCCCCCCCTTACCTGAAAATCCTGGCTCTGCCATTGGCTGTGTGCAGCAAGCTTCCAGATTTTGCCTCGTGTAGACGCTCGTGGTTCTAAGGGACGGCTCTAGCCTCTTATCAACTGATTTATTCCACGAGGCTGCTACTTGAATAAAAAATGATGCTTACAAATCAATAGCGCGTCGCATCACCGTCAGATATGGCGATGGTGTGGAAGAGGCCTTACAGCAGCAGCGGATAGATCATGACTACTGATGATACCGAGATGTTCCTGCTGATTAAGGATTAAATTGATGACTGATATTAATGACTAGTGATACACACATTCGGTATAGGACTTCGTTGAAGACAGACGCAATTAACCATATTGGCAATTAAAGACCACTCGGGTAAAGCGGTGAACCCGACCCCCTAAGTTAAATTCCCAGTCACGGCTAACATCAGTGGCGAGTAATATTTCAACATGTCCTGGGTGCCTTATTTGCCAACAAGTACGTACCGGCGAGGTGAAGTATGGTCAAAGAATTTCCATGCACGACAAGGCGTGGGGGAAAGATTCATACAGTAGTGGATTTATGGCTGTAAACAAAACAAAAATCACAGTACATGTACTGTCTCCCAAGATGGTACAGTGCTTATTCTGGGCAGGCGAGCAGGCCAGGTCTGTATCTGTCGGCAGGTAGTGGTGGATGGGTGATGCTCGGGGAGGTGGGGTGGGCGACGAGGAGGAGGAGGAAGAGGATGAAGTCCACGTGTGTGGTTAATTAACGCAGGACATGTGAAGGCATTCATTGGCGTCCGCCACGTGTTCCACAGCTGTCTCTACCGGTTGTGTTGGGTAAATTGATCATAATAATAATAAATATAATTGACCCCCACGAGCTGTGCATGACACAGATAACGTTCTTCGCGAGAAGCGCTTCTTCATGTTGATGACTAAGTGGCACAACTTGTGCGCGTGATTCATTAACGAGCGTTACAAATAGCCTTGCCTCTTTATCGCCGTTCGCAGTCTCACACATGAGAGGTGTCTCTTTATGAGAATTAGTTTTACACGCAGGGGCATTTATTTGGGGGGGTCATTTTAAATTAGTTTTTGCACTTAAAGCTTTCGTGACTGCAGGAATTTGTATTCTTTGGGTCTTTCGGTAAAGTCACGTAGATAGGTTAAAAGAAAATAACAAAAAATAACAAAAAACTACGACGTTTCGATCGCAACACAAGCGTTCTTCATCAGGAAGAGGGGGATAGCTTCCAGAAGAGGGGGTTAGCTTCCAGAAGCTAACATCCTTTTCCTGATGACGAACGCTTGTGTTGCGATCGAAACGTCGTAGTTTTTTTTGTTATTTTCTTTGAACCTATCTACGTGACTTTACCGAAAGACCCAAAGAATATTAGTTTTTGCAGTTGAATTGTATTGTTTTTTACGTGTTTCCTTTTTTTCAGTAATCAGTTGTTTGGAGGCTTACTCTCTCTTTTTAATTGTGTTTAAAACGTGTTTTTTTCCCCGCACAATATAGAGGTTTCTTGCATAAACCTATCGAAAATGTCATCCGGATTTCCATTCGTCTCGAAGGGTTTTATTCTTCGTGATTGATAACACCTTCACTGTGGACCTCAATCAGCGGGGAGCGCCTGAAACCCAAAGGCAGTCCCTTTGGCACGAAGGAAATCTGAAATGTTGTTGAACTTCTTTCGCACCGTAGGTGACCAACCGTGCTAATCGGAGGTGAAAGAGAATGAGGCTCAATGCAGTTTCTCAAGGGCTCTGCATTTGGGATGTTTGACCATTTTTTATTATATTTGAGTTGCTTCAGAGGGTGGAGAGACGCCGCAGTACTCGGATAAAGCAGACACTCAAAATGTGCCCACACGTCAGAGGCCGGTAACCTGCTTGCTGTACTGCCAACCACCTAACCTGAACCTCTTATTCTATACGAAAAGTGGTATTTTTCGTAGTTGTATACCAATATGCCAATAGCCTTGTCATTTATTCTTCACCAAAAACTTTCATTTATACGTGCCAATGCATTGACCAACTTCTGACCAGAAAATCTCAACGTTGGCCAAGACTGTTACTAAATTCAACATCAACATTCGACGATTCGCTCAAACCGCTGTGAGCTTCATCACGTATTGAACTCGGAAATATCGTGGCCGCGAATGCCTCCGTTTGAAGTTTACCCAGGGAAAGGGAATACTTTTTTTTAATACCTCAATTCAGCCTTAGCGCAGCAGAGGGCGCTCTATACCTACGGCGTAAATACAACGACAGGCCGACGGTCAACAAGGGGCGCGCACGTTTTGAAACCACGGCAAAGATCAGACGATGCATTAATGATCTACTCCGGTGCAGTTTTTTCGAGGAACCTCGCACAGCTGACGGGTTTAGCACAGTTTCTGATTGTGTTGGTCTGAGTAAATGTTTTTGTCTGATGGACACTGTTGATGACTATTACCACTTCAAAGATGATGAAGATTACCATTGACTTAAAGCTTTCGTGACTGCAGGAATTCATATTTTACGATTTTAGTGTTATTATTTTTTCCATCTACGTGACTTTACCGAAAGACCCAAACAATAGAAGATTACCATATTAATCTCATGACGAGGATTACCAATTGAAAGATCACTCCCTACCGTAAGGTACGTAAAACGAAGTAGAATGGGAACACGTTTAACCGCGACAGCTGGGATGCTCTTACTAAGAGAATCAGAATCACAATTGTCCAGTAGGGCCGGGTCAGAAAGTTACAACAACATCCATAAGAGGTTTATTTTGGCTTAGATCACGTAAATATATTAATGTGTCGTAAAACCCGCCACCACCCAACACAGCCAATTAATAGGGGTTGTAACGTAAACAGAACATGCCAATTCGTTGCTAGTACACCACATCGGTGTGTTGGAGAGCCAAGCCACAACATTTACAATCTTCAGCAGGCGATAGACAAATCTGGCTTTTGCCTGATGAAGATTGTAAAACATTTACAATCTTTATCAGGCGACAGACAAACCTGGCTGTTGCCTGATGAAGATTGTAAATGTTGTCTAACAACATTTAGTTATTTACGCGATCTAGCCCCCCCCCCCAAAAAAAAAAAACCTATACCAGTAAAACCTTGGATTGCGAGCATAATTCGTTCCGGAAACGTGTTTGTAATACAAAGCACTCGTATATCAAAGCACTCGTATATCAGTTGTGATCACGTGACGCTCGGCAGACAAAGCGTATACGTACACTATTCGTATTGCAAGACCTCGCTCGTTTATCAAATTAATATTTATTTAAAATTTTTGCTCGTCTTGCAAAACACTCGCAGACCAAGTTACTCGCAAAAGCCTACAACGCGCTAAATTTACAACAGATAATACAAAACACGATAGGAGTGCAAAGTATAGGAAAGGTAAGCAGATCAGCCCACTGAGCTATGAGCTTCTTTTTCAGACGCGACCTGGTCACGAATACTCGCTCAAACGAAGTGGCCTATGAAGAGTCGATCGGGGTTTGTGGATCACACGGTGATGGGACCCGCTTGAAAATATCCACCCGCATGGCAACTGACGTGACGCCGGTGGTAGGCATCTACGAAAAGTCGGTAATGATTATTTTTTTTACCGAGTTTGCCCTCCCTTATTCGTTGATGGGTGGGTGGGGTGGATTTTCCGTCGCTCTGCCCCGAAGCTGTACATTAAAGCCCTGATGACATTGACATTCGCCAAGCCACCGTGGAGTGACGGGTAAGGACATGGGCACACACTGCCGCTTGCAATCCACAGAGGCCCACCGCTTGACACAAATAGTGCTTGGGTATTGACGGGCAGCACCACAGCTAGCGGATCGGCAGGTGGCGAGAGCGTACGGCGGGGCAAAGTGTGTGAGTGCTCCCATCTCTCACGAGTTCTCAAGGCGTCTGTGGGCCACCGTGGAAGAGTAGGCCAAACACCCTTGAGAGCTCCCTCTAGCGGAGGCCCCTCGACCAGCAGTGGCGTGAGCAATCGATGGCAGGAGGGCTGTACCTAGATATGGCATGAGGCGTGTTTGTGTGTAGGACGGGGAGGGGGGGGCGGGTAACCCGGTCTGGCTGGTTGGTGTCAGAGCCTCACTCGTGCTGTTGGAGGCGGCGGTAAGCGGATCCGCGCGTATGTTTTGTAAACGCGCGACTTTACGGGGAGTTCACTCCAGGCGCACGGCCATCTCGACGTGTTTGTTTGTCATTATCCGCCACCACTCCCCCCACCTCACTGATGTTTAACACCGCGGGGATCGCCCTGAAAGTTCGTTCCAGTGGAACGGGGAGAGACGAAGCGAATGTTCGAAATCAAAATCTGTATTTATCCTGGAGAAATTCGATGAGCTACGAAGCCGTTTTTAAAACAACTAATGTTCAGTAGTTCGAGTGGTGGGTTGAGCTCCCATAAAACGTGTCAGTTGTCTGTACCTGTCCCGGGCCTCCCCTAGGTCGACTCAGCTTCAAATGAATACCTGGTAGCATGTGAAGACGACAAGCACACGGTATCGCAAGGAGATAAACCTTTTGATTGAACGGAGTTTGTGGGAGCACACTGGCTGTGTTCGAAGTGAAGTGATGGGGAATGAACCTTTTTGCAGCGAGAGAAAAAGGCAGGTGACAGTTGGGTTGGTAAGCTGAAAATATGTAGAACAGTGTACAATACAGCCCTAATGCCAACCAAATGCTGAACGCGGAACTCGTCACGCCGCGCAGCTCGCGGAAGCCACGTGACCATACTTCACCACGCTGGTGAGTGCCGGTTGGTGAAGGCGGTGAGCGGAGACGTTGGAGCAAAGGACGGAGATGCCGCTGCAAATTTCCCTCTGCCACACGCCACGTGACCACGCAGTAGCCCAAAGCAACATATCCAGGATGAGCTGACGAGGTCCCGGGTTATTTGGTTTTAGGCGTAAAGTAATATTCAAGCGAAGTAAAATATGCCTATGCTAAACAAACCATTGGTAATGGTGGAGTGATGCTCGCAAATACAGGAGTTAAAAGAGCCCACGTTAGCCGCCTGGTCGTGCCAATTTATTTAGTCTATTTTGAAGAACCATGTGAGCCAAGAAGCTCTTAAATCGGGTTTCATCAAGGAAAAAAAAAACAATGGTTAGTTTTATTTTTGTTTATATCGGGCAATAGCTCTTCTTCGTAGGTGAGAGAAGGGTCATTTCCCGAAACGTCTGCTGTTTTCTTTTTTAATGAGTTTTCCTTCTATGGCAGTGATATTTACATGTGTCCGATGCTATGCGGTGTCTGCTCACGCTGCCCCTGCAAACGCAGTTAATCACGCCACATCGCAGAGATTAGGAGGAGGGGGGGGCCTTCCAACTCGCATCAGCCCGTGGCTCCTGTCACGACCATCACGGCTGTACCCCCACCGCGTTTCCGAAACCTCAACCTCTCCCATGACAACTCCCCCCCCCCCTGCACCCTCCTCTCAAAACCATGGCTTTAATCCTTTAGAAGCAAGGAGTCCGTAGTTCCTGTCCCGTCACCGGCACAGACCGGGATAATTTAGATATCGACAGGCGCTAATCGGCTTACTCGCCCCAACTCCGATGCACGCCGGGGCTTGGCCGCGTCCGTCAGCGAGTACCGCGACCCCTGCGCGGTCACCCCGGGAACGGGCCGGGTCGGATCGGCTTCGGCTCACAGTCGGCGAGCGAGTGGAGATGGAGCCGCGTGGATGGTGCCGAGGTGCTGCTGCTGCTGCTGCAAGGAAAGCAGTGACGCGGGGGTTATGGAGATAACATGAGTTCACCTGTTACGCTGATGCGTGGTAGTGTGCGATATGATTTGTTGCTCAAGATGATCCCCGTTTAGCCAGCTGCCACGGTTGTTTAACAAGGGAGATCGGCGGTGCGTGAGCACGGTAGCAACAAACACAAACAAACCCATCAATTTTGCAGAGAACGAGTGCAGTGCCCTTTAAATGGATATATTGCGCGGTTAATGCTACGCGCGCACGTGTGCAGTGCGCGCGTAGCGTAGCGCGCCGCGTCTGCGTGCCGCGGGCACGCGCGCCTCCTCTCTGCGGCGACCTCGACTCGCTGGGACTCACCTCGACTCGCTGGGGCCACCTCGACTCGCTGGGGCCACCTCGACTCGCTGGGGCCACCTCAACTCGCTGGGAACACCTCGACTCGCTGGGGCTCACCTCGACTCGCTGCGGCGTCTCGACTCGCTGGGGCTCACCTCGACTCGCTGGGGCCACCTCGACTCGCAGCGGTCGACCTCGACTCGCTGGGGCTCACCTCGACTCGCTGGAAACATCTCGACTCGCTGGGAACACCTCGACTCGCTGGGGCCACCTCGACTCGCTGGGAACACCTCGACTCGCTGGGGCCACCTCGACTCGCTGGGAACACCTCGACTCGCTGGGGCTCACCTCGACTCGCCCCATCCACGCCGACCCCACGATCACGCGAGTCACAAAACTCGGCACGAATCCGTCATTACACACCGTCCTAAAAATGGACAAATATATAAAATAAGTGACGTTTCGGGCACAATGGCCCTTCTTCGGAATAAGAATGTTTATTTATACTGCAGGAGGAATCCGATGAGCTATAAAGCTCTTTAATCACAGATGTCCAGTCGGGGCAAGGTAAGATCATTACAAAAACAACACACAATAAAATCACACGATTATAGTGCAAAGTACAAGAAAGGTAAACACATCACACAAACAAATACAACTAAACCACCCCCCTCCTACAAGACAAAGCCCACTGAGGTAATAACTTATTTTTAAAAAAGCTACCTGGCAAGAAATGATAGCTCAACAAAGTGGCTTATCATGTGGACATTTCTAAGAACAAAACAATCTAAATAGTCTAAACAGCATGTTTCTAAATGTGTTGAAGGGCCATGTCCCGAATCATCGCCTGTCATACTTTTTTTACCATTTTAAAGGCCACACAGTGTTATTGGCGAATGTACTGTAGTCTGTTTTGTTAATTGTACTTGTGCATCACTGTCCGCACAGCGTCGTCAAATGATTCGCACCGTCCACATCACCACGCTCGCAGAGGCACAATGCCAACTCTCCTTTGCACTGGACGGATAGCTGCCACTCGCATGGTTATCACCCGGTTAAATACACGTGATCAGCCACGTATTTTGTAACGTGCAGAACATAATAAAACGAATGTAACGGATGACACGTTAAACATTACACATTGGCTATTACCCCGTGACTAGTGAATTAACTTAAACCATGCAGAACCACGACCGAGCCTCCTGGTTGAAATGTACGGGTCTTTGGATATGGAGGACCTGGGCAAAATCGACGGAAGAATCCTGTGGCGAAATAAAAAAAAACACATTGTAACCGAAATCGAAATCAAACAAAAGGAGCCCGCCAACCCGGTGCCATTCGCTACAATCGTTGGCGCCGAACTTGTGCAGCCTGGTAACAGGAGTGCGATTTGGATTAGGCGTGCATGGGCGCCACGGTGGCGAGATGTTAACTACCTCGCCTGGTATACAGGAGGTCGTGGGTTCCGGTCCCGACCCTGACGATGCCTGCTGCTGCTGTATATTTGGAGTGTGCATGTTCTCCCCCGTGGTCGCTTGGGTTTTATTTCTCCGGGTCCTCCAGTTTTCCCTCCACATTTAGAATCAACATCACGCGTTTAGAGTATTTGGCTGCTATAATAGTCCACATGATAAGCCACTTCGTTGAGCTATAATAATTAAAAGAGATTTATATAAAGCTCAGTGTGCCTCACCTGGTAAAATAAAAAAATAGTTGCGTTTTCGTACACTGGAATGTTTTTTTTTTATCACGCTATGCTGGCTGGGCTTATTTCCACCCCAACAATAACTCTGTTGTTGTTAGTAGTGGCTGCCGCGAACCGTTACCACCGAAACTAGACGGTTAACTGGCTAAAAGGGAGTTACCATGTAACAAATACATACTGCATGAATATTCTTGGTTATTTCGGTAAAGTCACGAAGGGAAACAATAAATAATAAAAATATAAAACAATAAAATAATCACGACGTTTCGACTGCAACACAAGCAATCATCATCATCAAATCACACCTGATGATGATTGCTTGTGTTGCAGTTTTATATTTTTATTGTTTCCCTTCTACGTGACTTTATCGAAAGAACCAAGAATATCAATCCCTGCAGTCACGAAAGCTTTAAATCAAAATACTGCATGAAGTTAAAACGACGCCGAAAGAAGACATTCGTACGACGTTTAATAAAAATAGATAGCGACACCAAATGGTTGAGAGGAACGAATACAGAAGACTGGCATACGCTTTATTTACAATGTATATAACTTTCCATCTGTGCCCCTATTAGTGCAATTGTTTCGTCAAATATTCTTAAAATCTTAGAGGATATAAAAAAACCTCACGACACATATTGTCTTCCCATTTTATCACGTAGACATTTTCAAATCACTTTTAATGTTCCGAGTACAAGATTGTGAGAAGAATATGAAAATGACAGCAGTCAGTTATTTTCCGTTGCAAAACAAAGGGTTCTCATATATATACCTTCATATATAAATTACAGCCCTTTCTCAATCCACTGCTGCATGTCCTCCCCCATGCAGTGTCGGTCATGGAGAATTGTTTGACCAAACCTCGCCACGCTGGTCATTGCGGTTTGAAGGCTGTCCCCCGTCTAGGATCACTACACTTATGAGCGAACAGCAGCTAGAAGTCCCGACACACGAGTAGCTGCCTCTCGACGCGCCTGTGTAGCTGGCCGTTGCTATTTTCACCCCATGCTTGTCTTAAAACGCGCCGATCCCTCCATCGCTAGCGATGGGGTGCATGCCCAGGCCGCTCAGGTACGGCCGTTTTCATCGCGATGCCATTTTTACGACATTTAATGCCCACAGGCAATGAACGGGGCCTGCTGTCCAGTTGGTCGAGGTGACGGTTCGCGTCTGTACGCTTCATTCAGAAATGCGACAACGATTCATCCCCAGGCAGTAAGTTCGGTTCTAGATTAATCGCCAAAGTCGCGCCGAACATCATCTCCTGATGACGATTGCTTGTGTTGCGATCGAAACGTCGTGATATTTGTATGATTTTTTTAATTCACATTTTATATTTTATTACTTTATTGTTACTATTTTTTCGATCGTCCTGACTTCACCGAAAGAACTGTAGAATATGAAGTCCTGCAGTCACGAAAGTGTGAAGTCAAAAATTGAACATCATCAAGCTGATGCAAAGTTGATCGCCGTCTCGTTGTTGCACGAGGGCGCTGGAATTTTGTAAATTTTATTTATAGCCGCGAACATTTCAAAGCAGCGAGGATCTATAAGGACGAGTTCGATTCTCAGCCACGGATGACGTGAACCGATCCTTGGGCTCTCAACCCCCCCCCTCCTTCCCAACCCGCAATGATCATCGTGGGGGATATACTTGGTCAAAGATTGCGCACGAGGAAGTCTTTCTTCATCCACAAGTAGATTGACAAAGGGTGGCACATTATGATTGGTGTACTCGTATATGACATGGGCCTGTGCAGACACAACAACCACATAAACCTTATCATTACCGTGCGTGTTGGAGTTAATACGCTGTTGTACATGTTGCTCAATGCACACATCATATATATAGAATATACTACACAACCCAGATAGCTAGCATCGATTTTAACCTTTGCTAATCAACCAATTAGGGCTCATTTGGTACAGACGCAGCCACGCACAAAGACAACCTGTATAGGCTTGAACATACTGTTGGGGCAAGCGCTGTTCGCGAACACATGTGAAAATCGGAGGGGGTGGGTGGCCAGCACCACCACCTTTGTCTCCCAAGTAGCGATGTTTACACACCGCAGCAGGTACTCATTTCACGCTGAGTCCACCTAGGGGGAGACCCAGGACCGGTTCAAATAATCGTTGCAGCGGGCTAACCGCTACACAACCCCCCCCCCCCCCCCACACACAGGTACGCGTATAAACCAGTCACACAGAGGCACACAAAGGCACAAGTCACACACAGACACACACACACAAGGGGCCGTATGGGTTCTCTCTTCAGCCGGAGAGCCACGTCTGCTTTGAATATTACTCTCTGAAAGTCACGACCCACCTTGCACGCCCTCATCCATCACAATTATTATTAACGGCTGATTTGGGCAGCGTGTGCAGTGGAGTCACCGCCACTCTCGACGCGGCCACGCCGCTTGAACTCATCGCCCATCCCCGTCTCAAATGGCTACATAGTCCCCGGACCTGAACAGAGTTCTGTTAGTGAGCGCCTATGAATGAACGAGTGAATGAGAGTCGACGCAGGACGCGGATGGGTGCTGCACCCAGAGGCCACGCACGTCAGGCCACGTTGGTTCATCATGCAGCACGCTTGCAACAAGTGTTCGTTTTCGGCCGACTTGACCTCGACGAGGCCCAGTGGAACTTTAGATAGACAGTGATAACGATTGCATGGCTCAGTAGACGAACGTGCGCGTGTGATGTGTATGTACGTGCATACACATCACACGCGCATACACCATACGTATTACGCACACACTACACAAGCACAATCAAATACACATAGTACGCATGCCATACACATCGAACTCACCCCACACGCACAAGCAACCCCCCGTATACCCTACATAGGCTTTTGTGGCTGTGAGCGTGTACCCATCACACAGATACAAAAACATAGCATTAATAGACTGTCGAGGCAAGTGCTGTTAGCGAGCACCTATGAAGGTCGACACGGCACACGAGGGGGTGGGTGGCCAGCACCACGCCCGGCCGCCTTTGTCTCCATAGTGGCAATGTTTACTACACATCGCACCAGGTTACTCATTTGAGGCTGAGTCGACCTAGGGGAGGCCCCGGACCGGTTCAGATAATCGTCACTGTTGTTGGCCGTGAGCGGGAATCGAACTCGGGTCAGCCGGGTTTCGTATCGCAGCGCAGCGCTGCACCACTACTCCACTGCGCAACGAGCACACAAAGTTATTTACCGGGGCTATCTCGGCGGCCCAATGAAAGTCAGCGGAGTCGCGGTGTCTAAACAAACCCCCTAATGGGCACCGCAGCCAATGGCTGCAGGGTTCGAGTCGAGGAGGGGAGGTTACCGCAGATAAACGGAGCCGATCCGTGCCCTGCGGCGGCGACGAAAAGACCAAAACTTCCCAGCGGGACGCGGGCTATTGATGAACGACGGCCTCGGCCTGAGAGCCGCGCACGGAGCGTGGAGTTCGTCCTCCTATAAACACGAATCGACAGCGCGATCCGCGCATCCATTCACGCCGAGCGCGCATCGGAGGGGGCGCGGAGCGGGTGTGCGCGCCGCGTTCATCAGAGCACACTCCCTCACTCACACGTCCTGACACTCACTCACACTCACACACTCTCTCACTCACTCTCTCACTCACACGTCCTCACACTCACACACTCTCTCACTCACACACACACACTCTCACACTCACACACTCTCTCACACTCACACACTCTCTCACTCACACACTCTCTCACTCACACGTCCTCATACTCTCTCACACATACACCCTCTTTCACGCACTCTTTCAGTTTCTGCACTCACTCTCTCACGCGTTCTTACTCTTTCCCACGACCACACGTTGACGTACACAGTCGCGTTCTTTCGCACGCTTCCGCACGCGCTCTCACACTCGCACGTGCAGTAAACAGATTGCAAGTCGGGGTCGCGGCGCCACGATGCAACGGCCCCCCGGCATGGTGACCGCCTTCAGCATCGAGTCTCTGATCGGAGGAGCCCCCCCGCCGCGCTGCGGGCAGATCCTCTACACGGGCTACCCTGGCCTCTTCATGCCGCCCTACGGCTCCCTCGTGCTGCCGGCCCACGGGCAGCTCCACGCGGGGCTCCCCGCCGCATTCCCCGCGGCTCTGGGCGGCGGAGCCGGAGGTGGCTTCTATTCGGCGTTTGCGCGCGGGATTCAGCACGGAGCTGCGGGCGCAGTCGCGTTTTGCGCAAACAAGGAGGCGCCTTCGCCGGGCGGGGAGCGGGGCCCGACGTACCCGGCTCGATCCGAGGCTCTCTCCGGCAGGGAGCGGCTGCCGGCTCTCACGCTCCTGCACCGCTCCAAGACGTCGCTGTTATCCTCGCCCGCAGGTCTGTGGCTGTGAGCGCGGGGCACATGCAGACGGTGTCTTGGCTGCGTGAGCAGCAGGACGCGCGCACGTGCTGTGGTTGTGCAATGTCGCGGGGCTCTGGGCTTGCACAGACTTGCTGAAGCTTTTGTGTGCGTGTGTCAGTGCGAGTTCTGGCTTAGGTGAGCGCTGCTGCGGATCATGCCTCACAGCTTATTAACGATCTTAACGCCGTCCAATTGTGAGCGCGCGTATGCCACGTAATTGCGAGCGCGATATGGGGGAGGCATCAGCTACAGGACGTTATTGCGTGTGGTTTCTCTCGGTGCGGTAACTATGTGATTAGTTCTGCCTATCACACCTTGAATGATGAAAGCTGCTTGATAAAAGTCGGAAACCGCAATTGCACTTTATACATCATCGTCAAAACTTTATTAACCTAGGAAGCAGCATAATGAAGCAAGTGTTTTTCAAAAATATAAATTATAACGATCATCGTCAGGAGCGGCTAAACTATGGCTGCATGAAATGGAATAAACACAGAAAAGCCGCGCGCACGATCTGTGCAAGAAAATACTCCTCTGTGAATTCGATTTCACTAGACTCGCGGTTAGTCACGTGTCTCGCGGCCAAATCAATGCACACTTAATTGAGCCAAGTCTCTCGCTGCTACATCACAACACAATGCACTGCACCTGTAATCTTTTCGTTCTTTGCCTATCCGAGCATCCCCAGCCGAGGTGGCAGCGAACAATATATTCTCCAATAACAAAACCACGGCTGGTGAAATGCTGAAGAAGTTACGTGTGCACGTGTATTGATGACGAATGCATTGGTGTGGGTGGAGTGTTGGCGCAGTGGTTTGCGCACTACACTGTGAACCCGGCGGCCGAGGTTTTAATTGCCGGCCACGGCTAACATCAGTGGCGAGTGAAAATGTGAACCGAATCTTGAACACGCCTTCGTCAACTAGCGTGGTCAAGTGTGGCCAAACAACGCGATATTGAGTAACGCGGCCTGATCCAGATAGCTGTAGATAAATCAGAGAAGATCACTCCAGTATGTCACTGCCGCATGGATCGTTTTTTGGCCGCACAAAGTTGCCTTTGTGGGTGTAATTTCACATAGTGCAGCTCCTGCACGTTAATAATGTGGTACAGCGGCCACTCTGAGTGGACCGTTTGTGTGCACAGTCACCGGGAGCGCACGGACGAATGCCGTGCCTGTACATAAAGTTCAAGCGTTAAAGCCCTGAGCCAGTGGTGGAAACTCCACATTTCTACGACGAGGGCTAGTATTCCCGTAGGACAACTTCTCCACAATGTTGGCGCACAACCCATGCCTCAACAGAGCGCGTTTTGAGGCGACACAACGTGCGCGGCGTGGTCGGGTGTCATCACCATTGCAACCATCACCATACAGGTGTTGCCAACGAGTAACAGCGCGCGTCTCGCGTTAACTCGACAAGCACAGCCGTCAACTTAAGACGGCAGGCGCGTCGCGGTGCTGCATTCGCGCTCGTCACCGATCGCGACTCGAGTGCCCCCTTATTAGCAGTCGATGTGATCGCTCGCCACCAAAACAGTGAATCGTCATAATCGAGCAGCACCTTAAGTTTCCGTTAAAGATTCCGAGGTAATAATTTGCATTCTGGAACTAAGTCGTCTGGCGGTTATCGTAGCCTCAGATAAAACACCAAAGTTTAACTAGATACCTGCACGGTCGTCATCTCCTACAAGCAGTATCAGTCCTCTATGCCAAAAGCCAGTCAATTGGATGTCCGCTTCTCCTCCTCTGCTGCCGTGATGTCAGGAACTTTCCAACTTTGGCCGTCCACACGGATGGCTCCGAGACATCCACACGGATGGCTCCGAGTCACCCACACGGATGGCTCCGAGTCACCCACACGGATGGCTCCGAGTCACCCACACGGATGGCTCCGAGTCACCCACACGGATGGCTCCGAGTCACCCACACGGATGGCTCCGAGTCACCCACACGGATGGCTCCGAGTCACCCACACGGATGGCTCCGAGTCACCCACACGGATGGCTCCGAGTCACCCACACGGATGGCTCCGAGTCACCCACACGGATGGCTCCGAGTCACCCACACGGATGGCTCCGAGTCACCCACACGGACGACTCCGAGACATCCACACGGATGGCTCCGAGTCACCCACACGGATGGCTCCGAGACATCCACACGGATGGCTCCGAGTCACCCACACGGATGGCTCCGAGACATCCACACGGATGACTCCGAGTCATCCACACGGATGGCTCCGAGACATCCACACGGATGGCTCCGAGTCACCCACACGGACAGCGATACACCTCTATATCTAATCCAGGCTTTAGACTTTCTTGTTCTCCCTGTACAACTGTCCGTTTTCATATGCCCCAGTGTCTCATTCAGCTATCGACGTTACCTATTGCCCTATTACCCTCCTCTTACCAACTTCTCCTTACAATTGCATATAATTCCATGATCTCAAAGTCGAATGCTTTACATAGCGTACAGCGTCTCGAGATGCCGTCGGCTTTAGACGCCGTCATAACCCCCACGTTGCATGTGGCGTCGCCTCGCTCTGCAAATCGGAGTGACTCTCTCACATCAACCAGTTTTCAATTAAGCGCCGCTCATCTTCTCGACTTCTCTTCCCGCAAGGTCGCGGGTGCCGGGAAGCCGACTCGAGCTGCGAGAGCGAGGCGGATCGGTGCAGCGAGGACGAGATGAGCACGGACAGCGCGTCACCGCGCGCGGACCCGGCAGGCCTTGATCGCGATGGGTGCAGTCCGCCGCTGCACGGGGGCCGGGCCCCCTGCTCCCGCAGCCCCAGTTCGCCTACGGGAGGCGCCTCGGGCACCGAGCACCTCTTGCCAGCCAAGTCACACCTCCACCACCATCAGCAACATCATCATCAGCAGCCGCAACAACATCAGCAGCAGCAGCAGAGGAGGCGGCGGCGCACGGCGTTCACGAGCGAGCAGCTGCTGGAGCTGGAGAAGGAGTTCCTGAGCAAAAAGTACCTCTCCCTGTCCGAGCGCTCTCAGATCGCGGCGGCGCTGCGTCTCAGCGAGGTCCAGGTGAAGATTTGGTTCCAGAATCGGCGCGCCAAGTGGAAGCGCGTCAAGGCGGGCAACGGCGCGTCTCGGAGCGGGGAGCCGACGCGAAACCCCAAGATCGTGGTTCCCATCCCCATCCACGTGAACCGATTCGCAGGCAGAGGACCTCAACAGCAGCAGCAGCAGGACACACTGACTGCCGAGCAGACGAGCAGGCCAGCCGCTCCATAGCCTCTTTTGTTTAATGTAGAGAATGAGTCATTACTTTGGTCTTCAAATGCACAAACTGTGATATATATGTGTTAGTGTATATATGTATATTGTTGATCTCGTGGCGTCGTTGGCAAGATTGACACGACTGACCAGGCCCCTCGTAAGTAAAATGTATGTGTGTGAAAGAACTGCAACTCAAGTGAAGCGTTGAACCTTACCGGTGCGAATCCGCCACTAAAATCACGACCCCCGTTCCCACGCGCATTGCTCCTGTGATTGCGCGCTCGTGTTCGGAATGAGAGTTGCCGTACAAGAAGCGGTGTACAACCGCGCACGCTCAGTGATCGTCCCTGTATATTCAGCACACGATTCACACGTTTCTATGCATACAGAGAAAACGCCTGATTCACAATTCGTTTATTTTGGGTTAGATCGTGCAAGTATCATGTTTTGTTTTACGATAGACTCCCACCATTCGATAGAGCCTTTATCAAATAAAGTTGTCACGTGGCCAAACATGCCGCCAAATAATTTGGATTTTTACCAAAGCGTAGTGTTGAAAAGCAAGCAATTTTTTTGACAATTGTTTACGTTTTACTGGAGATTACACCCAGCATCATAAAGGTGTTAACAAAAACTCAGCTCTATACAATTAGCGAAAAACCTATTCCGTAAAATTACTCCAACCATAGGTGGGATCACGACGGGGCTACGCTTCGGGCAACGGGCAGCACTGTGGCAAAATCAATTGTTGTGCTGTACTATGCTCCTACGTCGATGCGCTCCCATGCCTTCGCCATCCTCGGCTGACTGGCGCGGCGCAGCATGGGTCAAGTAACTCCCACGACTCGCAACAGCGTGGGGTTGGCGCTCATCTAGCGGTGGATTTACAACAAGGGGGGCTGTTACGCGTGCACCGCGTAATCGGCTCCAGCAAGATACACCCCCACCCCCACCCCCCCCTCTGCTGGAAGTTGCCTTCGCCAAGCTATTTTTGTTTAATTGGCTCAATCTAAGCGGCAGGGTGTTTGATGTCCGAACGAATGCGAAAGCTCTCGGCTACGTGTTAATGGACCCGTGTCCCCGAGATTAATTAAACACGTGCACTCAGCCGCCACCGATCACGGGCGTTGCGCCGCTTGCACCGCAGTGCAAACCTGCGTCGCGGCTTCATTTTGTACCCCCCCCCCCTTCCCTCCCCTGTACAAAGCACACGAGTTGGAGATGGCGGGGGGGGGGGGCACCCGCGTGGGGTGGGGGGGGGGCACCCGCGCTCTCGGTGGTCAGCGGAATGCATGCGAAGCATATTTTTAAAGGGTCACCGTTTTCAACATATCGGTAATAAATTATTTAATTATACGTCCATGCGCGTCGTGTTCTTGACTCGTGCGAGCGTTACCCCGTCGCCGGCGAGTGTGTGTTGATGTGGATGCGAAGCGGTGCATTTTTGTGACGATCCGTCACGGCAACCCGCCTCTTTGATGCAGGCTTTTTTTTGGGTTAGATATTATTATTATTGATTAATATTGGTCGAGAAAGGCTACGTGTTCAATAGATCCGTCTCTTATTGAACCACGTGCCCGATACGGAGGCGAGAACTCGCACCAAGACAGCTGGGAGGGGGGGGGGGGGGGTCGCTCAGACGCTCACAAAATTGCTCGAAAGAATAAGTCGACGATTGAAGTGTCACTTTGTTCAAAATTGCCTTTCAAAAATGAATCATACCTTGTCATCTTATAGCGAGACATGGTATATATTTGTTATTATTACACTGCTGGATGACCACTCTCCCAACATTGCACTGGTTGCTGTGCTGCTTGATGGAAGTGGGTGGTGGCGGTCCCGTGTAAAAAACCATCAGATGTCGCTCGTCTCTGATGTTTTTTTTGTTGTTGTTGTGGGCGCCAATCGAATTCAGGAGCGCCCGGGTCCGCATTGGCATTGTGCGATTGTTGCACGGATCCACAGCAGTGAAGTGGTTAAAACCCAAATGTGGAATTTGCAGTACACATCACAATCCCTCGCGATAGCCCACGTAACGTTCATTATATATGTCTCACGTGGTTGCGAACGATTTTAAATAGAGTATACCGCAAGGTAAAAAAAAGAAATAATAATATTTTAAAAAAAAAATTCAGTGCACAGATATGGGCCTTCCACAAACATTTCACGCATTATACAAAACAACGCATGCCCCCTTACTTTTTAGTCCGCATGCAATCTGATATTGTTACCATCACACACCAAGATATATGAAATATAAAGAGTGAATGAATCGCTCCATTGATTGGGCCCCATCCCAGACGATTAGCACGGTTGGCTACGTAGGGTGCGAAAGAAGTTCGACATGTATACATCTACTGTGCTCGCCTGCGAGCGTGGATGCGTGTGAGTGCGGAGGCGAGCCCTAGGTCGACCTCGGCGCGTTAAACAATCAGCATTGGGGAGACAAAGGCGGCCGGGCGTGGTGTTGGCCACCCAACCACCTCGTTGTGCCGTTGTTGCCGACCTTTACGGGTGCTCGCGAACAGCGACTTGCCCCTGTTGAAAGCTACACGGGAGGATCTTTCTTAATTTGTTTTTACTTAATACTTTCGTGACTGCAGGAATTCATATTCTTTGGTTCTTTTGGTAAAGTCACGTAGATAAAAGAAAAAAATAATTTTAAAAAACTCACGACGTTTCGATCGCAACACAAGCGGTCGTCATCAGGCGGAGAGGAAAAAAAACGTCGTGGTTTTTTTTTTAAAATAAATTTGAATAATTGTATTATTTTTATTTTATAATTTTCTATCTACGTGACTTTAGCGAAAGAACCAAAGCATATGACCTCTCTTCTTCTGGATTTCAAGCGGCGGCGTGGTAGGCCGGGCACGGCTTAACGTCAGTGGCCGAGTTATTTCCGAACAAATCCCTGGGACTTCCACAAAGTAGGACTTTGCATTGAAGGCGAAGCTTTTGTGGGACGTGCAAACACCGGCACCTGGGGGGGGGCTGCTGGGGAAGATAAAGGCGGTTCCACGTGGTGCTGGCCGCCGTGACCCTTCACCCCCCCCCCCATCTCAAGCGCCTTCATTGCAGCACTCGCCCCAACAGTCTACACGGGGTGTGTGTTTTTGTATCGCCCTGTGCACGAGTGTGTCTCGGTGAGCGTGTGTGCAGGGCGGGGTGAGCGTGCGTGTGTGTGTGCGCGCATTCCGAGCAATCGGCGAGGTGTCACCATCCATCACCATTTACCATCAACACCAAATTGACAAATAATAATCATCTGTCATTGGCTCATCACGCCCGCGGAGTTTAGCGCGGCTCGGCGATTAACATCAGCTGTGAGGAGGAGCAGGGAGAGGCGAGGAGGAGGGGAGGGAGGTGGGGAGTGGGGAGGAGGGAGGTGGGGAGTGGGGGGGAGGGAGGTGGGGAGTGGGGGGGAGGGAGGTGGGGAGTGGGGGAGGTGGGAGTGGGGGGGGGGCCCGACCTGCGCATCCCCCGCAGCCCCCCCCTCCCTCCACCCCTCCCCTCTCTCGGTGAGACTCGCCACGCCATAGTGCGCTCAATTATATTTGTCTGATGTGGGGAGTCGCTCACTCCACGCACATTATTATCATGGTCATCTACAGCAGCGGTCACCAACCTTTTTGACACCAGGGACCGGTTTCGTGGAAGACAATTTTTTTCACGGACCCGGGGGGGGGAAGGGGGGGGGGTCATCTTTGGGTCTTCCTCCCTTTTCAATGAAGCTCTCCGGCGACGTTTGTTTTTTTACTCATTGTGGCTCCTAGGGGTTAGAGCTTGTGGGCTACACCAACACCGTGACTGAGACGAGTGCGCATTGCGGGAAAGAGGCGCGGACGGAAGCGGTAAATAAACAGGTCCCTGCAGGGTGGGCTGGTAGGACAAGTCTCTGCGCTGTCTATTGCTGATTTTACACCCCAACAGCACGAGATTTCACTTCGTTAAAGTATTGAAAGGGGACGGACGGACGGACACATTAATCTATTGCAGGCTGGTACACTCAGTTTACAACTTCGTTCCTACCAGTAAAAATAACGTGCGGGTTCCAAGCGTGGACTCACCACACTCACCTCCTCCTGCTCCCCAACCCCCGGGCCACGGACCGGTACCGGTTCGCGGCCCGGGGGTTGGGGACCCCTGATCTACACGCACCCTGCGCGACAAAGACAAAGATCCACCCCTGCAGTCGTCAGTAGATCGTTGGCACAAGCGCTGTTAGCGAGCGCCTATTAACACGGCTGGCAACGACACACGAGAGAGTCGGTTGCCAACGGGCCGCCAATGCTGATGTTTACACACCGTGGTACTAATTTCAGGCTGAGTCGACCTAGGGGCGGGGGGGGGGCAGGACCGGTCCAGATATTCGTCACCGTCGTCGGCTGTGAATCGGATTGCGTTACGAACCTGTACCTTGCCCGTAGCTTGTTCTGTACGCATAAGACGCTGTTCAGAACTAAACAACATTCAGTGACACCGGCCTAGTTAACTAAGACAAATATCCCCGTATAGCCTTCACAAACTGTGGGGGCAAGTGCTGTTAGCGAGCACCTTTGAAGGCCGGGGGGGGGGGGGTGGCCAGCACCACGCCCGGCCGCCTTTGTCTCCCTCGTGGCAATGTTTACTACACACCGCACCAGGTACTCAATCGAGGCTGAGCCGACCTAGGGGAGGCCCATGACCGGTTCAGATAATCGTCACTGGTGTTGGCCATGAGGAGGAATCGAACTCGGGTTGCCAGGTTCTTAGCGCAACACGCTAACCGCTACACCCCCCCCCCCCCCCCTCCATAGTTAACAAACCACTCAACACATTTGAATAACACCGTGGCCTCAAACGGAAATATATAAATAGGCGACGTTTCGGGCAATGACCCTTATTCTTAGCACCGATCCAGATAGACAGACGCTCCTCATAGGCAAGGTCACAACCCATTGGCGAGCATGCGGGCGGAGAGGATATCTCTATTTTTTCAAAGAACTGGGTTAAATAAATACAGCGACATAGCGAATTCCATGAGAATAAACATACACTCGACTATTATTTAGATTTGTTTTTTTATTTCAGCAGTAAAGGGCCCAATGAGCTGTTCTTTTCTACACAGATATCAGTTACAATTATTTCACTCTGTGCGTAACTTAATAATGTAATCGCTCTCATTAATTGTAATGCTTACCGTATCCGAGTAACGAGTCTGTCTCCAAGTTTCGATGTCACGTTCTCACCGTGATTATAGCCACGTGTTCGCGTATTTCCCATAAGCTCACCTCTAATGCGCTACGGACCTTCACATACGCGGGTTCGAATCCTGAACACTCATGCGTATCACCACGAGCAGGCGTCGGCAGTTGACCGCCTCGTCTGGACCCATCCTCGGTCCACTCAGCCAACAAACGATGACCCGGTGCCGTCGCCGTGTAGGCGATATCAGTGGTCGGGATTTGTGAGACCAAGCGCGCAAGGCGCGCGTGGTCGTGATGATGATGATCATCTAACCTGTCCACTCGTGTGCAGAGTGCCGGCCTTAATAGATGCTCGCTGCGTGTAAATGTAAGCTCACACAGGTGTACATGCGCCACGTGCGATTGCATTTACGTACTGTCATGTAGCGCATTTAAAACAAAAAAATGAAATCCGCCTATCCAAGGAAATCCTCAGCAAGTCTCAACACTGCTTTTTAGGAGGGCCACGCATTGGCCAATTCATTTTCAATAAGCGGCGTTTTACTTCGTGTGGTAAGGAAACGGAAAATCCACCACGTCATCCTAGGGGGGGGGGATAACGCTCGAAGTTCCCTAGAGAAGGATTGACGAGCCCTCTTGCTGTAACTGCAAACTCGCGGTCTACTCGCGGCTCAGCAGGTTGGTTTTTTTTTGGGTTGAGTTTCACGCGGAACCTCTGCGTGATCCACAAACAATTTTACCTTCAAGAAAGCGCTGGATCACAGGCGCCCGCCTCAACGCCCTGATTAATTGCATTGCGGAGGAAGAGGGGCGGGGTCGGGCGGGGGACAAGGAGGAGAGAGGTAACGGGAGAGAGAGCCTGAGGACGCGCACGGCTGCGTTCGCCTCTGAATTCAAATCTCATCTCGAGGCTCCGCCTGCTCCGCGCCACCGCGCGCCGTCATTAAAAGAGAAACCCCGCGTTTGAACTTCGCGCACCCTTTGTGATTTAGATACAGAGAGCACGTGATGGGATCAGTCTAAACTCCAGGCAGTGGGCGGTTGTTACACGCGCCAGCCTCCTTTAGCAATTACATTGGGACCCCCACTCCTAATGTTCAAACCTGGGCCTCGGTGCAGTTTCACTGCCAGCAGACTCCGTAGCTACGTGACTGCCGTCGAGTGAGAATGTGTGCCACCTTGCATCATTGCATCACCACGGTGAGCCGCCTTCCACGATGCACGACCCCTGTGCCCCGGGGTTAACTTCAGCCCGAGCTGTCCGGGGGCTGGACTCATGGAAATAGCCCTCCTGGTTTGCATCATGAGCTGTACGCCGCGATTGGCTGTACTGCCTTCTCCAACGCGCTCCTTTTTGCCCTGGAGTCAGGAGTCTCTGCGTGATCCACCAACCCCCACCTCCGGGCCTGGTTCTGGATGAGGCCACGCGACCACGCCCAGAACTAAATGTGACCACTGCCAGCTGAGTTCGGATGTGGGGTTCCAAAAAATTGGACGCATTCTCTGCAAAATCGCTTATGCCTAAATGTAACAAGACTCATGCGCGTAGCCAAGAGCGTAGCTTGTACGACTCAATGTTGTTTTTTTTTACTGAAGCTGCACTCCCACGGTACTCGGCACGTCCCGACACACAACCATAACCGTACATTCCAACAAAGATAAACGACCGCCCCTATAGCCTTCATCAACGTCTGGGGCAAGTGCTGTTAGCGAGTACCGATGCAAGCCAGTACGGCACACGAGACGGTGGGTGGGCAGCAACACGCCCGACCGCTTTTGTCTCCCCAGTGGTGATGTTCACACACACGCACGCGCCACCAGGGTACACATTGGAGGCGGAGTTGTGACCTCGCCAAAGGGCCGGGACCGGTTCAGATAATCGTCACTGGTGTTGGCCGTGAGCGGAAATCGAACTCGGGTCGCCAGGTTTGTAGAGCTGCGCACCAACAACTTTGCTAGTGCTCCCCAACAGGGTGTGTTTGACACATCCCCATGTGACACTCATGCTACACATCACGCCACACAGCAAGTGACACTGTCGTCATCACCACAGCATGTGTGCCAGGCTAGGTGCACACGAAGGCCACGATAAGTGTTGAAGGCTCCCCGTCATATCACAGGACACATCATGCACACACCACGTAGCACAACACCACACACCTTGTTGGCACAGCGCACATATACACAACATAACACACGCACACGCCGTGCACACACACGCGCCATGCCACACAACAACGCTCATGCCAAAAGGTGGAAAGGGCTTCCAAGGGCCAATTAAGGCAGCTAACGAGCCGTTGGCGCCTGCAGCCTGTAAATCCCAACTGTGCCCGAGGCTACACGTTCTTTGTGCAGAACCAGCTCCATTGAGAGGTGACCGGGCCCTCCCAAGGCCGCACCTGCATAGCAGGACCGGGCTTTGTAGCACAGTTATCAGCCGAGTGCAGAATACACGGATGAAACCCGCATGGACACACAACCTGCACGGGGCACGTGCTTTTAGAGAGCACATAACGAAGGCTGGAATGGCGAACAACCCCGGGGGTGGGTGTGGCGAAATTCACGCCCCGCCACGTGCGTCCCCAGTGCTGCTGTTGATAGACCGCACCCGGTAGCAATTTACGACCGAGTTGACCTAGCACCAGTTTCGATAGCACTCGCTACTGTTTCGTTTCTAGGAATCGAACTCAGGTAGCCAGGTTCCCAGTGTTGTAGACTAACCACTGTACCACTGCTCCACACACATGTATACACGCATGCTACTGGCCAAACATCACAGGCTGAATGTTTTAGACTCGAGGTTTTCCTGGGTGGGCATATCTTCACAGTGGGTGAGAATTCCCTCTAGCCACGTACGCACCTCTGAGGCCAGTGTATTGGTGTGGTAAAATAGTATATGGACATCTCACCCAGCCTGCATAGACGGAATGCCACTGAAGCAGTGAGCAAACCTTAATCGGGCATTCTGCACTTAATACATTTTTACCCCTGCAATAAAAATAGCTTTAGCTAAAGGTACTATTTACATGCATGATAGCAAGCCAAAACAATACATTTGTCGTGACTGTGATTGTCACTGTGTGGTGTCGGGCTTACGAAGCCACGGCGGATAATGTGTTGTTGGCATTACGTGTAGCCTGCTTACTGGGCGTAGTACCACCGGCCCTAGCGGTGCTTGGGTGAGCGCTGGTTAGCGTGGGGACACCACGTCCAGCGTGCGGTGCGGGCTCCCGGTGAGGGAGCGAGAGAGAGTGACAGCCAGCCAGGGTTACGTTGGGGCATGACACGCTGGTTGACCTGCCGACACGTGACCGGATGATATTGGAGGGGGGGGGGGGGGCACGGGGAACGGGGGCCGCTGGGCGGTCACGTGGTCTAAAAGATCTTTCGACGGAGCCTTCGGGAAAGAGCTGGAGAGATCTTGGAGGTTGGCGGGGCGAAGAGCGGAGCCAGCCCCAGCCCGGGCCGATATAACGGGGGCCCCATGAGGGCCTCGGGGTTCTTCGTGTTGCTGGTGATGAAGATCCACGTCGGGTAAAAGAAGCCTCTAGCCACACGGTCCGGGACCCAGCTTGTGTTCCGGGACCCAGCTTGTGATCCGGGCCGGGATAACGGGACCGTGTCTAGTTCTGCCGTAGCGTGACTAGATGAGCATTCGACACCCAAATGTAGGTTGTGTTATGTTATGTTGATTTATTGAATAAATAGTGTCGCTCCCAAGACAACGTCTGCGACTCAGTTGGACTCACTACACACTAATGTGCTAAAAGGATATTGTTATGAACATAGTTTATATAAAATATTATGTTTGGATAGCAACCAAATTGACTATGGATTCGTTGCAGTGGTGCTTGTGCTTGTGCACCACTGCCAACGCAGCATCATGAAAGAAACGATACGTTTAATAATCCTCTGTACGGTTAAGTTAAATATTTGCTTGAGTTTAACCTGCGATGTTACTCCAAGGAACAGAGAATTCGCACAGACACAACATTCTCATTTCAACACTTTTCGTATTGTTTTTATTTTACGTCTTTTTAAAATTTATTTCCATTTTTATATTCTCACAATAAAAAAACAAAACAATATATTGTTTCTTTAATTTTTAAAATAATACATTACATGGTATGAGTCGCCTGATGTTATTTGAGCGTGTAAAGTACATAATACTGACTTCCAATGCATTTCTACAAGAAATTAAGCAACAATAGCCCTGCCTCATATATGCTGTACGGTAAACGTTTAAACGCAGAGTATAGATTGAGAGTAAAAAATACAACGGACATAAATTCGCAATTCCTGCACGCGCAGTGTAACAACCTCCGGGACACACCCACTCTCACTCAACTCACTCACTGGTGTCCCTGGATCCCGAACACCCCAGTCCCCTGGACCCTGGGCCACCCAAGCCAGCCCCTGACCCAGGTCACTCAACCACTCTGACCCTGGGTCTCAGCCCTGAATTTTAGCCATACCGGTTGCCAACACTCAGGGCCCTCTGGCCTCTCTGGCCTTACTGGCCCCAGCCACCTGGCTGACCAGTGTCCCTGTTCCCTGGCCTCGTGGTGGCCTTGGTTTCCGAATGATGTGGTGGTCCAAGACCCCCTTCCCCTGGTCTCCTAGTGGACTTGTCTGCCCAGAGGTTGGGGGAGCGGGAACTGTGGACCTTTAGGTGCCGACGGCACTATGGGAGGGGAGTAGGTGGGGTCCTGCGTGAGGGGGGGGGGTATCACAATAAATACACGCCTGCAGCACGAGCATAAAAATTATTTACACCTTATAAATATTGTGCTGTACGTTGCAGCATTTACAAAATATACACTGGCCCGCGCTATGGTACAAATGCGATTCGGGTAAATAAATTAAACCGCCCGTGTGAAGCAGCACACGGTGCGGTGCTGCACCCGCCACACATACGACTCTCACAAACAAAGACACGCAGAGATCGTAATCCGAGGTGCCTCTTTTCCTGTCTTCTCGCCCGGAACCACGCGGGGCGCGCAGGTTTCACACCCCTGCCTAATGAAAGGACCCATTATGCCGAGTTGCAGACGACCCAAGAATTCACCTGTGCAAGGTGTGCGGGCGGGGGGCCAAGAGTGTGAAGAAGGAACGGTCCAAAGCAGAAGGGGGGTCGACGGATACAAGGGGAATTCAGAGGGAGAGAGTTGGTGGTCACTACTTGGAATTCAATTCTCAGTGTAACGCTGGTTCCAATGAGCAAGAAAAGATGAAAATGTAACCGCAAGTACTTCAAACTACTGCCTTCGTGTGGTCGTGCTGCAGCAAAGAAACAAAAAAGCATCTCAATTCCTGACCGATATGCAGACGCTATGCAGGCAATCTACGTAAGTTTTCACTTGCTCAAATAACCAGGCTATGCACATTACAGTGGCAGCTACTTTTAAATACTACAATTGCAGGCGGCGTTATAGTGCGATGGCGATCAAAGTGGTCCTGAAAGTCGTTTACACACTTACGCAGTGAAGTACTGGATTTATTCGCAGCAAGCCAGAATGAGTATTCAAAGTCTGCCCTTCTCGGTAGCGTTTACTTGAATGAAAGGTGGTTACTTTCGAACGGTAATATGCAAGCCATACACAGCACAGGCAGTCACTACAATAACACTGTAGGGAAAGCCAAAACACCTGCAACTTGTAGAGAACAGCCGGTGAAATCTATTGAAATACATTCCGTGCCGCTGGTACTGTTTGTTCGAAACGCCGTGTACATCCCATCATCTGCCAACTGCGCAGACACCTGAATGCTCTCATTATTCTCAACACTTTGTTGCCATTTGTAGTCACTACAATTGCAAAGTTACCAGAAAATACCAGCAATGAAGTGGAGTTATCTATAAAGTTCTTCAACAGGAGTGCTGGAGGGGTTATCACGTTTGTTCACTTCCTTTAGTAAAAGCTAATTTGCCTCTGCAATGTAGCTGTGACCGACATGAGGGTGTATTTACAGATGCAAGCCTGGAACTGGATGTGCACTGGAACATTCACAAGTTTCATATTCTTGGTTCTTTCGGTCAAGTCACGTAGAAGGGAAACAATAAAATATGAATCCCTGCAGTCACGAAAGCTTTAAATCAAAATTCACAAGTTTGTCGTCAGGGTCGTTACGTGACGTGCCTAAGCGTACGTTTAATTCAGCACTTTTTGCAGTGGTTGCAGCATCTCCTTTAAAACTCAACGGCAGTGACCGAAGGGGGACCACAAAACTCAGTGGGGCTTTGTCCCGCTCTCTATGCGCGGGGGCCTCTCAGCCCGGCGTCCAGCAAGATCCTCACGGGGGGGGGGGGGGGGGGTTGGGGGCAAAGGTCAGACACACGCACGCACACACAAGCCTTCCAGAACGTCCGCACGACCACATGCATTCTACCGACAACACCAACTAAACAGAAACATTTTAAAAAACGCACGGCTCAAGAAAAGAGCCTCTGTGCCCACTTTCGCAAGAACACGTGAACTTTATACGGAGATTACTTAAGAAGCAAAGCAGAGAGTTGTTCCTTGTCAAGCATGCTCGTGAGATGGGAGAGGTGGAGTAGCCGTACAAGCAAAGCGCTTGTGCATGCAATGCCCTACGCAGGACGGATTCGCACAGCGAGCAGACCGCCTTGTTAGCGGTCGCGTGCGACAGCTCCCTGACCGACCGCGGACAATGCCGCCGACACGCGACTATAACCAGGCAGGCGGGACGAGCGCAGGGCTAGAGCCCGAGCACACGTGACCCACGCACTCGGCGAGCCCGCTCGCGCTCGCTTGTCCGCCGCTCAAATCATGCTCGCCGAGGTCTTCATGTCACTCCTGCCGGTGAAGCTGCTGCTGCTGCTTATGCCCACGGCGGCGACGGCGGCGCCATTGTTATTGTTGTTGCCGCCGCCGCCGCCGCTGGAGTTGCTGTTGTTGATGTTGGGGTTGCGCCGCGTGGGGTTGGGGGTGGGCGCCGAGGCGTTGCCGGTGCCGGCATCGTCGGGGCAGCCGTACTGCAGGAGCAGCTCGGCGCACTCCTGGCTGCCGGCGCGGCGAGCCGCCACGAGCGCCGTGTAGCCGTGCGCGTCCCGGGCACTCACCTCCACGCCGTACTGGGGGGCACAGGGGGGCGGCAGCGGTCGTGAGACGCAAACAAACGCATTGATCCCACCCGTGTAGCTTTTTGCCACGCTGGTGGGGCAATTGCTGGTTAGCGGTCACCTATTGTGTATGCTGGGACTTCTTTCGCACCGTACGTAGCCAAACGCACTAATTAGTTGGTACGTCGGACGAGCTCAGCGGATTTTGTCACACACGGTCGCAGATAAACGAGAGGTTCTGTTTGGCCTCGTTGAAGAAATAGGGGATATATCTATGTAATTATTAGTTTAGACATTGGACAATTTAGATGGTTTATTGATATATTTTTGGACAACTGTGAATACGATGCGATTTGCATAACAATAATATTGGTTTGTTCATCCGATTCTACACTCAGCCTCGAGACTAACTTTTCAAGAGTCTTGTCTTGAGGTGTTTGCCATTGAAAGTAACTGGTTGTTAAAAGTTTAACCTTTGTTCTTTTTTACACTGGCCATTAAAGGCACTTTCAAATAAAATGACAAATTTAAAAATATACAGTGAGCTGCAGTTGGGTTATGACATCTATGATAAATTGATGCCACATGAGAATGACGGACAAGGGCGGTGGACTGCCAAGGCAGATTTGTCAACCGAGCCCAGCAGGGCGAAGCCCTGGACCAGCGTTGAAAAGCTCAGCTGGGAAACTCTTACCAAACCGGCCTCTCGCAGCGATACCCCGTCGCTGAAATGTTTGTTTTCGGCGATGGACAAACATTGTTTTGTGGGCCACGTAAAAATCGGTCCGGGCCTTACGTGACCCATGGGCGGTGTGAGAAAATGAAGTCGCGGTCCATATCCGCCCACCCCCCAACTGCACAAAAGCATCACCGAGCGGGAATCTCTCGTGACGGTGACGAGGGTGGTGGTGGGGGTGGGGGGGTGGGGTGGGGGGTGAGCGAGCCCACGCACGCACCCAGATGAGCAGCTGCGCCAGCACGACGTTGGCCATGGCGCAGGCGAGGTGCAGCGCCGAGCGTCCGTCGCCGTCGCCGTACGTGTCGTTGACGTCGTCGCGCGAGCCGTGGGCCAGCAGCAGCACGGCGGCGCGCAGGTCGTCCTCCACGACGGCGCGCAGCAGCTGCTGGCCCAGCGGCACCTCGCAGGCCGGCGCCGCCCCCAGGAACGCGCGGCTCTCGTACTTGGCACGGATCCAGCGCTCCTTCTCCTCCCTGGTGGCACGAGCGAGGGCGGGCGGGCGGGCGGGCGGGCGGGCGGTCGAGACTCGCGTGAGGATATTCCGTTGGTGGCCGTGCACAAAGGGTCATCCCCCAAAGAGGTAACGAGTGACACCACTTTCCGGGATGCAAATGGCAGCTCTCTGCCGGTGCTCTCGCTCGTGCCGATTCTCCGATGTGCCGTGCGGGCGAGTCCGTGAATCGTCAAGCATCCACCGAAAGCACGGAGTGGACGCGAAAGCATCGCAGATTTTTTTTTTTTTTTAAAAAAAGGGCTTCACACCTCTCTCAAACACACGTTCCGCAATGACAGATTAAAAAAAAAAAAAACAAATCGTTAAAGATCGGCATTTCCGTAAAAAAAAAAATCTATTGATATATTAGTTGTGACAAATTTGATTGTGTGCGGGTGTCACTCCAGGTCAATTAGTTTTTTTGTCTTGTTTTTATCGAAAACTGAATGAGGAGGGGGAAACTCGGTGCAGAGATCTTTGACCTCATTCAGCTGGGATTACAAAACACGGCGAGAGTGCAGCAAACACCCCCGGCGGAGAGAAGAAGAGGGATGATTGACAGGTCACGACACGGCGCGCTCCGCAGCGGGGAGGTGAGGGCTCCCCGGAGACTGGGGCCATGACACGCTGTCAATCTCAAACGCACGGCGCAAACCCTCGCACCCGAAGAGCCCTCCCCCCATCGCGCACTTTTACTCCAAAACTCTTTGTGGGCCATTAACGTCTGCGTTCGATGTCCGCGCCGCTTTACTCGCTGAAGAACCACCGGCTCTTTATGCAAAATGACAATAACCAACAACTCGTTCGCATCCGCTTAATTTAAGGCTTTAAAAGGCTTAGGGCAATGCACCTCCGATTATTATCACAGTTGGCTACGTACGGTGCGAAAGAGGTTCAACATACATACAAACGTATCACTCAAATATGTAGGGTGGGTTAAATATCAATCCGATGTAATTGTTGTTTCAGCGTAGTAATAATAACAATGATCTGAATATTTAAAGCAGCGCACGTTTATGATGAGAACGCGCTCGTGACAAAGAACGCTTCCACACAACATTACACAAACATTTCAGCAGCGGGTGGTGGGGCAGCAAATGGAGGGCTCGCTAACAGCCTTATTTAATTACAGAAGTCAATTGACACCTCGGTGCATTAGGTGCCCAGATGGCCGAGCTGCACGCGGCGATGGGGCACCCCCCACCCTGCCCCCCACCCTGCCCCCCACCCCCCCTTCCCGCGCGGCACCACCGCACACACCTCAACGCAAACTCCGCACAGAAGAGGCCACATCGAGTAAGGAGCAAATTTCCTGTGCCTCTTTTTCCCCTCCCGAGATGGAACGCGGCCATTGTCTTTGTGTGGTCAATACAAAAACAGTCCAAATTTCCTCTCCGCGGGGGAGCGAGAGAAAGGAGGGGACGAGGCCCCCTCCGGGCCGGCCCGGCGCTGGCCAAGCGAGCCGGCCGCCGGCTGCCGCAGCCGCAGCAGCAGCGCATGCCTTCCCTCTCGCCAGCCGTTGCTAAGAGGCCGGCGTGCAACACCGTGCGGCCAGACGCTCTCCTGCTGCCCCGGCGCGAGGCACTACGTGTGCCAGCACGGACGACGTTCGCACGATCCAATGGGGGTAGTGATAATATAATGAGAATGATAATTACTTATTCACCCAGGAAGGGCTACACTGAATATTAAGTATATCTCGGGACGGTACTGCATTCGGGATGTATGGTCAATGCCGACTTGTTTGTACACTCATTGAATGTTTTTTTGCTGAACGGGGACGGACCTGGAGAAGCTGGAGGAAATCCATGCTGAACAGGGGTAGACTGTACAAACGCCACACTGAAAGGCACCTGAGTCAGGCTTCGAACCCAGGTGATTCTTTCTGTGGGGTACCAGTCTTACCACTACACAACCCTGCCGGGCTTGCCGCGTTACGAGCAGACTGGCTTATTATCTTTGTGCGGAATGAGTTGAAGCTGTCCCATGTAATGTGATGTCACTAACGATGAATCACATGTGGGATGGAGTGGTGGTGCGGTGGTTAGGAGCACCACGGTGGCGAGATGTTAACTACCTCGCCTGGGATACAGAGGTTATGGGTTCGATCCCAACCTTGACGCCTGCATATTTGTATTTTTCTCCGGGTCCTCCAGTTCGTCCCTCCACATTTATAAACTTGCTTTTAGAGTATTTGGCTTCTGTACATTTCCACATAAGCCACTTCATAGAACTATCATGTGGCCAGGTCGCTTCTAAGGAAAGCTAAATAGCTCAGTGGGTCTTACCTGGTAAAAAAATAAATAGTTTAAATAGTTATAAATAGTTTAGTTGACTCGCTGCCATATGAATTCGGCAACTTGAAATAAATTGCCATAGCCATAAACATCTGCATCAGTTACGATGGAGTCTCCCCTTCACCAACCCGCACTGACCAGCATGGTGAAGTATGGTCAAACAATCCACATGACCAGCACAATGTGGGGAGGCCTTCACCCAGGAGTGGATTAACTAAGGGGCCGTGAACTCACGATAATGCCAGGCACCGAATCGGGGATTATGAGGTGCCTTACAACTGATAACCGTGTAAATTGACTCAGGTGATGCATTTCGAACAGTGCCACGTGTAGTGGTTCACATTTATAATGTATAGTTTCTTTGTTTACAAAGCAAAGCCTCAGCGAGCCTCAAGACGCTTTTAATGAGGACTTCTGGTTTAGATTTTTTTTACTTTAATTTGTCGAGTATTTTTATGCATGGGAGGAAACCACAGTGGCATTAAAAAAAACACTTGCATATGAAACAAATAGGTCAAAGGCCTACTTGCCATACTTCCTCATTACTCTACAATGAGACATTAGCCAGTGGTCTGGCAGGTGCGTCATATCATCTACAGCCTTCGTGTGAGCCATAAATCCGGACTTTAAGTCACTGGAAAAGAGGCGTGCACTGCCAAAACGCTGGGAAACAATAATAATAATCATTTTAAAAAGCCAATGTCACTGTAGCAATCACCTCCATGCCATCAATCTCTCGCTCCCATGCACGACACATGAAAGTGTGAGACAGCGCCGCGCAAAATCCACACCGATCGCGGAGGAGACTTCAAAGCCTGCGACAAACCACACTATTCAGCGCGCTCTCCACACCCCATCCCGTTCCTTCAGCTGCAATTTTTTGTTATAATGGCCTCCACAATTCGATCGCAAACTTCTGCTCGGGAGGCAGAGCCTGTGGGGCCGGCGAGTTTGCGAAGGGGGGTGACTGTGCTCTCGGGAGCCGCGGTGGAGGAAGAGGAGACGGAGGGGGCCTTGAGGGAGCAGCAGCTGTAATTGCGGCAGAGTTCCCATCACAAAGGGGCGAGTGAGACAATGGTCTCAGGAAATGAACTCGGTGAGCAGAGATTAGCATTGAGGCGAGACATGCACACGCGCGCAAACACAAGCATAAACATGCGCGCGTTCATGCACCCGCGCAGCAGCATCCGGCAGCGCCAACAGCTGCGGGGGGTGTCCGGACGGCGGAGAGACGCGCGCGCTTGCTCGCGCGTTAAACCCACGCAAGACGACGGGGAGAGGGCTTCCTCCGTTGCCATTCACGTAAAAATCCCACGAACAGACATTTTGCTTTGACAGCGAACAAGAATATCCAATCATCGCAGTAAATCTAAAGGTGATTGATTACCGTGACCGTTCATGTGCGATTTCCCTCTGATCTCTGCCGGGAAAATGAGAGATCCCTCTTTGTCAAATTGCAAAATGAAACGAGCGTGACCGTTTGGTGCACAGTCGACGCAAGAAGCCACGCATAGTATCACAACATCCGTAAGCTGCGTGCCCTTTGGCGGGACCTGTCGGGGAAATCCTGTACCTTGTATGAGAGGAAAGGCAGCATCTGCCAACCATGGCATGAACAGATTGCGCAAAGTTAATCTCCAAATTTACCTCCTATTACAATTCCACAATGTGATGCGCAAACCACTGGTGCCCAATGCAGAGCTGTTGGATGCCCCTGGCTGCCGGCCTTTAAGGGGCCCGCATGGGCTCTGAGAGCCAATGCAGCAGTTGCCTCTACAGTGACTTCCACGTACCCATTTTCCATGCAAGCAATGCGGGCCCCCGACTGAAAACCCGCCCTGTGCTCTTCTGGGTAGAGCTTGCCCAACGTGCTAGAGAATCAGGGGAGCTACTGACGGCCGAGAGGAACAGAGTGAACCTGTCACATGTGGCATGTGCCGAAAGTGCCACCAGAGTTAATCCGGTGCTGATCCTGGGCGCAATTTTGGAACCGTCATCAAACAAAAGATCGTTGCTGCAGTGCATTTCGATACAGCCTCTTGTCAGTAAGAGAGAGGGGGGGTTGGGGGGTGGTTGTGTGGGGCATACAGCCGGTCACCCAGTGACATTGGAGACCGCAAGAACACACGGCGAAACTGCATCGGCGGCCGAAGCTCATGCTCTCGGACGCAGCGTTGTCCCCGTGCCTATTAGGCAAAAGGGCTTGCGGCGCTCGCGGGTGATTATTACGGGCAGCGGCTTAGTGTAATTGCAGCAATAAAGCAAATTAGACGCATGTTATGTAAATTACATGTGAGGCAATCTCGCTTTGGCTGGGAGAGCACGGTCACCCTCGGCAGCATTTCCCTGCTCTGTGCATTCCCACGCGTGCCGTCCGCTCGTCTCTCCGCCCATGCCCGGCTAGCAAACGGGGCCACAGGGTGTGATCATCCGCTTGCATTCAATTACTTTTACCCGTCTCCAATTTAATTGAATGTAGTGATGTGTGCTCTACAATTCCTTTTCTTTAAATCGTTAATGCTAAATCGGCATGATTATTCCAGTTTAACCTGCGCCTTTTGGAAACAAAACAGCAAAACGGGCGCCGAGGAAAAAAAAACGATTCGTGACGGGCGCGCGCTTCGCGGCAATGAATAACGTGGAATTAATTGCGATACAGGAGGCAGGAGTAATTCATCAGCGCACAAAACCGTGGACATTTCCACAGATGCGTGCCACGGAAAAAAACGCGTGATGATGTTAAAAAAGAGGAAGGCAAGAAAAAAATATCACGGTCCAAAAAAGGGACGAGCCATTTCAGCTCAGGCACTGGCACGGGGTGAACAATTTGGGGCAAAGTGCGGCGTCACGCGAAATCGGATGCTTCCTAAGCTCGGCGATCTAATTCGGCTGCAAAAAAATTTGTGAAGCTTTCGGCAAAATTCCATGACGTGCGTGTGTGTGTGTTGAACCTCTTTTGCACAGTACGAAGCCAACCACACTGTAATTTATAATGAGAGGTTAAGCAGACAGGGGGCGTGCGGATTGAGTGAGAGGAGGATCGTGGAGAAGGAAGCGATGGGATCATTACCGGCACACGACTCAGAGCCGTAATAATCAGATGTCGGAGTGTCTCTCATTAGCCTGATGGAGATGCCCTGGGGACCATTCAATCAATGTCAGGCCACCGGCAGCCTTTATAGGCCAAGGAAAAAAAAACATCTTGTGGGCCATTAAATACGCAAGTACCGCAATCACGTATCCATTAATGTGGCCAGTAATAAACGCAACGTATCTATTTCGCCACCAAACTAAATTCAAACAGGGCCCCCACTTAACATGGGTACGGTGCGAGCAGGTAGGCTGTGTAGAGCGACTGAAAACAAAATTAATTGGACAAAGCACATTAAGACGGCTCTCCCACTGAAGGCGTTTGTTGTCAGGATGAAACACTGACCGCAGCCCAACCTCGATTATCCGCACTAATTACGGGCAGGGAATTTGAGAATCGTCTGAAAGCTGCATATTCAGCCTACTAAGCTAGCAACAAATGGCAACAGTAATTCTTAACTCTTTCTTTTGATTTCATGGGCAGTATATGCCATAATTATTTTCTCTAATAGGATCTCTCAATTTATTCATTTCACTCAGAGTGCTTAGATCTAAAGCCCTGGCACTCAAGAGACAATTTTCACAGGATGGCATAAAGACAACAAAGGTGTAGCCCCTGCAGTAAACCAATCAGCAGCAGGGATGATGTCATACATGGGCTCGACACCCTGCCCTCTACCCAATGGGAAGCTCAAAAACATCGCTGTCATCGCCCAATACTTCTGTAGGTGTCTCAGAGCTTTGGGTGATGGCGAGCATCGAGCAGCAGTTTGATCTTTGGGCAGCACAGGACCCCGTTAGCTGCTCTTCTGTCTCTCCTCACGATCTCCTCGTGCGCACGGCTTAACCTTCTACCTCCGGAAGCAAGCGGACATTTCCTCACGACCGACAGGTTGTGACAATACTGAAAGCTAAACTGGCATATAATTACACACACAATAATTGCGCATCCTCCCAGGGAGACTTGCGTCTCTTGCCCGCTCACCTGGGCGAGTCTGGCTGCGGCTTGCCGAGGCCCTGTGTGTCGGCCTCCCACACGCCATTGGCCGTGGCGTTGCCGATGGCCAGCATGACGGCAGCGAGCTCCAGCGGCCAGTCGTCCAGGTCGAGCGAGCGCACGCGCGAGAGGTGCGTGCCCAGGTTGCGGTGGATCCCCGAGCACTCGATGCACATGAGGGCGCCCAGGTTCAGGCTCGCCCAGTCTGGGCCTGCGTACGGCGGACAGATGGATGCAAGGACCAGACGGGGGAGGAACGGTGATCGCGGGGTGAGAACAGTGTGAGGAGAGCGATTCCGCCGGCTGTTCACGTCGGGGCGGTGGTGTTAACGGAAGCGTGGCCGAGCCCAGGGGTCAGCGCACCCTTCGATGGGTCAACATGTATGGGGTCACCGTGGATCATCACCTGCTGTATCGTTGGAAGCCGACGACCCTGCCATGACGTTGCCAAGAGGAGATTACAATGTGCCACAGTCATCGTCAGTTTCTCCAACAATGGCATTAATTGCCGTAAAATATATAGCCCAAAGTGATTATTAATTCCTTGGAAATCTACCCAGATCCCCTTTGAAAGAGAGACACGGGGCTTAATTCATGTATTATTGTAAATGGCTTTTCTGCAAAATGTGCCCAATTTCCCACCAACTGCTGATGGAACAACGAATCAGGTCCAGGGTATGAGCATGGTTGGCTACGTATAGTGCGAAATAAATTCAACACACACACATACAACAACCCCGTTGTACAAGAGATCAACCGGCTAAAAGGCCAAACTGCACAATGAACTCACTGGGAGCATCACAGTCGACACAGAAGGCATTCCCTCGGATGTTCCTGATGGACTGGATGGTGACGGCGTCGCTGTGGCTGCCCGTCCGTGTCTACGGAGTACGGACAACGCACACAAACACTCCCTTAACGATCCTCGCACAGTTACCAGGGCTTCACTTAAGACAGGTCTCCTTGTACTCCAGTGACAGCCGCAGACTTGATACGCTAGATGCGGACTCGTGACGCCGGCAGTGCTGCGTTAATAATTATTTGCCTTGCAAAATATATTCAGAAGCCTCATGTTCCTGCTGCATCATTAATGAACCGTGTTAAAAAACATTAAATGCCTAATTCCGATAATATAATACACACTTCACGATAGCTATTATTATAAATAGTGCACTGACACAATGTGAACATCAACACCTGTGCCGCTTCATGATTGGTTTGGACAAATGTGTGCGAGGGAGTTTTGAGAACTCCCGAGTATGGTGGGATTCACCGACACGCAGATATTTGAGTGTTACCCCTGGTATGTGTGTTTACTTCAGCCACTCGCGATTACTCCCGCACTCAAAGGACTTGGCCTAATATTCAAAGCAGGATGCTTTTGAAAACGCATCTTGAGACTCCTGCGTAAATACAGACAATTACATCACACGACGTATTCCCTGAAACAAACAAAAGAGGTGACCCGCGCAGGGCAATGGATGCACGTTTTGGGGGGCATCACGAGGGTTGGGAAGGGTCACCTTGTTCTTGGAGCTGTGGCAGGACTGCAGGCTGGCAAAGATCTGGCTCTCCACGGCCTGCACCCAAGACTCGCGCTCCTCAGCACAAGAGGCCTCGAAGTGCCAACTTTGGCCCGTGAGTGACACGATGAGGAACTCAAACGGCTCGTCGTTATCTGCCGAGCGAAGCAGGATGTGGGAAACGGGGGAAGGGGGGGGGGGCACAGAGGTGCAGGATCCACGGGATCCAAATTTGTATTTATCCTGGAGAAATCCGATGAGCCATGAAGCTATTTTTTCACAGTAAAAAAACAATACAAAATAACGATAGGACTGCAAAGTATAGGGAAGGGAAGCAAATCAATAAAAATAAATATATTTAAACCCAACTATTTTTTTCTTTTACCAAATAAAGCCCACTGAGCTATGAGCTTTTTCAGAAGCGACCTGGCCACAAATAATAGTTCAACGAAGTGGCTGATCAAGTGGAAATTTCTAGCAGCCGAATAATCTAAACGCAGAAGCGGTGTGATGCCAAGGTTTTTCAAAAGCCACCACTATCACCATGATCGTTGCTATGAAAACACTGATGGGAGAACAACACAACCATTATACACACACACGCAAAAAAACAATACATGTAACGTTCAGTGAAATTGTCCCCATGCTCTTTGGAGCATTGGCTTTTGCTCGTTTCCATTTGAGGTCCTGAGCTGGTGGTGGAGACTCCATAGCCCTGCAGTGGGGGAGCGGTCTCACCACAGCAAATTGATCGCCAATGTGTCATCATCTGTCTCTCCGTCAGCTCATTCGCGGGGATGGGGCCGAACAAATTTCCACAATCGTTCTCCTTCTTTGACCGGTACCACTGCTTCATGTAATCCCAAAGCTTTATCCTCGAGGTATTTTATTACCATTGCACCTCTCCACCTGCTTTTTTTTTGCCTTCATCTGCTCCTGCCTGGTTCCCTTCCACTTTTGGGTCAAATGGCGAAGTACGCGATCCTACTCATTCTCATAACGTCTCTGAACCACTGTGGCCTTCTTTCCCTGACTTTGTTTAATCAAGTTGCTTTCGCTTGAAACCATTTTCTTACATTGTAATTTTTAATCATGTATGATACTCTCAATTCTGTAAACACCTCGTATCTGTCCCTTCAGAAATAACAACAACAACAACATAAAAACTGCAATGCAGGCACTAAATTTGTTTTTCTGCCGAGGATCCGGGTCAGGTTTAGCCGGGGGGGGGGGGTCCGGCGGCGAGAGATCGGGGCTCCCCCGCGTGAATCCCTCCGCCCCCGCCGCGCTCACACACGCCGTTTCCTTCCTCGCTTCCTTCCCACGAGATGAAAAGCGCGGTGCCGAGTCCCCCCGCGTCTGTGTCAACACTCTCGGGCCAGCCCCCGCACGCTGCTCGCGCACACATCCTGGCCTGACGGCCCGGGCGCACAACACCGCGGCGGCATCGTCGGCGTCGTCGGCGTCCCACTTTCCCTGCGACGCGCGGCCCGTAGCGTGCGGTTCGGGGGACACCGGCTCGCGTTGGCCACTCGCTTGTACCGCCGCTCCCTTCCCTCGATCCTCCTCAACCTCCCGAATTAATAACCTGCATCAACAACCAAAATCGCACGGTCCCGACCGCACCGGGCCACCGCTTCCCCCCATTCTGTTTCCTCTCCAAACACAAGGCGGCGGCGAAACGAGAAAACAGCGGAATGGTGGCGGCAGAACAAAAGTGAGCCTTGTGCAGCAGTGCCCGCCGGAACATTGCTGCTCTGTGCCCTGCTGCGTGGTGTAGCCAAGCCCACCCCCCCCCACCCCCCACCCCCCACCCCCCACCCCCCTCTGCTATGACTATTTGTAAAACGTGATACCATCCCTGGGAAGGAGAGGCGCGCATTTACATTTCTAAAATCGTATTTTCTCTTTACATTCTTTTAGATTCAGCACGGAAGAGGAACGTGTTTCTCCACCCAATGCAAAACACCGCCAGGGTTGATTTCTCACAGAGAAAGTTTGATTAGTTGCTCGCAGGGCGCTGCGCCTCTGGTCATCAACACGAGCTATTCTGGCAGGCAATCACAACACAGCCATCATACTTATTTACATTGAAACTTTGGAACCATTCATAGGAATTGATTAAGAAGTAACAACTCATCGCCATTGCCAAATACCAAGTTAGTACCCACATACAGGCAAAAATCTGGCATTAGACCAATTCAAATGCATTGAGAAATACCTCGTGACATAGGCAATCCAGGACATCATCCCAGAAAAAGCAATGTTGTGCTGCTGACGTCACTATCATATCAACTGAACTTTCAGAATTACGATGCTGGTACTTCGATACCCTGTGGGTATCTCCAACTCTGGCATTGTGGGTATCGAACAAGACACCCGCAGCAGTGGCCCAGCCCTGCTTCACGCCGTCGCACTGCTCGCGGGCTCACAGCCGCTCGTCGATTTCGGAGAGTTGAGGAGAGTACGGTGCTCTCTCTAAAACGGGCCTCGATTGGCGGAGCGCAAGTAGCGGCCGGGAGCGGCGGGGCTGGCTTCAGTTGACGAGCGACGCGCGGCCGGGATGACTGGAGATGAACAATGAGCGGTGGCTGCTGCGGCAGTGGGCGCGGGGAAGGAGGGAGCGTGCGATGGGACACCGACACGCATCACCACGCAGCAGATGCTGCCCGCTGATCACCCTTCCGGGAAGCCGGGAGCTCGGCACCGGTGCTGTCACCGCCGCACGTGGTGGCCGCGGCGCGGCGCGGCGCTTGGGACTGGGAACGAGTTGGTGCGTGAACACGCGGCGGTGGTGGCTGGTGGCAGAAGCTGGAGAGGCCTCCGCTCTCGGCAGCGGCAGCCGGCTGTCTCTCAGGAGAGAGCCCCTCATTGAGATTAAACTTATCAATTGTTTAACCTTTAGGCTGATTAAAACAAACAAACATTAACTTGCGAGTTTTGCAAAAGCAAGAATAAAGGGGCAATGCTGTCAGGGGAGGCACCTTCCCTGGGTAAACAGGGCGCAGATAGCAGCTCCATCAGCAGGATCCACATCGTCGCCCACGGCAAACAGGACACTTTATTTTTCCCTGGGTCCAGTTTCTTGGGAGAGCTCTAATGATTGCTCGGCAAACAACAAAAAAAACACCTCGCCTCCTGCACCGCGCTGAACGTCTCGTGCACTCTCATGGCTCCAATGCGCAAGATTGCAAACGCATAAATTGCCAACTGCGCGGGGTCGTCACTACCCGCAGCCCCTCTCCATCGTTTACACCGAGCGATCCGATCGTTATTTGCCAGAAAATGGAAGTCGACGAGCGTTCAGCTGTAGGAATGATGATCGATGTTCGTTTTTCACCCACACCTAGAATTCAACCGGTCCACGCGTGCATACATGTTACGCACACGTCATCGTTCGTGTGTGCTCGTTAGGGATGCACAGCCGTGTCCATGAATAAACGGGGCACCAAGTGCAGCGTGGCATGGGGAATCAGGACATGCCAGAGCCTCGAACTGTCTGGAAAAAAAGGAGGAACAAAACAAATCGCGTTGCCCTTCGTGTTTTTTTTTTAGCGAATCGCAAGCGACTCGGAGCGCCGCTCATCGCTCTCGCGCACCTTCGGAAGGGCAACGGTGTTGCGTAACGCCTGCTCACGGTAAATTGTTCACGCACCGATCGCTCTCCGATCCTCCCAGCGCGATCGAGACGCCGCATTGTAAAATGCGTCTCCAACCTCCAGTCACAGTGTTCTGCCTTTCCTCCCTCTGCCTGGATGCATGTATGTAGCTTTCCATACGTTTGGGTATTAAGGCAGTGTTAATGATGACGGCGGAGAGGTATAATAATTGACCAGTGGGTCTATCGTACCAATCTCATTTGGGACGGGGGTTCCATAAGCCCATCATCACCACCACCACCACCGCCATCATTCTCCATCATTCCAGGGTTACAAAAACGCAGGCACCACTTTGTAGACAGTCAACAGTGGTTATTTTGCAGCGCGACCCGGTCCCCGAACACAGGAACATGGAATACCCAAACACTGGCTCAGGACCATCAATGGAGATTGGCCCGCCGCCGAGCGCCTGCGTGAGCAGGGAGATGCCGACCGGTTCCGTTGGTAGGAGGCGCGCGCCATTGTGCACCTCCTACCTTCGGCGCTGTTGGCCGGGCCGTCGGCGCGTGGGTTCGCCGTGCTCTTTTTCCTCCGGTGCTTCTTGCGGTTGCTGTGCGGGGACGCGGGCGGCTCCAGCTTGGGGCTGGTGGTGCTCGATATGCTGGGGCTGGAGCAGGGCGCGTCGCTCACCCCGTTCGCTGTGGAACGCGGTGTGCGCAGGGAAGAGCGGCGGGTGGTGGTGGGGGGGGGGAAGGGAGCAGACGAGAGAGCGAAGGAGAGGGGGGCGTTATCCAAAGAAAGCGGGAGATTTTAGACGGCAATCACTAACAAAAGCTGTTATTCAAACGCGGAAAATAAAAACCAGAGAAGTCGTAGCACACTGCATGTTTCAATGTGATGTAAAACACAAAGAGAAGATTAAACGATCAGTTTCCCAATGGCAATGTCCAAGTCAGAGCAAAATCGAATTCAGCACAAATGAAGTTACATGCCATCTCTACGGTCACGTGCACCTTCTAAATATTGCACGAACACGGCACCGCACTTGATTTACAACGCTCAGACGCAATAGCGGCTTTCGCCAAGAGACAGCCCAGACTATATTACAATAACACGACGTCTCCAGCTCCCGGCAAAAGTGAGCGAAGCGAAAATATTTTAACTCGTTTAATTGGGTACGGTTTTTCAAATTCCAGAAACACTCCTCCTCTTGCTTAACCGCCTTTGGCGTGTGCGGCTCGCGGAGGGCGTACACCTGCTCGTTAGGGAATAGAGAGGGAGAGGCGATCATCGATCTTGCTTTGCCGGAGTCCAAAGAGCGCCGCTATTTTAGTCCGAGCGCGGCTTAGACCTGCACGTTGTGCACTGGGCACAGGCGTGGGGGGCATGCGCCTGTTCACAGCCGTCAGATGCTGGTGATGAGACAAATGTCGCCGATCCGTCGCTGGGAGGATCCCGCGCGTGACAATCGCGCGTAACGGGCCTTCTTGGTTTCTTTGCCTCATTGTTGCGCTAACCACGGGGCGCCCGCAATGATGTCGGGCTGTGTCAAAATCGCTGTGTAACTCAAGCTCCTTCTCATCGGCAGCCACCCACCTCTCCTCCCTCCACCCCCACCTTGCCTTGTAATTACGGCCGATGGGGCATGGAAACAATTCTCGTGTCAAGCCTTTCATGCTCCGTAATCGCAAAATGCCATCGAGCGTTCTGGAAATGCATGACCTACTGATGTCCACAAAAGAGTTGGAACAAAGTGTTTGAATATCAGAAGTGGGGATTTTAATAAACGAGAATTGGTTTGTTTGTTTTGGGAGGGAATTATGCATTGGGTGTGTTTCATGAAACGGACCCGTGCCGTGAGGAGAATAAAAGCAAAGCTCTGCTATTTAGCCTCGACTTTCGCTCACGAGCAAGCAACTGGCACAAGTTATGCCGTGAAAGAAAACGCACAAAGCAGGAACAGAGCCTCAGGGTCCACGGTGTGACGAGGCACACGAGATGGACACAATCTCTGCTCGTCTCGGCAAATGCCCTCCACGGCAAAATCTATCTCCTTACTTTATCGCTCGGCGTTTAACAAACGTTCACGCAAACAATTTCAGTTAAAGAAGATTAAACGGTTTGGAGGAATACGCTTTCATAAATTTCTTCAGGAGCCAATTGTTTGTCTCCAACAAAGCTCAATTATCAGCCTTCAATAAGCAGTGAGCTGCAGTGACAAGACCAGGCCGTAATAACAAGCAATTTATGCAGCCTCAAAAAGGCTCGGGCCCACCCACGCACTGATGGGCGCTTGGTAAACCGGAATGCTTTAATTAAATCAATAGCCACTAATTGCTGCTGCCCTGGATTTAGCACCGACCACCATTAATTACTGCTGCAATAATCAATTCAGCCCACAGTTGATATTAATTACTCCTAGAGCCCTTATCGGAACACACTGAATCATGTGCTCCGCACAACTGATATTTAATTAGTGAAAAAGATGTAAAGGTTATGCAATTTCATTATCACGTAAATATTAATCATATTAAAAAAAGGTATAATTATAGTCAATCGCAATTGGTTTTCTCATCTCTGTGCTTCTCTTTTGGGTAATTTAATGTAACACAATATTGCATGCATTTTTTTTAAAGCTATGTTTATCAAAAAACTCAATTTTTCCAAAAAAAATATTTTCTTTTATTACGCAAGTGTCCCCACAACAACTCCCCCTGGGCTCTCATACTTCAATCAAGATGAACGTCACTTCCAATCACTGCCAGTGCAGCTCTCTGGGCGCAGTAAAACAGAATAAAGCGTTTTCACTCCGTTCTGCCACGTAACAGGGCGGTCTCATCACCTCCACCTTAAATTACGCGGCCGTTCAAATTGGCAGCTGGGTGCTGCTGCTGATCCAAAACAGCGAGAAGCATCGGGTTCTCGTCAATTAGCGCCTCATTGGAGAGTGGACATCTTAACACGATGAGCCATGCTAGGACAGCCCAACCTGGAGAATCAGGTGCAGGCCCTGCAGACGCCTCCTTCAAAAACTAGACGTCGCGGGGCGAGCGTACCGGTAATTGCCGCAAACACAACAGCTACACGTTATTCCCGGTGAATCGGGAAGAGGAGGTTGTGATGGTTCGTTGTACATCACGTGCATTGCTCAGAGACCAAAGGGAAGAGCACTAAAGGCAGAATGGTGGGATGCTGTAAGAGCAGACCTTGGAGATTGCACATCTACTATGCAATAATTACAGGATTTGGTGCAAGAAGTGGTGGTGATGTCCGATGCCATCACTGGCAATGGCCATTATGACCCGTTTATCTTGATACTTTATCCATCAATGTTTACTCACTTTGCTTTTGACCAAAGGTGAAATGTCAGAATTACCTTTGAGCAGGATTAACACACGCGCACACACAGGCACGCGCACGCGCACGCGCACACAGTGCCCATTTCAACATCGCTCGAAAACACACGGTGACGGAGCCACGCGTCGAGCGCGCAGACGGGCGGGCGAAGGAAACCCCGCATCCCGACACCTGCAGCAGCAGCAGCAGCAGCAAAGGGCCGCGGCGGTCACACAAACGTGCACGATCCGCGGCACTCTGGCCACCCGGCTCAACACGTGCAAGTTCCTTCCCGTTTCCGTAAGCCGAGGCACGGGGCGACCGCGGGGGGTCAGCGGCGATGAGCTCGCGCCCATTCAAAACATCCCGCACATGAAAGCTGCCGCGGGGGCAACCCGTGCATGGGGGGGGCCAGCCGGACACGCGGCGAGGAAGTCAAGTGGAGAGTGACCTTGCTCAGGGCCACGCACGCACGCACGCACGCAAAAGGGCATTCCTTAGTCTAGTCCTGTCGCCTGCTCTCTGACACTCAACGTGCAGTGCGCCTTTACCACTGTTATGTCGAACAAATCGCACGCTCGGCATGAGAGACTGTTCTGCCAACGTCGAATTCAATATTCAAGGCAAGTACTGCACTCGGAAGAGTGCAGTACTTGCCTTGATTTTTAAATTGGACCAACGGAGGTTTGGATATATCCCGCACCTCTGGTTAGCACAGCCGGCTATGTACGGTGCGAAAGAAGTGCAACGTGCATGCGTACGTCTGCAGGAAAAAAAAACCCAGCAACGTCCAAGTATAGGCTGTCAAAAGGCCAAGCCTCTAGCCCTGGCTCGTTCCGCAGCAGAGCTAAACTCGAGGATGCATTCGGTTTCCCGGTGAGAGGAGTTACAAAAAAGGGCTCCCCGCCGGCAATTGCAGGTCCCAGCTCGCGTTCCCAAATTAAATAAGCGGCAATAATCTCTCGTCAGTGCCCGTACCGTTGGCGGAGACGGCACCGGCGGGGGCCTCGTTCCACTGCTCAGCACTCGACACGGAGAAGGAGCGCTGGTGGAGGCCCTCGGGCCGCATGTTGTACGACACCAGGTTGATGCCACTGATGGAGCGCTCCGCATGTACGCCCCCCGCTGCGGGGATGGGCGACGGATAGGAAAAAACATTTTAGGGCAACTACAACAGAAAATACACAATAACGACGACAGTGATGAACACAATTACAATGTCCTTCGAAAAGCACTGTGGGGGAAGTCAGAAGTGGCTGATTTATCGTCAATCTATCCAACCATTTGAGTGCGGAATTTCCACGCTCTTTTCTTTGGCGGGGAGACGCCGTAATTTGAAGCGTTCATGAAGGAGAGCCTCAAATGAGACTCGAGACCCTTTGCAGCCTCGCCTTACTTGGGATGTTTGTTCAGGTCTTGACTAAGGGTTGTTTTGACTCTCGAGAGGGAACCAGAACACAGCAATAGAACCCGTGCAAATTTCAGGGGAACAACACAGATGAGTCAACAGCCTACTTGCTGTACTGCCATCTACTTGACACTTTGCAGGCTGGGTGTCTGGAACACGTGACAATCCAGTGTTTTCCACCCAGGGGGCCATTCACCTGTTGTTTTTGACAAATGTGCCACCGGCGTTTAATACCATGCGATCAACATAGCTCTATCTGCCCCACCTCTGATGACTTTGAGCCCGCGATCATGCCTATGATTACAAACTCAGCTCAAGCACATTGCCTAAAAATAAAACAAAAAACCCTGCGCGTGAACATACTTGAACGCATCCTCTCGCGCTCGAATAAATATTATGTTTGCTTTGCTATTGGGTATGGCGAGCGTTGTTTATTCGTCCGTAATTAAATGGGCTCCACGTAAACAAACTGTTCTCAGCTAAATTGCGTGCAGGGCTCATGCGAATGACGCTCGTGAAGGTGGCTGCAATTCTGGTGAAATACGACTCTCGCGCGTTAAATAATTCGCGACTCTACATTTACATATTTAGAAGAAGATAACTCGTAACGCGCGTAAACCACCTCATGGAATTAGCGTCGTGTTTCCCCCCCCCCCCCCCCTTTTCTTTCATATCGTCACTTTTAGGTAGGGAGGGCCCGGCACCATGCTAACAGCTGACATTTTTGCAACGGCCGGCTTTTCGCCAGCTCGTTTTCCAGATTTAATTTATGCAAATTAAGCAAAAAAATCTCAAGCGCCCGACCACCCGTGAAATTTGGCCATGTGCCTCCGAGAGCCCCTTGCCAAACGCCCACAACATCCGTGCTCCCAACATGCGGCTCTAATTACGAGAGGGTGCGCGAGCTGACTTGGAACAGCACTGCTTGTGCACGGGGTAGCTTGTGCGCCCACGTCCCTCTCCCCGAAAATACAAATGCGCACCACCACCACCACCATGTAATGGACCGGACCGTCTCACGCACAAGCAATGCGCATGCCGTGTCACCGAAAAAAATCCAGCCCGGTACAACAACCAGGCACGGATTTTTTTTCACGCCTCTGATTGGGACGGTTGGCTAAGTACGGTGCAAAAGAAGTTCAACATACGTACATTTCACTCGCATTATTACGTGACTACGTAGGGTTTGACAGCTATGCCGTAGAGCTCTCTGATGTATTTTGGGGTTGTACTGTGTATTGTTTGACGTGTGAACTGAACTGGAAGCAAAATCTCGGGTCCGTCACGTGGTCCTAGAATGTGGAGAGAAACGTTGGATATCACGCTGGACAACAATGCGATACAAAACGAAAACGAAGCCAAGACGACGGAGATAAATTAACCCCCCCCGCCCTGCCCCCCACAAATCTTTCACGAAGAAACAGCTCAATGTTTCAAAAGTTACAGTCAAACACGTAATTTTTAGGCTTGGAATTGCAGCCATTCCACTTTTACGTTCTTAAAGACCAAATAATTGCTTTTTTACAGATTGGAAAGTGCCTGATGCAAATCAGCCGCTGTAAAGTTTTGCATCGCAGCAGAGTGGCAAACACGGTTTTTATTGCAGGGGTAATGACTCATCTTGTACATTCCCAATGTACGCACTGGGACGACACAACTCCCACACTAGCCTAATGGCCCGCGCCCAACGCATTCAATTAGCAGTGCTGCTCCAATAAATGAATTACTGTAGTTTGTAATTAGTATGTTATTATCTCCAAATTACCTCCCAGAGAATAATAACTAAGCTGAGCTACCTTCAACCCACAGACATCATTCAGTCTTATGATCCGCCGATCAAGCGGCGGTTCCACTGCCACGCATACGTCCCCCTCATTAGGAGGCGTGGGGCTGTGCTTCTCCTCTGCGCGCTCGGCCACGGGTTTCCACGCGGTCCCCGACGCAGGCTTCCCAGCGCAGTCGCACGATCCCAGGGCACGCTCGGCATGTGGAGGAACTGTACACGTGGCCTCGTGCGTGCGTGCGCGCGTATGCGGCTAATCTCAAAGAAACTGAAAACTAGACGATTCTCCCGGCTACACTGATTATTCAGTTATATTGTAACAAGCGTTCCTATTGTAATGAGAGCCAGAAGTGACTTAGCAAAGTGGTGGGTGCTGCACCAAGGGCATAGCTATTGAGTGTACAGGCGGTGCAACTGCACTGAGGTCCCATAGGTCAGACAGCCCCAGACGCCGTAGACCAGTGCCTGGGCCCCTCCGACCCAGGAGGGAAATTGGACAGTCAGACAGTGGATGTTACCATTTCATTCCTTGCACCGCAGGTTATGCCAACCGCGCTCCGCCACTGTTCTGCCCACTTGCTTTTTTTCCTGCAGCTGCTCGACCAAATCAGCCGGTATGACGGTGTACGCAGGTGGTGCCGCCCAAGCCAAGCGCTTGGACAACGGTTTTTACTCTGCAAGGGTGAGCGTGAGTTTCAAGTGCCTTTTATTTTGTTAAACCAGGTGAGATCTCAATAGGCGAGGATAGCCTCTCGTTTGCGAGTGTCCCGGAAACAATCGGGGCAAGGATATCCCCAGCGATGCGGCACGAGCGCTCGCAACGCGGGAGCGGGGGGATAGCACCGGCGGGGGCGAGAGCCGTGGGGGAGGTGAGACAGGGGCGAGGGGGGGGGGAGCCGGGGCCTCACGTGCGCCGGGCGCCGTGGCCGCGAGCTGCGTGCTGCTCAGCTCCTTGGCGAGGCCGTTGGCCTTGGGGCTGGCACTGGGTCCGAGGCCAGCAGAGGCACGCGGTGGCCGCTTGCCCGGCACCTTCACGGTGGTGCGCAGCAGATCGATCTCCTTACCGTGGACGTTCTGCATGTAGTCCTGCAAAACGCGCGTTCGGAATGCCGTCACACCGGCGTTAAAGTCACCACTGCCCAGAACAACGGTGGATATTTTACGGACTGTACACAATGTAGAATTTGTTTTTATTTATAGAGTCTTGTGCTTGATGTGGAACATGCCTTTCCAGAAGGCCTGGTTCGGGGTCATGGATCACGATGTCTGGAGGATTCTAAATGGGCTCCATTGACGGCTTCGCGAGTACTACTACTTCTGATAGGATAAAGACATGAAATAATAATTCACAAGGAACTGTAAAATATATGCGACCCCTTTTGAAACCGAGACCTTTCTTGACAAAGGACTATAATTTTTTTTAAGCATACATTTATTTAGGTGTAATTATTAAAAAGAACAACAATTATCGGGGAGCATATTTTCAAGTGGAGAGACACGCCGACTCTGTTGAAAACATAGCGCCCCTCGCCAATGGGCTCTGCCTAACAAAAGGCTCTTTATCACCATTACATGAATTAATAATTCACAAAACCCATATTTCTCAGTAATCACCATGAACCGCACCATTAGCACCATCAATCCCCCACTGTTAACATGGGCTAGAATTACCTGTCATGCCAGGTATTCCAAGACACAGATCCTAGCTACCCTGGGGAGATTTAATAGTGGGGCTTCAAATCTCCGCTCCACGACTTTGTAGGTTTTCACGGTTGCTCAGTCTAGCTCTGCGGTGTGTGTGTGTGTTTTCGGCTTGCACCCCATGTTATTTGGCATGTTTGACATTCCTCTCCATGTGCTGGACGCAGCAGCTCCATGCTCTCCCTTAATGATTATAAGGAGTTGCCGACTGCGGCTGGTATTTGATGTAACCCGGCTGATGTTATTTATCAATTATTAGCTTCATCACTTGTGCTGTATAAACTCAGAACCTGTGCATATGTATGCTGTGAAACCCGGATGGCCAAATGTTAACTCCCTCCCGTGGATTCGATCCTAACCCTGGCGCCTGTATATTTGGAGTGTTCATGTTTCCATGTTCTCCCCATGGTCGCGTGGATTTTTCTGCGAGTCCTCCGGTTATTCCCTCCACATTTAGAAACATGTGTTTAGAGTACAGTAAAACCTTGGATTGCGAGTAACTTGGTCTGCGAGTGTTTTGCAAGACGAGCAAAATTTTTAAATAAATATTAATTTGATAAACGAGCGAGGTCTTGCAATACGAGTAGTGTACGTATACGCTTTGTCTGCCGAGCGTCACGTGATCACAACTGATATACGAGTGCTTTGATATACGAGTGCTTTGGATTACAAACACGTTTCCTGAACGAATTATGCTCGCAATCCAAGGTTTTACTGTATTTGGCTGCTATAATTATCCACATGATAAGCCACTTATTTGAGCTATCATCTGTGCCCAGGTCGCTTCTGAAAAAGAGCTATATATCTTCTTTGGTTCTTTCGGTAAAGTCACGAAAGAACCAAAGAAGATGAATCCTTGCAGTCACGAAAGCTTTAAATCGAAAGAGCTATATAGCTCAGTGGGCCTAACCTGATAAATACAAAAATAAATGTCACCCTGGTAAAGTCCACTACAGGATAGGTTTCTCGACTCATCACTGCTCCACCACTGACCTAGACATTTTTAAAGGCTGGGACCCGACCAGCTCTGTCGTGTATGGGTTGGAGCCCAACGCAGTGCCCTGGCTTCGGGCCCAGGGTTCACTTAATCTGCGCCCATCATTGATATTAACGAGCCAAGACCGGCATGGTGCCTTCATTGTGTTAACCTCAAAGTAATCAGGGATAATGCAGCCTGTCCAATGAAATGTTCTGTTGGAAGATTTTTTTTTTATGTGAACCTAAAATGTAACAGTTACAACAGTGTCTCTCTGGTCCAAATACTCACAAGAAATATATGCAAGCAATTGCCAGGCCATGGAAACATTAATGCACACGTGCACACACACACCCACACGCGCACACAGGCACGGGCACGCATACTTTCAATCATGGTAAAGGTATAATTTCCCTGCTACTGTCTGTATCTTGGCATTACGACCACGCATAACGCACACGAAGAATTAATCAGTAAGGGAAGGAGGCGGCCATCTCCCCCCACCCACCTCACTGAGAGTCGAGGGAGATGGTCGCTTTGTACGGGCTGCACGAAGTCGCCCACATCTTTACAATCAGTTTAATTACCTGTGACGCATTACCAGTGTCAGATGGAGGGGAGATGGAGTACAAGATGGAACACATCTCATTATGTTTCATTCCTTTGATATAATTAATTTTACATTCCTTTTGTTCAATCGGTGGGTAATGTACTTCACTTAGCGTGCTCTTAACTAATTGAGTTACATAAAAAAAAACACGGCGTCAATTTCATCCCCGCCGATGAGCGGCAATTTATTACGGGTGAAGAACGGACACCACACAGATTGAAAATGTATTCCCATCATCGATTGCCAAAGCGTCCCCTTGCTCAAGCGAGCATTAGCCGGTGCTCATCGCCAACGGTGGAGATGAGAGGACCACCCATGGTGGAAATTTCACTTTCCTATCGCGGTTACCAGATTAACACCACATCCTCCTCACACTACGAAAGCAAAACATTGCAGCCGGCGGTGAGTGCACTGTACGATGAAGCCGGCGACACGAGTTCGATTCCCATCCACGGCGAACATCAGTGGCGAGTGATATTTGATATAGCCCTGCCACCCCCCCCCACCCCACCATCTTCACCAACTGGCAATGGCTAGTGTGGTGAAGTATAGCTAAACAACCCCCACGACTGACACAGGGTAGAGAAGCTTTCAACCAGACGTGGATTGGCAAATGGATCCAAATGAATTATGAACAATGCAGACAATGGCCCTGTTCATACTGCTGAGAGAATGGCGACTGATCAAGAAGTCACCTTATTTGTATTTCTTAATCAGAGGTATCCCTCGATTTGCAAACTTTCAGTTTACAAAATTTAGGATGAGCACAACTTACAAATTATACACGCTTTTCTACTGAAGAAATCGAATTTCTACGTTAACCAAATTTCACATGGCACGCGCCATGAAGTCAAACAAGAACCATTCGGGACAGTGTCACGGTATCCCTACAACGCAAACATATCAATCTGATTCATTGGTGGAAGGCAGTCCCTCAGCCAGAGGTGGGATGTAAAAACTTCCCGGGGGGGGGGGGCATTTATGAAATTCGAAGCTTTAAAAAAGGACCATAGATGAATGGAACAGAAATACACTGAAAGTATTTTCCGTGGCAAATATATATACTGTACGTCTAGTTTCTTGTCCTTACCCCGCACCTCCAATTAACACGGTTGGTAACGTATGGTGTGAAAGAAGTTTACCATACATACATTAATAAAATACATATATTTGGGTTCTCAAGGGGGTGGTGGGGGGGGTAATTGCCCTACCTTCTCGTGGTCAGTGGGTTTTAACAGCATAGCTTCCAAGGTTCGGCTTAATGTGACGTTCTCTCTGCACACCTGTCCTGGATTAATCACTTTCTCCAGGGGCCGAGTATGGCAGCAAGGGTCCCTTTGGGGTTTGATACGAGCGCACGGGAATGGGTTTTCTGATGCAAAATCTGGTCCGGATTTTACTGGCAGCCGGAATGGTTTGAGACGACGATGTACGTAAAATTAAAAAAATGGAATATGCACGTCGATATGACGTATATAAAACATCTATTAAAACATTTCTTCATTGACTACTCAAAAATGTCTTGACTACTCAAAAATCCCAAATAAACAAGGTTATACGGTTGTCTGAAGCTGGGTTCAAAGGCTTCAAATGTAAAGTGACAAGGGAGCACTTATGCTTCGTGTTAAAGTATTCTCAGGGGGTTTGAGCACCACGGTGTTGTGGGTGATATTAATCAAAGCGATAATCCTTCATTTACCAAGGAGGGCACTAACGAGCCCACAAGGTTACGTTGCAGGACAGCTCTGCAACTGGGGAAGTTTTGCCAATTCCTTTGCGAGTATTTTGCGTGTTCAACTAAATCAGAGCAACCGCACGGACGGGTCGGCAACCAAAGTCTCGTTGCACTTCCATCAATGGCTACGCCACTGGGCAACCCTGCAGGCTGGGGAGTCGCCGCAGCTCACGCGAAATTAACTCCACGAGACCCACGCCACCGTCTTAATGCGGCATTACCACTGCGTCGGTCGGAGCGCAAGGGGCACGCGCGAAGCCCGTGCATATACATCTTGAGCCGTTTTGTAAAGCGCCTCCGAGATGAATGGTCGCAGTGATCAGCTAGGCGTGCCCAAGCGTCTCCCTCGGTGACCCAGGCACGACCTCGCAGGGAGGCTGGCATAGGGGTGGGTGCCTTGACGGGGTCTAATCCCCCCGTCAAGCCCCACCCCGCAGCAACGCCCTCGGAGGACACGGAGCTTCCCGCCTCATTCAGCCACTTCCTTATTTACCCATTGACGTGCGCATCTGTACACATCAAGCAAAGCCCCCGGATCAAAGGCGGCGTTTAGCGGTGCAGGATCGAGCGAGTACCCCCCCCCCCCCACTAATAGGATCAGCGGACGGCTTGCAGTGTCCCTCGTGACCTGGGACTGTCGGCTGCATCCGGGGTCCCCCCACCCCGCCTCTTCCCTCAGCAACCCTCTGCAAGCCCCCCCCCTCCCCCCCATACTGCCCTTCTACACTTTGTTAGCCATCCCATTCAAATTATGAATCAGTGCCTTCACAGCCACTGTTTTCCACTGATTGGATTATTCGCAACCTCAATTGAATAATTAAAATCTGGGCGATGCTTATGATATACGTGCGCCATTGATTTGAATGCATTGCCTCAGTTATTTTGCATGATTAGCAGTTGAAGAGTCTTAGTAATGAATGTGTATTTGTATATATTCAAAGGTTTCTTAGAGGGCGACGTCGACAATGAGCACAAAGCGAATGCGATTTAAAAATTATTACTCCACAAAAGATTTGAAGTGAAAATGTACTTTTCTGCAAAATACCACAATTTCTCTGGCTTTCAGGGCCAACACGCAAGTTGAAAGGCCACATTAACTGGCAAACGCATCACTTGTACAGAAATCATCAGTATTCTAAATTCATTGACGCTTTGTTTACACCATTAGCCGATGGCGCCGTGCTGATTTCCAATCCACGGAGGCTCTTCACGCTGCGGCTGCCACGTTCGACACCTGCTCTCGGAGTTTTACGGCCGAGTGCGACGACGCGATTGTGACATCAAACGAATGCTCCGAGCAGGAAATCGCTTGGGCCACAAAGCGGCTTTGCATCGCCCCTGCTGCCTTGCCTATTGCTTGGGAATCGGTGTACTTATGCACTTTGAACTGAAATACTTAATATATTTTACGTATTCATTTTTTTGTGATTTTCTCACCCTTCCTGCACTTTGCACTCCTATCGTTTTTTGGTATTGTTGTTGTAACTTTCTGACCCGCTCCTACTGGACATGTGAAAAAGAGGTTCACAGCTCATTGTATTTCTCCTGGATAAATACATATTGTGATTCTGATGACGGTCACGCTCCCCGACGGCACACGCAAGAATAATCACCACGTGCACTCCATGCTCTGAATGCGCCGCTACCCTGCGGAACGACGATCCACGCTGGGGGCAGGAAGCTGGAGGCCGGGAGGAGGAGCAGGGTGGGTTTTGGTGTGGGCCGAAAGGAGGTTATCACTGCCGGATTAAGGCTCCAAATCTCCCTGATCCTCGAGCCCAACAAGGGCTTTAGGAGGCAGCGTTCTGCCCGTGCCCATTATGTGGGGGGGCTCATGGCGGGGATAATCCCTCGCTTCTCCTGGTGTTCGCGCCACCACCCGATTGGCCACGCGTGCGCAGGTTAAGCGCCGGTCAGCTCGGGCGGGCAGCTGGGCAGGGCCACAAACGTGATGGGGAGGATGTGAAGGATTGCCTCTCCTGTTGCCAGCAATAACATCTTATCAGGTGGTCTATTTACAATGGGTTTTGTAAACTGTTTATGTGGTCTTTTAATTGCTTTCCTTCTCTCCTTCTCATTTTATTTGCAAAATGAATTAGATACACAGATCAGCTATAAGCAATATATTTTGAATTCACCATCATCATCAAATGTGCATTTATCATCAGATGACAGCCCATTGAGATACATTACAAGGAAGACCCGGACTGCAATGGGAGGCCAGTGTCTCAAGATGCTACACAACAGCGGGAGTAACATCAGCTTAGCTGGGCTCTGTTGAAGGGTGGCTGTTTCAACAAGTGTCATTTCCAGAAGCTCACTGCGGAGTGCTTCCTACAAAAGTATTTTCCTGGTATGAAGGAGGTTGTGGATTCGACATTGACTCTGGCGCCTGTATATTTGGAGTGTGCATGTTCTCCCTGTCACGTAGATTTTTCTCTGGATCCTACGGTTTTTCCCTCCACGTTTAGAATCAACATGCGCTTAGAGTATTTGGCTGCTATGCATTGCCACGTGATAATAAACCATTTAGTTGAGCTATCATGTGTGGTCAGGTCGCTTCCGAAAAAGAGAGCTAAACATCTTAGCGGCTACTTACCTGGTAAAATGAAAATAGTTCAGCTTATAGTTTTAGATATAATCTCACGTAATGTTCTGGTGGCCTTGTCAAATGGAGTTCCCCGCTGGAAACAGGAACAATCGCTACGACTGTGGGAACGTCGGAGAGGATCCGCCGTTGCCACGGACCTGGCCACAGAGCTTGCGCGTTCTCCGGCAGTCGTTCAGGATTATTTACGACCCAAGCTGCCGCACAGTGAGTGACGGTCATTTGCGCTGCTACACATCCCAATGAATCAATCAGTGACCTTCGTGCAGGACCAGGTGAGAGGTCACCGCGACGATACGTCTCGCGCCAGGAGAATTCTGAATTGTAAAACTCACCACGTAAAACCCAACACAGTTGGCCTATTTTACGACGAGGGAAAGAGACCAGTTTGAGAGATAATACGATTGCTATCGCATTTAACGCGAACATTTTCTCCGCCCCGAACCTAGTCCAATTTCCTTCCGTGTGATGAGGCCCGAAGCAAAAACAAAAACACACAAAACCCACGGGTGGCGGTGTCGGGGGTAGAGCAGTGTGGCCAGAGAGAGCGAGAACGGGGGTTGGTGGGGGGGGGGGGCACTCACGTGCAGGCTCGGGTGGTACGTGAGGATGCCGTTGTCACACAGGGTCACGTACTTCTTCTTCCACTCCTTGTTCAGCGACTTCCCGCTGCGCTTCAGCAGCATGCCCTGATGGATGGCAAAGTGCGCGGTCGCAGGGGGGGGTGGGGGGGGGGGGGGGGGGGGGGTGTGTGAGAGCGTCCATACCGAGAGCTGCTGCAATTGCGCACACGGCGCTCGTCCGGCTAACGCAAGAGCCGGTAAGAGAATGCATTGCCGCGGTTTTCATCAATTGTCACCGTCATCGTCAGCCAGGGACTGCGTGCTGTTGTCCTGGTGTGAGGTAAGTGATTTGCTTACCTCTCCTATACTTTACACCCCTATCGGGTTTTTTTTTGGTATTGTTTGTCGTTGTAACTTGTCACAGCTCATCGGATTTCTCCAGCATAAATACAGATTCCTAATTGTGAATACCACCGCAACCATGTCCCGCCACTCATCCACCCCGCACACGAGCAAATAGAACCGCTCCATGTCTGCCGTGGTGCACAACCCTCTTCGGGTGCGTTGCCCTCCTTTGGCTGCCATTCCAAGTCTCGACCACTTGCCATCGTCCCCTTCTAGCGATGTGTCCTGCACCCAAGCAAACTTGACTTTTCGGCAGTCAACGTGAGAGGTCTTGGATTTGCATTTTGCTCTACGATTCACGCATTCCTCTTTTTGTGTCGCTCACTGTAATCCACAGCATGCATCTCTCTCCGAGCTTCTTTTGCACACTTTTGACATTTTGTTCCACAGGAAATTGTCGGCCTGTGTTTCTCTTTAATAAATGACCACAAGTAGCGTGCACTAATGGAAATCCTTCGTCTTTAGGAACATTGGTTTAATGCGATTTATTCTCAAATGCAACCTTCCATTACCAAAAAAAAAAAGCACCTTCTACATTCATGCAAATTAATCGGTGATGCTGCATTTGCAGTGGTGCACAAGCGCAAGGAGCACAAAAAACCCCCTCACATTCGACAATAACGATGCCTTAAAAGACAAAATGACGTGCTACGAAGTAGGGTCATTGCCAAAAACATCGCCCCTCTCATCCACATAAAAAGGCAGTGTTATCGATGAACGGAGGTTTTTTTTTTCTTCTATACTTATGCACAGGTTTTATGGCAATCCAATACAGCAGTTAAAGGCGAACATGGAATAGATTTCACAAAGAAACTGGACGAGCAAATACGTCAAATGAATAAAAATACAAAAACAGTCGGGCGCGTCCCGCACCAATTCCACGCGAGGGCAAGAAGTGTGAAAGCGCGCCGCGTCGCGGAAGCCATTATCTCCCGGCACAAAGGACAGCGGCACGCAACAAAGTCCACTGGACCTTGAGACAGCTCCAACAAGTCCATGTTATGCTCGTCAGATCTGTGATCCCCATCTGCTCATTAGCATTTCTCGTTAGGCCCTAGCGTGGCTAATGCGTCTCCGTTTAACCCCCCTCCCATGACACCCAACCCAGAGAATAATGCCTCCATTGTGCCGCCCCCCCCTCCCCCTCCATCGGTCATTTCCAGCCAGGCGGTTGCGAACAGGGCCTGGAGGGGTCCGATTCTCACTGCGGTCCGCGCACACGCCGGAGCAGCAAACGTGAAAAAGATGGGAGGAGGCGGGGGGGGGGGGAGCACATCATAGAAGGGAGGTGGCACGGGAGAGGGTGTGGATGGAAGGGTTTGGAGTATAGGCAATAGCGTGAGCACCGATCCTACCGAGTCTCCCATCAATCTTCCGTCTCCGGTAGAATGTTATGCCTGCAGTGCGCCACCTTATTCACTATCTTCACTCTGCAGCAAATTAATACCACGAACGCCCCGTGCAATCGTCGGCCGGACTTGAACCAAACGATCATGAGTTCCACTTCAATGTTTTGCTACAACGCGGCTCTGCACATACGGGGTTAGCGGTAGTTAATGTAAAATGTCGTTCTTCTTACAAAACTAGACTTTCAGTGTTTTCTTAAAGGTTAAAGCTTTTTCTTAATCCATGATCCGATTACAGACTATGCACGGCTCTTGAATGATCATTGGTAAAGTGAGAAAGCAGTCAACTCGCATGAAATCATGCTGCATGGCATTTTATGATGAACATATAATTTCCGCATTCAAACCAGGTCTGAAAAGATCTAATTTATTTTCAATATTTTAAGTTCTATATCATTATAACCTTCAAGACACAGAAACCTCAGAGCTCCAACTTTATATCAGCGTTGCGCTCAAGAGGTTTCTCACTGTGCCTGCCAGGCCACGTATAATACAATCCATCTGTTCCCACTGGTCGGCAGTTACAAGTGTGTGTGTGTACCAAGATCCCTCACATTGGGCCCATGTGTCTGCCAAGACCCATGGGCTGAGAAAATGATGTGGCCAGGGAGGGGGTGGGGGGCAGCTGGGCATTTGATCATTCCACGCATGCATTTACCCCGCCTGTTTCACTGGCCCTGTAATTGAGCCTTCAAATGTGTTTAGAAGCCGATGAGAGACAAAGAAGAATCCATTAAAGGGATCCCATCAGAGGGTTTGGGTGGGAAGGGCAATTACGGAAAGGCACGGGGGCACAATAAGGAAGGAGGCATAACTCAGGATCACACACTTAAGCTCTTTAACCTCCGACGGAGCTGGACTGAAATGTCCTAATCTTGACAGAACCTGTCCGAAATCCAACCACGCTATGAATGCTTAGCGAGTGTGGTAACGCTGCAAGTTCGGTCACATGTGAGCTGCTCGAGTGACAAGAGAAAAACACCAAGGGCTCCATAATTTTGGACTTGAAGCTCACTTGCCAAGTACCGTTATTTAACGAAATAATATATTTAATTTTGATTTAAAGCTTTCGTGACTGCAAGGATTAATCTTCTTTGGTTCTTTTGGTAAAGTCACGTAGAATGAGAATACAATAATAAATTAATAAAATAACACAATAAAATTCTCACACCGTTTCGGCCACAACACAAGTGGCCTTCTTCAGGTGAAAGGAACAGACCTGTCGGGACGACAGAGCTTCAATGAACGCTGTTAAGATTCGTAGCGTCTTTTAAGCTGGTTTAGAGAAGTGAGGCACCTTGACAAAGGGGTTTACATATCATTCTACGTGACTTTACCGAAAGAACCAAAGAAGATAATATATTTAAGTTCTGTAGGAAGTGCTCGGGGGCACTTGATCATAATAAAAGTTACATACGGCCTTTTATCTATGGCGTGGTAGCCTTGAAATGGCGCACAATCAACACCTCTAAAACAGCCACTCCGAAATTAAACATGTTTTCTCAATTAGGTATACAGAGCCCCTTAACGAGACAAGAAACTAATTAATAAATTATACAAAACAGACAAACAAAAATGGCCACAATTAAATAGTTCACTAAACAATTAAAAGAAAATATATAGTTAAAAGATAGTAATTCAAACTTAAATTATGTGTTTGCTAAACAGCAGAATGTTTACCAAGGGCAAGTGTTGATGGTGGAATGGGGCACCAATTATTTAGTTGAATGAATTGACTAACAAGAGGAGAAATTGTATTCGATCATTTGAAGCAGCATACCAACACGTGGAAAAGATAAATGTTCAATGAGCGCATATTGCATGCAATGACATACTGAAAAGCAAAAACATGGAGAGTGATGTGGAAAACAAAAAAAATGTAATGCTTGGAATTACACTGGGAGACAAAGAGCAGCAAATACAAATTAGAGACATCTCACCGACTTCTAAAAAATTGGTTCGAGTGTGGGCATGACGCATCACTAGGAAGGACAATGGCTAAGACTGGTTATGGAATAGCAGCCAAAGGGCAAAAGATGCCCAGGAGGATGGCCACTGCAGAGACGGAGTGACTACATCAGCCCAGGTGCAGGGGTGAAATGTATTGTGGCATTGCGGGACCATGTGGGCCGGCGACTGTGTTGGGATGCGTCCATCCAGCGTCGTCGGAGCTGATCACGCTGGACGAAATAGTATAAAGATGGCTCGGACCAGACTCCTCTTGTCCGTGTATGCTCGGGGCGAGGCGTATCACGGCGAATAGGCTAGCAAATCGGCGTCGCTCACAACGGAGCGGCACGATCGAGCGAGACAAAAAAACGTGACGACTACGCACAATGGCCAGGTCGACCGGCAGCATGGAAGAGGCGCTGGAGAGGCGCGCGCACACACAGCTTGTGAAGCGCCGCCGCTCGGATTTGCATGCTAAAGGCCGCCGTGATGAATGGGGTCGCCGGGACCCAGGGCAGCAGTGGCCGCCTTTTCGCCGGTCAATGGCAGCGCTCGCAGGGTGAGGATAAAGGGGAGTTGGGCCCTCTTGCTGTGAGGAAACCGCCTCCCCAGCTTTCTCATGGCTTCAAAGCAGCGGCCGCTCCTCCTCTGTCATGTGCCGCATGCCATCACGGGGGCTAATCCACCAAACAAACAAACAGTTCCAAAGGTCCCCTGCTCTTCACCCTCTCTCCACTCATCGCCCCTTGACAGGAGGGAAGGGTGGTGGCTGCCACGGCCAGTGCTGGGGTCAGGCTGGGGTCAACCCAGGATTAAGATAATGCACAGAGATTGATTGATTAGTGGGTGCCTGTGTCTCCTTAATTGCACTTTATTAAGGAAAATGAAATAAAATGTTTATTTAATTACTTGTTTCATTTGAAAACAAATCTCCTTTGTTACCGTTTGTATTAAGTGGTTGGTGTTTTCAGTTTAATTTAAAAAAAATAATAATTTCTAATGCTTCAGACCAAATACAAAATAGTGCTGTATTCCGAAGAATAAGAAGCAGTCACACAGCAGACAGAGGCTTCATCTTAACAGTGCGTTTCACCACACTGGAGTTTGACCCAGCGGGGTCCATTCGGTGAACCCGGGCGTTTTTTTTTTAAACGCGCGTCGGAAAAATAAAAACAAATTCTACTTTCAAACTACAGTCGCATTACCAACTGCAGTGAGGCAAGGCGGCGCTCAAGCAGGCGTGGCTAATGGATATATACCCGCCTGCAATTAGGCAAGATTAATCCAGAAACGTAATGGCCTACGGGAGGTGATTAATACGGCCCCCGGCCTTAATGGCCTCGCGGATTGGGAGGTAGAGCAAGGATCGCGTTGCTCCATTACTGACACCGGCGCCTTCGATTTCCTCCTCCCCCCCCCGCAACCCCCACGCGTGACGCTCGGCGGCTGAACGCGAGCGACGCGCAATTAAAAAAGGCGTTGGATTGAAGAGGGCGAGCGCGGCACGGTGCTCGGCGAAGGCGGGAGAGAGAGAGAGTTAATCGCGGTGCCGGAGCGATTCGCGGGCGCGTAATGGCATTCACCGAGCCCAGATGGAGGCCGTTAGGAGCGGTGCAGCGAGTGGCGAGGGCCATGTTATAGCCACGTGTAATCGCTGGAGGGGGGGGAGGGGAAGGGGAGAGGGCCCCTTCCTGCCAGATGGCGGCAGAGGGTTCCAAGGGCCGATATAACGCGCTGATTAAAACTCGGGGTGCCTCTGATGGCTCCAACAGGTGGAGTGCGAGCCATCTGGGAGCCACACATCAGCCATGGACGGCACGCGATGATCGCCGTCCTCGCCCAACACCAAAGCGACCGGATGAGCCGCAACAAGCTTCTCCTGATTAAAGGGCCGGGTTTGTTAGCGTAACCGCTGCCGAGGCATCCAATGGAGGTTGCTCGGAGGGTCTCTTTAAGTTTTTAACGGTCCGCGTCCATTAAGCCGAGCATCTCATTTAATTACTGCCAATGTGAACTCCGCAAACGACTGCCATCGGGCCCGCCGCGTTAACTGTCGGGCAACGCTCTTCTCGTCAGCTGTCGGAGAGGGCACTTGGAAAAACAAATTAAGTGCGTGAAATGCCTTGTAAATAAAATATAAACCCGCGGATAAAACATTGAAGGTATAATTATACAGCAATCTAGCTAAGAGTGCAGGAATAATGAAAAACTAATTTCCAAAGAATAGCAGGAATTGGGTTTTGATAATCAAAGCAAAGTTACATTACTCTAATAATACAAAATAACTCAAAAATCATACCAATCATTTTTTGCAAGACAAACCAAATGACCATATTGCTATCGCACCACTTGTAAATGTTCCCATCTGGGGTTAAGCTGGGGTTTCATTTTGATGCCTGAACTCATCAAGGCCCTGAACATTAACTGAGCATCCAGCTGTTCTTCTGTTCAGATGCTGGTGCCAGGGTGAGGTAAGTCCAAAAAACTGCAGTGGGCACTGCACAGGTGTTGAATCTTGCTCTGCGGTAGGTTGGGCTAATGTCGCTTGAAATCAGTTAATCGCTGCGATATTAACGTGGCATCTCATCACTTACCAGTTGCATAAAGCAGAGCAAAGTTAGTTTTTGCAACAACAACAAAAAAATGTGTGTAAAAATGGACAAATTGGAAGAAATCAGCCAATGATTCACCTCCATAATCGCAGGCAAGTGCATTTATCTAAAAGAATTTTTTTTATTACAATCCGTGATTTATGCTCTATTATTTTGCTTTACCTGCTTAATATTAGACATGGGAATGTTACCAGCAGGGGCCAGGCAGTGTGAAGGGGTGAGTGCGAGGCACCACCCCTGAGGTAGAATCAACCATTTAGTACTTTGGTTACCCACTATTTTGGTGAAAGTTGGGCTATAACACCGGCACAACATAACCCACTCTGGCCGAATGTTGTCTCGGGGTCTTCAGCGTAAACTGCGCAACCCCCTCTTGTCCCTATGCACAGAACAATGCTGGGAGCACAACGACTATGAGACTACGGGCTCAGGCCCTAGGCTCATCGGAAGATAAAATGAACCAATAAAACACCTTCCAAATTTCCCTGGGTGACTGAGCAATAGATCATAACCATTGAGAAAAGCCCAGAAACGGGAGTTCAATTCTCTGGAATGTATCACCAATGTGCAGAGGCCAACCAGTCCCAACGTTAGTCATATTCCTCACAGGGGATGACACCGCCCCCTCGTGGAAAGAGCTGAGTGACAAGCGAGATTCAGAGCGACCAAATCCTGGGTGCCTCGTTCATCCGTGGGCAGCTTAAGATTGCACAGGATACGCGGTGACTTCTGCAAAAGCCAATTTCCACAAGCAAAAGAGACCAGTTACAACGCTTCTGGAAGCAAGTCATAGTTTCCTACAAGGCTCTTGAAATGCATTCTAGGGACTTAATAAATTCAAGTGTCTTTTCCACGTAAGTCATGGATACTGAGTGAAGAGCAAGTTCGAATTGCTAATCCTTTGGACCTTCACTATTTCAAAGGAAAAATTAGTGTGCAAGTTGACTAAAATCAATTGAGACTCAGCTGCAGGGCTTATATGTCGTGAAATGAAAGACGGTGAGGATGAAGATGGTGATGATGGCCACAGTACATTTTAGAAACTCAGAAAGGGGGCATCCTGTATCACGCACTATCGGTTTGGGTTTTTTTTCTTGAGGAAAATGACACCTTCAAGGTTTGCCCATTAGCCAGATGCCGTGGATACGGTTTATTAAATATTTGTAGAAATACGACTCCTGGGATGCGAGCATCAATTCACGAGGAAGAGCCAGTGTTCCGTGCGCAAATGCACACCTGCAAGTGTGCGTGTGTTTATCTGATGCATTTCGTATATGCTTGCTCTTGATCATTCGCTCAACAACACACACATGCTCCGCTCATCAGCACCCTTACTCACAGGCACACGCACGCTCTCATTTCCGCACTACAACATGTTCTCTCTATCTTAATGCCTGCACTGCAGCACTTCCCATTATTTAAATTTCACATAGTAACTGCAGCAGCCTCAGCTGCTGCCTCCGTAGGACATTAGTGTTAATGCCTGAGTGGGTGGAAGTGCTCGGCATTATACGTATGTTGAACTTCTTTCGCACCATACGTAGCCAACTGTGTTCACCGGAGGTACGGAGAAAGGACAACAAACTAAACACAAAAAGCAATTTAAAGAAAAAATTAGTTTTCAAATAATATTAGTTTTTTTCATCCGTGGCGCTATCGTCATGGATGACGTGGCCTCCTGCACTCAATGTAACCAATCAGCGTTAAGTTAATTCAATAATATTCATAATGTTGATTGGCAAACTAATCGTGTTTCACTCTTGCATCAATCACAATTGAAAACATTACACTCAATTGCTTTATGCAACGTACACTATGTCAGTACACATTGCCATAGACATAGATGAATAACTGTTGGATACCTCTAAACGAGGACTTGATGCACGTGGCTTGCAAATCTGACAATTGGCCTGGTGCGTCACGACGTCACGCGCGAGTCACCTGTTTAATTGGGATGGCTCTGCCGCTGCCAATGTTGTCCGACTTTGCCTCCACACTCTTCTTCTCCTTCTCCGTGTCGCTGCCCTTGCGCGACTGTAAGGCACAACAGGAGCCGGTGAGCGTCGCTACGGCTCGAGGGGTCCTGCCGTGGAACTTGGGGATGGCTCTACCTTGGTGTGAGGTGGGTGCATAGCCTGGGCGGCGGCTACGTATGTATGTATGTTGAACTTTTTTCGCACCGTACGTAGCCAACCGTGCTAATCGGAGGTGCGGGGGAAAGGACAACAAGCTAAACACAAAAAGCAGTTCTAAAGAAATGACTTTTCAATCGAGATTTAAAATTGCATAGCTCCAGTGGATTCCTAACATCGGAAGGAAGAGCGTTACAGATGGCCGCAGAAACGCATCTCAAAGCGTGCAATGCGGTGACCATCTTTGTTCAATGGTTATCCATAAGCCGCTGCGAGGTTGAGTGGAGTTCGCGTGATGGTTTATGCTCCTTGACGAGATCACCACGTTATTGTGCTTCATTTGTGACAAGCACTTTGTGTGTAATGAGTGCGGCCTCATAAGGTCACTGCGCAATGTGTCTACCGATTGCTGTGTGTACACACTGAAAGAGCTGGTAAAGGTCTAACTTTCGTGAATGTGCTTTTGATTTTTTGTATATATATCTTTTTTTAAAGATGGCAACATGGCTGGTTGGCACTGAAGTGTAAAATCACGTAAATCATAGGCCCAGATTCCCATGTTGACCGATTGTTCAATGTCATCATCGCCAACAGGGGGCCCAATTAGCAAAACGTGACAATAGGATTCAGGGCCTTCACCCCTATCAGGTGTCGACTCAGCCCAGCCCCAACATTCACACTGGGTCAATAAAATGAGTAGGGTTGTGGCCGCATGTTATTCGGTATTGTGTCTGCCGCATTGCTCCGTGTGCCTGGAGCTCCTTCGGGAGCTAGCGTCATGCCAAACAACAGCTATAACATGGCACAACCACAAGATATCAGCAACAAAATGAGCACGACCATCGTGAGAGGTCGATAGCCATCACCGTACGGAGAATGGTCGCGACCACAACAAGTGAGCAGGTAAGACACCGCGATTCCGACTTGGAAGACACGGTGCGCAGACAACGTGCGTCGCTGCGGTGGCACGAACGGCGGTACCGTGAAGAGGTTGGAGCGGCGCTTGGACTGCTTGCGCACGGGCGTGGGGGTGCCGGAGGACACGGGCAGCGGGTCGAGTCGCAGCTCCTTCTGGCTCGTGCTCGGGGTGGACGGCACGGAGCTCGAGTAGTCGCTGAAGGCCCCTCCCCCACCCACCACGCTACCGCCACCGCCACCGCCACCGCCGCCGCCGCCATTGCTGGCCGGGATCTGCACCCAAAGAGAACAGCAAAGAAAACGCCAATATTAATGGTCCGTAATGTCTCAGACTCTGATTTTGGCCCATCTGTGGTGTATTTTTGAGTAAATATGTGCGAGTTTTCTCCTAGGCCAAAACGAATGTTAAATTATAAATTGACCAAAGTTCCCAAGCAGGAACCCATAGAATAAGTCCATATAGTCAGCGAAGCATTCCTAGCCAAATGGACGTTTTTGTTAAATGTTAAAACCTCTCACCAATTCACTCAGAATGCACCTGATCTTCTCAGATCTCAGAATCTAAGCACAACTGAGCCTGGTTATCGTGTGATTGGGTGACCACCATGCAGGCCAGGTTGTTATCGGCTTCTATGGGGCTCCGTGGTGGCCAGTAGAGGGCCGTGTAAGATAACCCATTGTTATACTGTACACGTCTGTGCTATCAAATCTATTTTTCCCAACTTCACCAACCCGCATGGACCAGCGTGTTGAAGCGTGGGCATAAGACCCCTGCGACCCGCACGGCATGGGGAGGGGCCCTCGTGCAGCAGTGGATCGACAAACGGACTGTTAAACATTGTTATGAAGAGACAGCACGACCTGGTTGATGTGCACGGAGGGGATGGCGCCCGTGCTCATGTTGGTGTGGCTCGGAGAGTTGGGCAGGGACTTGCACTGCCCAATGGAGAGCTGCTGTTTCTTTCTCATCGCAACGATCTTCTGTGCAACTGGCATGATAAACAAATAAAACCTGTCAGCCAAATCCATGACGGAACAAAAAATTAAACACTTGACAATTCTGCGGAACTGGAAACTGCAATGGTTGGGAAACGCGACGTGAACTGGAGCACTGTCCAACATTTGTCTGAAAGGGCGCGAGGTCAAAATAAACAGGAGAGAACGACCCGAGGTCAATTATAATGATCGTATTTACTTTTTAAAGCTCCCTTCATATCGACATCTCAAATAATAATTACACTGAGAGTAGACAAGATCCAAATAGACTACGAGAAAAGCTAGTGAATAACAGTCACAATTCCTGATATGGGTTGTTTTGTTTTGTTATTTATATATATTTTATTTACTGAAATAACCAATAATACAGTGAGGGAAAAAAGTATTTGATTCGCTGCTGATTTTTTACGTTTGCCCACTGACAAAGAAATGATCAGTCTATCATTTTAATGGTAGGTTTATTTGAACAGTGAGAGACAGAAATAACAACAAAAAAATCCAGAAAAACGCATGTCGAAAATGTTATAAATTGATTTGCATTTTAATGAGGGAAATAAGTATCTGACCCCTCTGCAAACCATGACTTAGTACTTGGTGGCAACACCCTTGCTGGCAATCACAGAGGTCAGACGTTTCTTGTAGTTGGCCACCAGGTTTGCACACATCTCAGGAGAGATTTTGTCCCACTCCTCTTTGCAGATCTTCTCCAAGTCATTAAGGTTTCGAGACTGACGTTTGGCAACTCGAACCTTCAGCTCCCCTCACAGATTTTCTATGGGATTAAGGTCTGGAGACTGGCTAGGCCACTCCAGGACCTTAATGTGCTTCTTGAGCCACTCCTTTGTTGCCTTGGCCGTGTGTTTTGGGTCATTGTCATGCTGGAAAACCCATCCACGACCCATCTTCAATGCCCTGGCTGAGGGAAGGAGGTTCTCACCCAAGATTTTATGGTACATGGCCCCGTCCATCGTCCCTTTGATGCGGTGAAGTTGTCCTGTCCCCTTAGCAGAAAAACACCCCCAAAGCATAATGTTTCCACTTCCATGTGTGACGGTGGGGATGGTGTTCTTGGGGTCATAGGCAGCATTCCACCTCCTCCAAACACGGCGAGTTGAGTTGATGCCAAAGAGCTCCATTTTGGTTTTATCTGACCACAACACTTTCACCCGGTTGTTCTCTGAATCATTCAGATATTCATTGGGAAACTTCAGACGGGCATGTATATGTGCTTTCTTGAGCAGGGGGACCTTGCGGGAGCTGCAGGATGTCAGTCCTTCACGGCGTAGTGTGTTACCAATTGTTTTCTTGGTGACTATGGTCCCAGCTGCCTTGAGATCATTGACAAGATCCTCCCGTGTAGTTCTGGGCTGATTCCTCACCGTTCTCATGATCATTGCAACTCCACGAGATGAGATCTTGCATGGAGTCCCAGGCCGAGGGAGATTGACAGTTCTGTCGTGTTTCTTCCATTTGCGAATAATCGCACCAACTGTTGTCACCTTCACACCAAGCTGCTTGGCAATGGTCTTGTAGCCCATTCCAGCCTTGTGTAGGTCTACAATCTTGTCCCTGACATCCTTGGAGAGCTCTTTGGTCTTGGCCATGGTGGAGAGTTTGGAATCTGATTGATTGCTTCTGTGGACAGGTGTCTTTTATACAGGTAACAAGCTGAGATTCGGAGCACTCCCTTTAAGAGTGTGCTCCTAATCTCAGCTCGTTACCTGTATAAAAGACACCTGGGAGCCAAACATCTTTCTGATTGAGAGGGGGTCAAATACTTATTTCCCTCATTAAAATACAAATCAATTTATAACATTTTTGACCTTCGTTTTTCTGGATTTTTTTGTTGTTATTCTGTCTCTCACTGTTCAAATAAACCTACCATTAAAATTAAAAACTGATAATTTCTTTGTCAGTGGGCAAACATACAAAATCAGCAGGGGATCAAATACTTTTTTCCCTCACTGTAAGTCTACATTATAGACAGCCAGTACGCTCACTCAGATTAAGAATCAGGCTACAGTCTACATTACAGACTGCCAATACACTCAACAGCTTAAAAATCAGGCTACAGTCTACATTATAGACTGCCAGTACACTCACCGAGGTTAAGAACCAGGCTACAGTCTACATTATAGGCTGCCAGTACACTCACCAAACTTAATAACCAGGCTACAGTCTACATTATAGACTGCCAGTACACTCATTCCGATTAAGAACCAGGCTACAGTCTACATTAGTGGTTTTTATTATTTTTCATTTTGTTTTTAGTCACTTTATTTTTTAATTATTTTTCGATCTACGCGACTTTACCGAAAGAACCAAAGAATATGGGTTGGGATTGCAGGATTCCACAGTCTTGGTGCATAGCAACAGCAGAATACACAATCAGCCGGCGTTTTTGGACGACAAATGTAATTCACACAGACTAGTAAGCCTACACAATGTATGACAAAGATTGTCAAGGACAAGCAGACAATCAACAACATTGGCATCCAAGGTGCTCCTATGACCACCGTGCTTAATGAATACATTAATAAATTAACCGAGAGCCTATTGTCATCCTGGACGAAGAGTCATATTAAATATTGTATAGATAAGACACCACGATGGCAACGTTTATGGCACGGCGTTATCACCAAAAAACATTTTTTTTGTTACTATTTTCTGGGTTATCCAAATGAATCTTGAAAAATACATGGAGTAACTCAATGGGTGCTCATGTAAAAATCTAAATAAACCATTTGGCTGCTAAAACCTGCTCGTATTATTTCAATGTTCATGCGGCGATAGAAATTGTATCCTTTGCAGACGTAAAGAATGAGCCTGCGCTGCCACCTTCTGGTAGAGCGTGTGTACGCTGATAATGAACGCTGCAGTGCAACGCTCATTATCTCTGAGCACAGTGTTGGTGATACAAATACCCTCTGATGAACAATGCGTAAATGCTTGCGCTCACACGTCCTGGCAACAATGCCAATGAAGCGATTTAAGTACCAGGCTGTGTAATAATAATAATGAAATTCATAACGCGCACAAATTTGCGGACGTAATGGCCGCAACTCAGAGGCGCGGAGCCAAGCTCAGAGATAACGATGAAGTTACATAACGATCGCGAAATTCAGCTTGGAAATGAGAAAGGGAGGTTCTACAGGTCCTCTGTGGGGGGGGGGGGCGGGTGGGTCATTGCCCCGATACTACAGAACGACCCTCGCGGCACACGTTTCTGTATGGCAACGTTGCTCTCGGTTCTTAAAGAATTCCATGGAACAAACTCTTCAATTATTTTCAGACTCTCCCAGCAAAGTGGCTGGGTTGGCGCCACATCTGGACAGTTTAATTTGCATTTTGGAAGGTTACGATTTCAAATCCCAGTCTGGTGACAAGTCTGCGCCCATCATCATTCAGAGTTTGATAAATTAAAAAAACGGGTACCACTTTGTGGAACGTCAGCAGTGCTTTTCCATGAGACAGTGTGGCCCTGACAGCAGCAATGTGGAATTTCCATCACTGGCCGGAGGTCACTATTACATATGAACACTGTCCCATGATAATTTGAGCATGGAGGCATTATAACTTGACTGGCTAAATTAGGGGTCAGAAACGTGTGGCTCTTGAGTCGCATGTGACTCTTTAAGGACTGCACATTGCGGTTTTTGAAATGTAGATTTTTTACCGAATTAAAAAAAATGGCTCTTCTTATTTTGGTTGCTGACCCCTGACCATGGAAGTCCAGTTCACCATGGAAGTCCAGTTCACCATGGAAGTCCAGTTCACCATGGAAGTCCAGTTCACCATGGAAGTCCAGTTCACCATGGGCAGGGGTCGGCAACCTGCAGCTGCGAAGCCGGATGCGGCTCTTTAAAGACTGCTTCCTGACCGTCATTTATTCAGGACCGTCTCGTATTCAACATGCATTGCGGCTCTTGAAATGTTGAGTGTTTTTTTTAGCAAAATAAAAAAATGTCTCTCCTTGTTATTTCGGTTGCCAACCCCTATGCTAAATGATTTCCATCGCCACTTGATAGTGGAGTAAAAAAAAAAACCACAATGGAAAAAAATTCGTAATATACACAAAATAGTTTTGTACATATGCCAAGTTGTATTTATACAAAGTTTCTGTGAAAATGTATTGTTGACGTAAAGCACCAGAAGGGCCATATACAGCATAAACAAAGGCACGGCTCGCCAATAAATACAACTGTGCCTCGCTCAGACAGTGTTGACACTGTTTGTGTTGCATGTGAACAAATGGCCTCTCCACGAGCTGTAAATCGCGAGAGCCGGGCTGCCAGAACACAGGCCAAGAACTGGCTACGACCCCACCCCCCACCTTACAAACAACCACACAGCTGACTGAGATTACAGAACACTCCACTGCCTTCAGCTTCCACGCAAACACACACGCACAAATTAAGGCAAAGGTCCCACTAGTGGCATGTGTACTTAGTAAGGCCTGACACAATACCCAACGGTGAGCACCACAGCGCACCGCTTTTGTATACTGTTCGCAACAAATGTTAATACAACCATACCAGGTACTCAATTAAGTTTGAACTGACCTCATACGAGGTCCAGAACAAATGTACATGAAAGTGAAATTATTCTATTGTTGGACATGCAAATATATTCAGGAGCTCAATGCCAATGTCTCGGTTTGTTAGCCACGAGAGGGCTTCAGGAGAGAGTTCGTGTAGCTTTGGTGTTCCTCTTCCATTGAAGAAGTGCAGACGACTGGTTTACAGTACTATATGATCCATAGTTTGGGTTGCATGGCCACATCCACACTGTGTCCTTCTATTCCAATATTTACGTCTATAAAATGCGTGAAAATTAATGCATTCGTTTACTGACTGCCTCAAAGCATTGCGAGAGTGACTTGCGTTTACTGCACTAGCTCTCCGTGAAGTTAATGAAGTCGGCTTCAATGCATCTCTAGGGACGTGGATTGTGCAACAATAAACAGAAAAGGGTCCATTTCAAAACATTCACACATTTAGGGCAATTCTCATTTGTGGCTTCTGGACAAGTGTTACCCAGCAGCATTTAGTTTGACGTAGGAAAACTCTGGCCCAGTTTCAGATTTCTAATTCTCATCAGCTGTTAAACAAATGCTTCTGGGTTCCGTGATGACAGAGGCAAGGGCCCTCCCCTTGAACCCCTACGGAGCCTCTCCACCGCAGTACAGCAAATATGTACAAATCATTCACCGCGAGGGTGAACGAAGCTTCTCTGCAAACGGAGCCTCTTTCTCAACGTCAATTTTAAATCCCTTCACGACTGCGTCCCGGGAGTCCCCCCACCCCCGCCGACCGCTCGCCGTCGCCCACCGTCCTGGAAGATTCGCTCCACATTGAGGCCGTAGGTGGCGCACGTCTCATAGTAAGTGCAGCGCTTGAGGTCGTTGGAGAGCTTGCGGGCGCGGGCGTCGTCGATGACGCGCGGGTTGCTGGCGCTGATCGCGTCTGTGGGGAGGGGTGCGGAGGAGAGGGCGAGGTCACCGCCGGCGGTGACCTCGCTTGAACGACCCGCTGCGATTGCTGCGTTGCGTGGTTGCAGGCCACGGGGAGGGTCGTGTGGAGCCATTTTTATTAATGGGTCCAACGAGAATTTCTCTGTGTTTTTGCATGGGTGCGTGCGTTGTATTTTTTCCCTTTCCCCCCCCCCAACAAAAAACCCTCCCAAGCATTTGCGTCCAATCCAAACGACGTGAAACGAAACTAATGAATCGCTTACTTTGGAGAAGTGCGCACCAATTCAAATGCAAGGAGCACCACAGGTTTTCTTGTATTCAATCATCACAATGCTACGGCGAGGGGTCCCATCAAGCCATGAACGACCGTCTTAGCAGAGGATTCTATTGGCGTGCGGAGTAGTTAGGGGAAGACTCTCTTAAGCAGACATCTAGGGCGAGGGGTCCACCCCCAGAAAAAAAAATCTAAATTTGAAAACGAATTTCCTGCCATTTCCTGCTTAAAATATGAAAAATTCACTAACACGTAGGATGGACTCTTTTTTTTACAATAATGTCTAATAGTGTATTGTATTTATTACATTGCTCTGTTTTTTTCTTTTTTACCTTTTCTTGTTTCATTGTATGTAATGGCAGAGATTAGGGATTAATAAAGTACAACCATAACCACAATCATAGAAACAGAAATATATTTTTATAGCAATATATTGGGGGGGACATTTTTAGTATATTTGAATATTGGGGGGGATGTGTCCCCCCAAATATATATTATAATTACGGCCTTGATCTAGGGTGACCTCCACGGCCATTCCTGACGACCCAACAGCGTGTGGGATAAGATTGCTATCAAAATCACAAGCACACACATTGTACACTAGGGGGCAGAGTTTGTTAATATACGCTCCTTAAAATCGCTACACGTTGATTAACACTGCTGCTCTGAGAATGAACATTTCAGTGAACTCTCTCTGCAGGATAAGAATGGATGGAGAAAAACAGCACCTCGTGTACACTTTTAACGATACTGATGTTGAAAAATCCCTTCCAGTAGGGTCTATTTTAAGTATAAGGCTCCATAGTGTTACGGGATACCGAACAACAGCTACACAAGTTGGATACAGACCTCTAGTTACCATTATTATTTTGTGACTACCAATTAGCAGGTTGAACACTGCCCACAATAGGCTTAACACTGACCGCTTTTGTTGTCACAAACATTCAAGTGGCTCCTTCCCTTTTGGAGAGCACTGACCACTAAACAGCAAGGATCTTACTCGCGCACGGTGAACCGTCAGACTGGGTTTAGGTGAATGGGAGGGGTCATGGGGTAGGGGTCATGGGGTAGGGGTCGCGGAGCAGGGGTCACGGGGCAAGGGTGGCCGTGCCACGGCCCGGTACGCCACGTGGCACTCGCACCCTCCTCACCCTGCGTCCCCACGAGCAGCAGCGGCAGCTCGGAGGCGTTGCGCACGCTGGCGAGGCGGCTGTAGTAGTTGTAGACCGTCTGGAAGCTGATCTCGTCCTCCAGGCTGAACACGAAGATCACGGCGTCGACCCACGACGCGAACTGCAAGGGCAAGCGGGCGAGGCGCGTTCGAGCATGCGGCGGAGCCACGCACGCGTCCGCGCGACAACAAAGACGTCATGCAGGCAGGCAGGCGCGCCGCCTCAACGCCGCTCTCCATTCATTAAATATTGAGCCTTGACACAGGGTGCGCACATCACCTGCAAGCTGCTAGATTTCGCTCTCGGTCAATAAGGCGCCGCATCATCATTCAAACACTGGTTGAGAATGCACACGCTTCGTACGCAAGTATGTATATTAAACCGCGCAGAACATCATTTACGTAAAGTGTGTGGTGATCCACGAGTCTGCACCTGAGGATTGAAGCCCTGGGTCCAAGAGCCCTGGCACGACGATGTCTTTGGTTATGCATGTTACAGTCGCTTGAATAACCCTTACACAAGACAATTAACAAATTTTGTCCAAAAAGGGATCAATGATTTATCTTTTGTGAGAAAATAAACATTGTTGATCGTTCAGACCCAACCGCTGGAATGGTGAAGGGTTGTACGACTGTGAAGGTTGTTCGCCTTTGTCCTGTGCAGCTCTCCGATGTTTTTTCGGGTCATACCGCGGTGTTGTTTCGGCGCAATGTCCGACGTTTCACTCCGTGTGCCGGAAACACGTCAGGAAGCTGCAGTGTTGAGCAATGCTGGGCTGCGTTGTCGAGTTATGATGCTCGGTGCTCAATGTTCTGGTCCCTCGTGTGTACATTTCAACCACTTGAAAGAGAGTTTGTGTGGTGATGTGGTGGCCAGTGGAGGCTGCCAATTACCTGGGGCTCTGGGGGACCGCCTTCATCCCGGATGAGGAGCAGGTAGCTCTGTCCGTCCACAATGATTTCCTTCTTGAAGCGCCCGCCTGTCAGCGTCAGACAGCCACACGCACTTCGTTTAATGTCAACAGTGCCCAGACGCCGTCGCACAATGCCAGTCATTGTTTTGCACAGCCAGGCCAGCTACAGACCGCACCATTGTCACACACCGGTGGCATGATGCCCACAAAAATGATAAGTATTATATTTATATTGCACGTGACTTTAATGGTGGGTGATTGGTCAAAACTGGAACGCAAGTTGAAATATTTTCGTCTTAAAAGGCAGCATTGTAAATGTTAAGAAGACCACAATGCATGATTGAGCAACGTGGGAGGATCGCAGAGAAGAAGGTGGCAGCCTGTCAGCATCACCAGGGGCCGGATCATACTTCCCCACATGAGGCGCAATGATGCGATAACACGTAGCAATCATATCCACCTATTGGCACACCAATGCCTAATTAAAGACCAGGCGCTAAATCATCTCGTGCCTGCCTAGAGGGGCAGCTGCCACTGGGGGTGACCTTTCAAATATTTGCGATGAGATGTGACACAAGTCACTTATCGCATGCAATGTGATTTGAGATGCCCTGGTATGAAGACAGGCGCTAGAGTAAACCAAATTCATTTCATTATAGCATGGGTGGCCATTCAGTCGCATGTCAAAATGATTATTCCAAATTGTACAACTTTAATGTTTTTTGTTTATCTTTAATCTTTTAAAAAATGTTTAAAGATAGATGTGCAAAAACGAGCTCGGAGATGTAGTTTTAAGCCGAATAATAAATAACACGAAGCAATACTTTTCTATAAACCTCCTACGACGACCACCACCTCCACAACCAGCTGCTCTGCCAGCTCTGATTATCTTCTGTATTCACGTTGCATCACAGCCACAATCGCATTTGAGGCAACGCTGGAGAAAACACGCGTCTCTTTTCGTTACACTTCCTCTATAACCTGATTTCAGTTGAAAGGGAAAAAAATAATAATAATAATCACAGGTTGAGAATGTATTTCTCATCCTGCCAAATTCTGGCCATGTGTATTTCTGGCTGTGGAATGACGACGAGTGGCCTCCCCTGCTGAAGTCTATTCGTACATTCACAACTGAACTCATTTAAAATCCCACTTGTTGTAAATTTTCTCAATGCCCTCCTACTGTCTGCGAATTTCTATTTTTTACACTTTCCTGTTCTCGTCTCGGAGCCTCATGTGGGGGGGCTCTTTACATCGGCGCATTGGCACGAAAGTCACGCACGTAAAATGCGATTCAATGCCCACGTTGCAATCGACAGTTCTGATCTCGTGTAATGAATGCGATGAAAACACGTGTAAATCGGAATACGTATTTAAACGAATGTCAATTAAGCATATCACATTAGAACATCTCCCTGCTCTCTTTGCTCAACCCAAGCACGATTCTGTCGCTGGCTCAATCACAGCCGCTCATGGGCCACCTGATTTGTGATGTACAGTATTAATCATAACGTGCACGACGTGGTGTGGATATCACGCCTTCCCCACTGAACGCAAACTGGGTTGAGTGCCTGCAGTTCTTATACCTCTAATTGAGACCATTAACAGCACTGCCGTTTTTATTAGTCACTATTCTTTATTCTTTAACGATGTTTTTTTTTACCCGTCTCGGAGGGGAGGGTAGGGTTCGCGTTATATTAAAGCAGCGTGTAATTTCATGCAGCTACATTGCTTTGTGCCAGGGATACTTTGAGGGAGTCTGAAGCCTCTGTCATCACAGGCAGAGAAAACCAGCAAGAGGAAGCACGCGCAAAGCACTATAACCATGATGACACGTGCTTTTGTGGCTTTTTAAATGTAATATTAAGCTTTTGTTTAAAGCAAATAATTTCCAGTGTGTTGCGTGTCCATCAATGTGCGATGGGTAGAGTGTGGAATTCATTGCGAAAATGAGCCTCCCCACTCCCTGCCATGACATCAGGCACATTTCGCAGTCAGGCTCGGATTGTTAAGCAGGCATCACAAGATGTTCCGTAAGATCATGATGGACTTTAAGGAAAATTGTCGCCAGAAATTGTCTGCTGCAGCACAATTACCATATGCAGCTATGGCAACTCGCTACAGCAACGACATAGCGACAGAGTTAATGTCTAGCCAATGAAAGCAGAGTTTGTTGAAACATTTGCTTAATGAACAATGATTTGTCTACACAGCACACAACCTAAGGCAGTCATCTAACCTGTCAGTGATCTGGAAGTTGCCATCCCATTCTCTTCTAAGAGGATGTAAGCAGCATTCATATTTTGCCAAATACAGTATAGGAAAATTTCCTCAAATATATATTTAAAAATGATGTGGCAAACAGTTCTGGTGACGATTGTCAATTGCCATAAAATTGCCTCCATGCATTATCATGGCCAAAAGTGGCCTGTCACCAGGCATCACCAGGATATCATCCGTGCCTCATTGCCTGCACAGTGTTTGGCGGGATATAGATTTTTGGGTAAATCTGTGCACCTTGGGACACTATATTTAATTCAATAAACAATGGGACTCGGAAGAAGGGCATCAAATGAACCGTAAGCGACACTCGATTCACATCAAGGAAGAGACGGAGAATGTTTTTTTTAATCTTTCCCTTGCCGATACTACAACCCAGGGTCACAGGGTGAGCTGGCTGAGCCCAGACTCCATGGGAATTGGACTCCAAGCTGGACGGACGCCATTGCTTTAACTTCAAAAAATTGATTTGTTTTTCCCTTGCGATGTAATAATGTGGTGGCTTCTGCAGTAGCTGCACGGGGGCACCACTGAGGCAGGGTTCACGGGGTCCTGACATTTGGCCTCACAGCATCAGCTGCACCATCGCATCACTAAGACTTGATTTGCGTCATGTGACCATCGTAATGGTTTTATATTCTGCCAATAAGAATTTCATTCTCATGAGCATATGCGTCTGTTATATGCCCACGCACAATACCGTGATAGAGAGGTTTGTTATTGGTTCACTAAATTATTTCTTCACGGAAGCAACATATGCCAGGGACTTTTAATGGAATGTTTTTCATTCCATCTTCTACACAGATTTCTCATAGTTTACAAAAATTGGATAATGCACATATGCGCTTAAATTATAACCAAACATTGTCATGGCTCTACATGGCAATTAAAAATGTAAATAAATAATTGAATAACAAAAAAAACAGCTGTCTCTAACCGATATTGCATAGAGGCAGAGTGGGTATCTATTGCCATGGCAACCAAGGGAATGATGTCATTCCTCAGCTTCAGAGACATAATTCGCGCTTAGTGCACTGCCACCCCACTCTTCCTTCCCATCACATTACCACACGGAAATTCCCAAAAACATGGCAATTTGTTTTTTATTTTCTTTCAATATTTTATTTTAATTATGTGGCCGACAGCTAAGGTACCACACGTGCATCGTTGCACTGTGATTGCGGAGGCACATAGCAACACACGCGCCGCTTCTGCGTACAGATCATTGCAGCAGACTTGCACTGTGGCAGCACGATAAACAGCCACACGGCTAATTTTAATTGGCGTCAATGTTTACTGTCCGGGAGGGGAAGGTGGATACATTATTAATCCAGCAGCCGAGGTCTGTGCATGGCTTAATTAGGAGGCACGCTCAGTCCTCTGCTAAAGAAGTAACTCCAATGGCTGACAGCCACTTCGAACTATGAACTCACTGCGTGGGGTGATGAGCGTTTTACCGTAGTTGCTGATTTAGTGGAGCAATGCTCAGCTCTTTGTTTGCCATCAGAGCAGCATAGTAACATTGGTGTATAATCAAACGTAACGGGTTACTTATACATAATTTTTTTACTAAGGTTTTATTTTGTAAGGAGTATTTAAATATAATAACTGTGCTTACACTTAGAAGCCTATTCTGAACACGTGTCAAATTCATCAGAACACAAACAATATGGAAGTAATTTAAGCAGAAACAGTTCTGAACAACTGCTCATAATGGAATCTGTTAGGATCTCGGGGTAGGTTAAAGTCAAGGTGGCCACTGGCAAAAATGGTTCCTCTGATGTCACCTCTCTGAAAAGGATGCAAAATAAAAAACCATGTGATGTTAAAAGGTCCCATGGGTGACCTTTACCATCACCCACAGAAATCATAGAGAAGACGAGCTCCAACTGAGCACACCCGTGTCCTCCACCCTTGAGCATTGAGCGTAACTCATCTGAAGCGTCCGCCGTGTGCTACTGCTGAAAATTCCCGCAGTTGGTCACGGCAGAAGCTTGAGAGAAGATACGCTTAATATGTGTGGTCTAACCCGGAAGAAAACACTTACATACCGTCGCTGTTTAACTTCGCAAGTAGATTTTCTGTTCATAATAAGCTTGAGCATAAACGACGCGTTTGCGCTAAGACAGCGAACGTGGCAAACGGCGGCCCTGCTCGACGACGGACAACGTCAAGGGTGAGGACATCATCATGCCATGCAGCAGTGCTGAACCCCACAGGAGAAGCAGAACAAGCACCGAGCAAGCGACGAAAGAGTGAGCAAGTGAGCGGGGCGGCACAAAGCACCAGGTCAGCTTTTCCGACAGACACGTGCGAGACCAAAAGCGGATGGATCGAGCGACGCTCGCAGCAGGCAGGGCCACTCGCAGCACAGCCGTGGCTCCGTGCCAAAGCCACACGCTGCACGCACGTGACACACGGCCCCGTGGCAACACACCAATGACAAACCCAAGAAAATAAACCAAACAAATCAAATAGAAATACACGATTTTACCTGCTTCCAGCGCTGGAATTAAACAGAAGAAGAACATAAATAAGGGCCGTGACTCAGATTAAGAGAAAATAAAAGGCTGGGATAATGTCACACAGTGGTTGTTTTAAATTTAATGGCATCAGGAACAAACACATGACAGCTGTATTTACAATGCATATCCTTTACAAGGGCATACGTAACAGTGATTTACTAAGCACTGGCTGATCAGTGGTGAACTCGGGTACGGTAACGCCAGGAGCTGTCTCCCTTCTCGTGGTTACACGAAGCCTGGCGGCTGACCTTAAAGACTCGCCACATCATGCCACGGCACGGTGCATATCAGAAACGAGACGGCAAGCCAGCGCAGTCATTGATCACTGCCGGGAGATGTAAGTTGACGTTAAGACCAACATGAATTGTGCACTTAGTGTGCCGTGGCCATAGTAAAGGCGAGAGTGGCGTGTCCGGACTAAACTTGCTCGTGCCGCACATTCAGAACTCAAGTATTGTCGTCTGTCATCCACAGTTTAGGACTCGTACGCGAGAGTGGTGCACACATACGAGCCAAGCCACGTCTGCAGAAAATGCACAAAAGACCAAACGCAATAAGAAGCAACTTTGTGTGGATGCAAATTTAGAATTATAATGCACGTGGGGGTTTTAGTCCATTAAACAAAATCCAATTTGACTCATTGTTTCATTCGCTTTTAGCTCATGGACTCATCAGTTACATGGTGACATAATTCCATTTAATACACAAGTCTTTGAACTCGTAGAAGGTGCGAAAGTGTCTATGCAGATGTCGCACAGAACACGGCGCGGGACAAATGATTGTAATCCCACGGATCTTCTTTTAATAATGAGGCCAAATGAGGATGACAGATTGACAGACGCAGAGACAGAGAGAGAGAGGGAAACGGTAAGCAGAGACGGAACAGCATGTACGGTATGTACATTGAACTTCTTTCACACCGTATGTGGCCAACCGTGCTACTCGGAGGTGTGGGGGAAGGACAACAAACTAAACACAAAAAGCACAATAGCAGAGAAGCAGAATAACAGGAGAAATCATTCAATCAGATTTGGAGCTAAACATGAGCGAGAAAACGTCCGGGAGATGAAGTTATATAGTGGGAAGCAGGGAAAGAGAAACGGAACAAAATGTGAGGTAAGAAGGAACAGATGGCGGGGAGTCCACAATCGAGGCTGAAGTGTCAGGAGAACGAGCAAAGGTTGTGAGAGAAACTCGTGCGAGACACCAAGCGAGGGCTTTACCTTCCGGTGACTCCTCCTGCACGTATGTGCCCGTCAGGTAGCGGTGCACCAGCGCTGATTTGCCACTCGCCAGGTTTCCCAGGATCCCCTAGTGGAAGGTACAGCACAACAAATCCGAGGTCAGAATTTACGGCAAAGTGGTCCCCCGTCCAGTGCTCAAATTGTCGCTGAATATTTTCCGCTGGTAGACTGTCGTAGGTGGCACGTGGCTTGTAGCCACTATCATAGCAAGAGATCATACTAAATGTGGTGTGCTAGGGGTAGTAAATATTTCCAGGTAGCTGACCCGGACAGACCCAGATAAATGTAAAGTCCTCTGGGTAGTTGCATAAAACATCCTCATTGAGAAACGCTATCTTAATTGACACCGATTTGAAATAGAAGCTTTAGGAAATTTGTACAAAATAAGTTTTATGTAAATAACCCCTGGTCCTGTCCACCCAATGCACGGGCACCCAAGAGAAACAATGAGGAACTGGGAGAGCAATCTCAAAGGACCCAATATTCACAGTCATCGGGGTTGGCGCTTCACATGGGCACTTGCAGCTGGGTCGAAACTGAGGAGGGTGGAGTTGTTGGAATTTTTCCATGTCGACCAGCTCATCAATGTGACCTGGAGTTTGCCTTCTTTGATAGAAGTAGGTGCAAATGTAGACCGATCCTAATGTCAACACTGTTATGATGGAATCTCATATACAGTGCATGCACACACGCGGAGAGACAACGATCCCTTATGTCACAGCAGCGGAAAAGGCTGTGCATAGTGAGTGATTCTTAAACCTTAAGCAGGATGCAAGACACTGGTACGGCGAGTACTTTGCACAGCAACCTTTGATTCTACACTGGAAATACTGAATCGCCACACCAGGTAATTACTCTTTGGTTCTATTCGGTAAAGTCACGTAGGTAAAAGATAAAACAACAAAAAATCACGACGTTTTGGCCACAACACAAGTGGCCTTCATCAGGTGAAGAGACCGAACTGTCCAGAGGACAGCGTTGGAGTCACTCCAACGCTGTCCACTGTCCTCTGGACAGTTTGGTCCCTTCACCTGATGAAGGCCACTTGTGTTGTGGCCGAAACGTCGTGATTTTTTGTTGTTTAATTTTTTAACTACGTGACTTTACCGAATAGAACCAAAGAGTATGGATCCTTGCAGTCACGAAAGCTTCAAATATAGAACCAGGTAATTAGTGTAAGGCCGGATTCACCCAATATGGACAAAGTAACATGTGTAAGAATTTTTCACGGCCTGCCATTCAACGAGAGTCACACACAACGCATGCTTGAAAATCGGTTACTTTTATGTAATGCAATATACATGAAGCTGAAGGCTTTTCAAAGGACACATCCTAACCATGCTTCGTGTTATTTTTCCCCAACTGGTGACACGAAGGCCACCCCAGAGTTGGCATTCGTGGGAGGCCTTCATCCAGCAGTGCATAGACAAAATTAAGTAAACTATCATTACATAATTAAATATGTGAGTAAGGTGCAAGTAAGAAATCAGAATGGAGTCTGGGAAATGCTGTTCCTTTAACACAGGGGTGGGATTACAGTTGTAATTAACGACTTACACACAAGAACAAAAACCACAACAATACGGTGATATAATGCATCAACATCACAGTCAGACAAAACACACACGAACACGACATGCTACGAAACAACGAGAAAGGTAAAATTAGGACAACGCAGAGTTAAAATTATAATCATTGCTCGACGTGTAATAAGGAAATTCCCCATGAGGTATGGAATCCGGTTTGTGCGGAACATTCTGCTGGGAACAGCAGACTGTGGTGACACAAACGCGAGACAATTAACACGTACGCACTACATGAATACAATTACTGGTGAGAAAATACACAAAAGGGGCACGGCTATTTCCGGAGCAACGAATCAGCCAGCTAATAATTGCTCAGAATTATTCATAAATCTGGCACACCATTTTCGGTTCACGGTGTTTTTCTATCTTTTGTCTTCGAAAAAATACGTAGTGCATATAAGTACAGTATTGGGATAACATAAAGCCAGTACAAAGATCATACACTGCTGGTTCCCTGACGGTGCAAAAAAAAAAAAACATTTGTATGGGAACCACTACTCTCTGCTGATGACCAGTGGGAGAGAACCCATACGCTGCATTTATAGCGGAGAGCCACGGGAAGGTCTGGCCCCCTGGGGCAGACGTCGAGAGAGCAGCGTGCGCACGCTTCGGCACGCGGGGGGGGGCTGGGCCGTGTTCTTGTGCAGCTTTATAAGAAAATGCCAGGTCTGCTATTGCATTGATTACATTTTAGCCAATTATTCAATAGACCTACCCTGGCATCAATCACCGCAAAAACGCACGGTGCCACCACCACCCGACGTGAAAACAAATCTCTTGCTTTTTTTTTTCGACAATGCATTATTTGATTTGACACTTTCATTATTTTTTTCAAGATGTTATATATATATTTTTTTTATAACAAGCATAACACTTTATACAACCTCCACATAGGTTTAATTTGCCAATAAAGTAGGTTTTTGCCTCTTTATTTTGTTTCTATATTTTTATTTCGCGTCTCTTTACTGCGCGTGCGTCGATGCAAAACTGGGTTGTGGGAAGTGTTTTGGCCGGAGACGTCTGCACGAACCACCACAGTGGCCACTGACAAAATTGATGTCTGGAGCCGATCCACACGACTCATCAGCGGAGACGTCGCAAAGGGGCAGGGCACAGCGCAACCCAACGCTGGCCTCAACGAATTGTCAAACTGCATCACGGGCAGAGAGAGAGAGAGAAAGTGGGCATTGTAGGCGAGAATTTTTTTCACATTGAGCTTTCACCGAGACACATGCTTGGGCGAAAATTACATAACGCCGCAATGAGCGGACGTACGTTTTAATTCCTATGGCCACAAGAGCCGAATTTTGGAAAAACCGCCAGTGTGGTCGCATCAGCCCCGCACGAGCGCGCACGCTTCTCTGCTCAACATCCGCGAGTGTCCTGATACGATGGAAACGATGCTTTTACCGTCCTAAAATTTGACCCGTGTCGGGAAATCGTGCACATGATTATGAAAGTGCAGCATGAGACATTTCTGCGAGCGATGTAGTTGCACAACAAAGGGTGCCGCGCATACGATAGGAGCGCTAACAAGCGAGCAGTTGGGAGAGGGGCGCGCGCTGCTGCTGCTGCCTCAAACGCACTTCCTAATGAAGCATGAACCTCTACCCCGTCCCGATATCAAAGGAAAGCGACGCCCTCGCGCACACCGGCCCCCACACGCTACATTTGCACGCAAAAAAAGGTACATACGCATTCTCCAATTGTTATTTAAAGTGCGTAAGCAGTTCGCCCAACCCCCCGCCCCATCTGCCCCCCCCCCACCCCATCTGCCCCCCCCCCACCCGTTCTAAAATACACCGAGCAGTGCTCATGCCAGTTCGGTGGGCCTGAGGCAGTGGTGGAGGCTTCACTTTCCACTCCATCCATCAAGCAGCCGAACTACTCAGTAGTTAACACCAATAAAGTTGTAATATTTTATAAAGCTTCATCATCTTCAGCCATGGTCAATCCACTGCTGGATGAAAGCCCCCCCCCTCCCCAAGCCGCCGCCACCACCACCACCTCTCATGATCCTTCATTGCAATAACTACAAAGCCCAGTATATATGTTGCATTGAAAAGAAACCCACTAACATACAGCAAAGATTGTGCGGACAATACAAGACTGTGTAGAACATATCTTGCGGTTGGGTCACAAATTTGTCTTCTGCCATTAATAATTGCGGCTGAAAATAGAGTTGAGAGCCCATTTATGGAATGTGTGATAAACCGGTTTTACGAAACTGAAAGCGCATTGTCCATTTGAAAGCCACGTTTGTTCATGCTTAACTCATACCAGCAATTATATCCGTGAACACTGGGGAAAGTGACACCAATCCTGTTTAAGCTACCAATCAGCAATTGAATTACAGTTCCGGTACAGCAGTGGTATATGGGAAATGCCGCGGTGCAATGTATTTAATGGCACTGCCAGTAATTACAAGGTAAACATTTAATCATGAAAATGTTGGGCCCTTTTGTATCATATTATGGGCACACTGCGAGCTGTAGTTACAGATTAAGGGCCGAGGCATGCTTCTTTAAAAAAGTTGATTAATTGATGGGTTGAAATGGTTCGATGGGGAGACAAGGCAATAGGCACAAATGACATTAACTTAACACATTTCCCGGCTCATTCCGACATGAGCTGAAAGCCAAACGTAAGGGACCCTCCACTGGCCATCGGACGAACTCGAGGCATGAGTATGAAACAAATTGTTCCAATACGGCAATACAATTACCAGAGGATTTTGCAGAAACTGATATTAAAAATGATACTTTTACGTAAATTTTACCGTTATAATTAACATCAAATAATTTCACGACACATTAATTATGCGAATGTTGGCATTTTATGAAGAAATGTCAACAGGCACATCAGAATGACACTGAGTTGTATTGGAAGAATAAAGCTGTCGAACAAGCAAATTTTGGTTAATGAGTGGTTTAAAAAAAAACAAATAATTAGAATGATTGAATAACAGCAAGAAAGGTACTAATTTCCCATTGCTCTTCGACATACCAAGAACACAGGAAACACAGAACACAGGGAACACTTACCACTTTGAGCTCTGGCACAGATCTGCTGAGGGTCCACTCCTGGCTGTTTACAAATGAGTCTGCAGGACACAAAACACATAGCACGCACGGCACACCGCACAGAACACACAAACACACCACACGGCACACCACACAGCGCACAGGACACACAGAACACACAAAAACAGCGCACACACACAACTCACATTAATACACTTGGTACATTCATACTGGCCGTATTAAATAAAAATGTTAATGAATTATTAAAGTTGCACATTTTAACTTTTTTTTCAAAACGGACAATGCATAACTTTAAACTTGTTGAAATGAAACGGTATGAACTTTATCTGCAATTTTGAGATTTAGCCAACATTTCATATGCCCTAAAATTGTGTAGGGACATCGCGTGATGTCACTGTGTGGTGCCGGCCCTGGAGAGGCACGGCGTACGGTGTGTTGACATCGCGGGCACCACGTGGATGTGGGTGCAGTACCGGCCCTGGAGGGGCTCGGTGAGCGATGTAGCGACATCGCCTAACACCACGTGGATGTGGGTGCAGTACCGGCCCTGGAGGGGCTCGGTGAGCGCTGCCTGACAGCGCTGGGTGGCACCACGCTCAGCGTGCAGTGCCGGCACTTACAGGATAGGGTGCGGGAGTGCCGGCCGTGGCACTCTGGCTGACTCCAGAGGACACGTGACCGGTTAAGTCTACACAGGGGCCCCAAGTGGGGGCTAGGGGTGGTCACGTGTCAGGGTCGAGATCCTGCTCGAGGATTCTGGAAGGTGGTCGTGGCCAAGGGCTGAGGCAGCCACGCCACAGAGGATATAAGCCGGGTTGTTCATCTTGAAGAAATCTCCGTTCTACGTCCTACAGAGTCACCAACGTGTGGACCAGGACCTAAGCTGGGTTACCGGTCCGTTGTAACAAGTTACGGTGTAATTAGCGTAGTTAGCCTGGTGGTCCACCACCATAGCTTGTTACAGTGTCAAGGGGTAGTTACCCCGTGTGTTGGTGTTAATAAATGTGTTGCCTCCAAAGAGTACGTCTGCGACTCAGTTGAACTCACTACAATTGTATGCGGAAATAAACTGGACAACGCAGTTCACGATATTGCAGAGAAAAGTTGTTCTTGTCAAAGCTGTCTGTGCCCACGGTGTACACATTGAGAATGGATAGAAATGCATTAAGGTTTTTTAAGATACTGGCAATACATTTGCTACGTCACAGTAGTATATTCAGAACGCGTGCGAATTTTCATTTAAAAAAACTACTCAGGACCCACCCAACGGGGAATGTCAGATACAAAGACTTAGAACAGAGACTGAATACAGAAAATCCATTTCTTAAACTCAAAAGACTGGCAAGAATACCAGGCGAATGACGACGTGGCGACTTCTGCTCGATGGTTTTGATTTTGTGGAGTCAAAGCACCCGGTGGTGCTCTGCCAGTGTTTATGTGACCACACAGCACCCTGGGTCTGGGAGGCTCGGCTGCGCTCCACTCTAATGCCCGGATTTATCACCATTACTCACGCAAATTTGGCAGCTCCGCAACCGCTGGGACAGGACAAAAAGGTCACGCTGTCTTACACTGCTGGCCACAATAATGGCACAACAGAGACGCCAGCCTCGGATCCCTCCCCCAAGTCGAGCCGTGGCTGGAATGAAAAATTAGTCTGTGCTGGAACGGTCCACTAAGGGAGGGCAGCTTGCTCCTATCAGCTGTGTTCACGAGCAAACGTGACAGCACATGAGGCATGACGGGTGACACAGGGCAATAAACAACAACAATCAAGACGGGACTCTAGGGAACTCTTCCCTGTGACACCGACCCCATGGTCAGTGGACCACTGTCAAAGGCCAATATTTTGGTTTCGGAATAAAAAATTGCACAGTGCAAAGGCATTCATATTCGCACTAAAATATAGTCAAAAGCCAAATTGTCCGATACACAAATGAGCATTAGGCGGTGCTAAGCTTTGTTTATTATATTTAGACGATGACGGAAATTCCATATTCCTTTGGTGGAAACCAGTCACCCAAAAGGAAACCTTTATAACTGTCCACGATATATCGACCACTGAGGAATCACGGGTTGAAGTACGTATATAATGATGAATGCCATCATTATGCACACACAAGCACACATTATTAAAGTATTGTGTAAATACATTTTTTTCCTTTACAAAATTCCGAGAGTTACTAAGTCGCCACACTCAAAGCACATGCAATTCAAAGTCTGCAACCATAAAGGTCCTCGGGACAATACGGTCAACGCACAAAGGCCTCGTCTGCACCTTATGGATTTATAGGCACAATCAGTGATAGCGCGCCAGGCATAAATCAATATTTATCAGGATTGCGGAAACGTGCCATGGAAAATAATGAGCGACGCAAGAACCATATATGGAGACGCAGGAGTATCCCGAGTTTGCGCGAGTCCATTTACAGTAATGCTCTCGGAGAAAGGCGCGCATTCCTGATGAACTATGTGCAGCCCCCACAGCCAGAAAGAAGTAAGCGGCTCTCGCTTGGCCAAGACGGCCCATCGCGGCACTGGCATGCGCTACGGCACGTGGCCGTGCCAGATCGAGGAAAATATTAAACATGAGTCAATTTTCAAGAGGGCCCTGCCTGCTTGGCAAGTGCTGGACATTACCTCTTTTTTTGCATTTCATCACGTGGGAGGAAACCAGAGTAGCTGGACAAGACTGACGTACACGACATTCAAACTCTGCACGGAAAAGTCAGAAACCTACTTACTATACTGCCCCAAACAGGCCCCTGAAGGTGGGTGTGTCACACATGAAAATTCGTGTAAAACGATTTGTTCTGATGGTATACAAATTGCAAATAAACCCTTTAGTATATCGGAGGTAAAAACCTCCGATCTGAAAAATGTATACCTAAACCTAAACACAAGCATAGACAAACTTAAATTACCTGCACGCCTTAAAGATGTTTATTTGGGGCATGGGTCATCAGTCACGCAAACTAAAGTCAAGGTCCACCTGTGGTAAATACAAAAAGGCACATTATCTAACCTTGTGGTTTAGATTCATGTGGGTTTGTTTGAGAGATTGCCCAACGAGAAGCGTAACTTCAGAAAACTTGGCACAGGGAGGCTGATGACATTTCAATTGGAACCAATTATTTGCCACAGACGGAAAGTGATTTGCATTCCTGCTTGCTGGAGTCACGAGACAGCAGAGCAAGGCCGAGCAAAAACCATCACACTGGGGCCCTCGAGACGAAAATATCGGCAGACTACGATCGGCGTGTAATTCTCCGGTCGGAATACGTGACACGCAAAGAAGGGAATGGGAACTGATGTGGCCCGTAAAGCCAAAGGCACACAGTATTATGAATTTGTTGAAGCCAATAATTGAGGTGAGATAATATTCCCTTTCTTGATGGTGTTAAGTACAGCTGCATGTTTGCTGATTGACATGCAAGAAAGTTTCCGCACTGTCAGGGCTGCCCAAACAAGGTTTGCTGAAAAATCGGCCCACATTCACTCATTAAGAAAAACCCAGAGCAGCAGTTAAATAAGACAAGGGTGAATTTCCACTATTTGTTGAGCCAAATTGGTGATGCAGGAATCGATTCTGGGGGGCTGGACGAGGTAGGTAACGATTGACCCACACGATGGATACCACCATCACTCCTGATGCACCCTGTGACATGAGCGGATGCTTTTCTTCTCCTGGGTGACGTGCCTATGAGTTGAGAAACTCCATGTTGAGCAACTTGCTCTCTGTCAGATGCATCACATCGAAGACTGGCCGCTCGATGCCACACCAGCGATCCGTGGTATTGCGGCTTCCTTCGAACAACGTCCCAAGAAAAAATATGCAGCTTCGTTGGCAGTCTTCGCTTTAGGAGCCCTCGATCAGGGCCCATGACTGGTGCAGCAAGAACTCTTCATTTATCCTCACCCAAATTACAATTCTGTGCTTCTTCAGGCTCTAATGAGGATGTCATTTCATCCTTGACCATCACGATTAAAATGGCATAACCACGACTATGACCCTTGTATAAATCATGGCCATTGCAGAGTTCTCTGTACTCTTGTTCTGACATTGTCTATTTTTTATTACCACCAATTCCCAGGTCACCCTCCCTTTCTTGTTTGTGATGAGATCTCACGGTCTAAACAAACAAACAGATCGCGGGCAGCATGAGGCCGCAGCTGACGAGGGAAATCCGGGGAGATGTCCCCCCCGTTCGCCATCAGTCATTTCACAAATTGTCACGTCGTGTTGCCGTGGTCCGTCGCGAGATTTGACGCAAATATTTTCAGTATTATCTTCATGAATGCCAGAAGATGAGGCTTAACAAGCTGAGAAAAGAATGACATTGGTGGATGACATTCATTTTTTGTTGTTCTCAGCGGCAGACAAAAGGACTGCGAGTACAGTGCCCGCGTGCAGCTCGCTCGCTATGCCTGGGCGGCAGGGGGGGGATAGTGCTTCGGTGGCCTACGAAATAAAAACTGCAAACCTAGACGCGAATGCGCCGTGTGTACACAACAGAAGCAACGGAACATTAATAAAGTGGCAGGACGGAGGAGCCGTGGCAGCCCTTTGCCGTACCTGCACGGCAAGGCCGTAGCCATAGAGTGAAAATTGGTGGGGACCAAATCTTCCAGGGGCTCTGGGGGTCTGGGGTCTCCCCCCCAGAAAAAAAATCTAAAATTTGAAAACTCATTTCCTGCCTAAAATATTTCAAAATTCACTAACACATGGGATGGACTTTTATTTTTTACAATAAAGTCTAATAGTGTATTGTATTACATTGCTCTGTTTTTTTACCTTTTCTTGTTTCATTATATGTAATGAGGGATTAATAAAGTACAACCATAACCACAATCATATAAACAGAAATCTATGCATTGTTATGTGAAGACAAGTCCAGATATTGTGGCCAAGGTTTAGCAAATTGTTGTTTTTATTTACATGTTTACAAGTAAAACTTGGGTGGGCAGCAGGGGCGTTTGCTCTCCTCTCTTCTCCTCTCCAGTCCTCTCTCCTCCTCTCCTCTGCTCCTATATCCTCCTCTCTTCTCCGGTCATCTCT